AGCTCTTTTTTAAAGAACCTATTTATAATAAAGATAGGTAATAGACTATTTAAAATGATTAAATAGCTAATTATAAACTAAAAATATATTATAGATCATTATTATCTTAATCTTTAATAGACTAATAGTGAATTTATAAAAAGACTTTATAATATAAAGTAGATAGTCAATCTATTATTACTCATCTTTATTTAAATAGAATTTAGATTATTAATATTTTATATAGTATTACTAGAATATAATCTAAAGATAATTAATATATTAAAATATAAGATATATTAAATTCTATTAAATCTATATATCTTAAATTAATATAAGCTTTAACTCTTTATCTTAAAGGCTAAAAAATATATCCTATTATTATAAACTAGTATTAATAAACATAGTAAAAACACAAATCTAATAAAATAGAAAAGATTAGTTTAGAATCTAAATAAAAAGAGTAAATATATTTTTACTAATATATAGATTATCCTCTTCTATTATTTTACTTATTATAAAGTATTACTATTTTCTTTTAACTATATAATTATAGTTTAATTATTTCTTAAATTAATTTTTATTAATCTAAGTAAATCTTTAAAACTAAATTAGATTATATATATTAGATAAAAAACTTAAATAATCTTTATTAAAGAAGAGAGATCTACTTATTATATTAATTTATAAAGATTATTAACTATTGTTTTATTATTAGATATATTATTAGTAGTAATTATAATTACTTAATTAATAATCTAATACTTTTAAAGAATCTTAAATAGGATCTTAATAAAATAGGCACTAATATATTAACTATAAATAGATATAAAGTCTAGAAAGATCTTATAATAATCCTATTTGTAATTAATAAAATAATTAGTAATTACTATAAATATTTATTAAAATAATAAGATCTAGTAATCTAGTACGATTAAAAGTTTCATACTAATAGGAAAAAAAGAGAGTAGTTTTTATTACTTTATTTAAATAATTAAATAAAGACGATATTAGATAGTCATAAAAATTAGCAAAGTAAAAGTTTATTATATAAGTTAAACCTCTATAATAAGATCTTAAAAGTCTTGATACTCTAGTATTTAAAAAGAGAACTAAGAATTTATAATAAATTTAACTTAGATATATTCAAATCTCTATTAGCTAAATCTCTTTTAGATAGATATATAAATAGACTATATAGAATAGAGAGATAAGTATAAATTAATAAATAAATATATTAATAATATATACTATTAGTTTAAAGGATTTTTTAATATATTACTATATTAACTTATTTTATATTATAGCTTTATATATATAATTATTCAAATACATCTTTAATAATTTTAACCTATTTAAAATTAATGATAGATAAATAATCACTTTCTCACACTTTTAACAAAGTGCTATTAGTTCTCTAGTCTAGTAATAAACTATTTGATTAAATTACTTCTATAAAGACGAAATATAATATATGTTAAAGTTTATCTTATAAAAAGGAGGCTTAGAGTATATCTTTATAGTATAATATCACTATTTAATAAATTTAGTCTTATTTATTACTATTTAGAGCATCTAATACTTTTAGTTTTATAAGCTAATTTAATAAAAGATAGATAATATAAGATTCATATTAATTTTAAAGATATTAGATAAAGATAAAATATAAAGCAATTACTAACTAATTAATTCATTTGATATAAAAGGATTATCTCTAATATTAAAACTATAAATAAAAGATAGCTAATTAATTCTAATTATTAAAGATATAATTTACAAGTTTTAACTTATCTCTATATAAACATCATAATAAAATATAATATTTAAATACTCAATAAATTTAAAAAAGTAAAATAAGAAAAGAAATATTATATTACCTTTAATATAATTATTTTTACTAAGGATAAAAGATTTATTTCTTCCTAGATAAAGCTTACTAGAGATTTAAATCTTTATTTATAATATATTATAAATAGATATAAATAAATCTAGATAGTCTATACTAATTAGTTAAATAATCCTATAAGTTAATAGAACCCTCACAAGAGTCCTATAGAAGTCTCACAAAAATCCTATAAAAGTCTTATTAACTATTTAAAAAAGGGTTTTTAAGATCAAATAAATTCTTCTAGATCTTAAATAAATCATTTAATATTTTTAATATTGATTTTCTATTTAACTATAATATATTATTAATATTCTTAAATTAAAAAAGCTAAACTAGGATACTATAATTCTAAGAATATTAAAATCAGATAAGAATTGTTAATATTAAATCTATTAATAAATTATAAGATAATTAGAAGGAATATAAAATATAAGTTACTAATAGAAATATATATTTTTATAATCACCTTATAATAATCTCTTATATAATCTTTTCAATTATAATATATAGCTTTTTAAAAGATGATTATATATCAACTTTAATTAATAACCATATAATAAACTAATTAAGATCAAGATTATTTTAAGATTTATTAGTTTAAAAGATAATAATCCGATATAAAAGTAATAAGTTCATAATCAAAAACTTCTAAATACTTCTTACATACTGAATATAACAGAAGCAATACAATAGTAAAAAACAATAATTTATTAACTTAATCAGCAGGCTTATATATCCCAGATAGAAAGTACTTAGCAAAGTTATACACCTGATAGGACCATATAGGAGTCCCATTACTCCTATAGGACTCCCATGGGAGTGCCAGGGTTTTGGGACCAAGATTTTCTTTAATCCCATGGGACTAATGGGACCAGGAGTTGGGACCAAAATTTTTTAAGTCCCATGGGACTTGTCGAGGTCTAGAGAAAATAGTATTAATCAAAATAGCTAAGTCCAGTAATTGTAACCTTTAAACTGGATTAACGATATACCTAGACCATTTATCTTAAATTCTTAAAGACAGATTGATAGAAGAAGATATCACGATTTAAATGATGTAAGAAAAAGGGGATATAAACTACGTGACCGTCTTAATAGCTTTCTTAAAAAACAGTAGTTCTACAAGAAAAGATACATATAAGTTACAGTATTCACAATATATATCTTTACAACTTTGTATACGATTTTATCAATAACCGTCATTGACCACCCGCCATGTCGATATCATCAAATATTACTTATAATCTATAAGTAACTATACCTTTGGTTTACTTTTATATAAATATTTCTTTATAATTCATTATATTGATAGAGCATTCAGTGAAATATCTGCAAATTAACAGAACAGCTGTAAAAAACAGAGATGAATCATCAATTTTATCCAACCGAAAGAGGTAAGGCGTCTAAAATTTATGCAAATGCGGGTTGTTGAGGGTCGCCGAGGGTCCGCATAGTGAACCTCAACGACCCTCAGGGTAGGTTGAGGGTCGGAAGGTTGGAACCTCCCCTCTTGAGGGGAGGTTCGAGGGTCCCGGGTAGGGACCCATGCGGAGGGTCATAGCCAGGTCTAGACATGTACAATAGAGTATTGTATTGTGGGAGACAAGGAGAGGAAGGAGAGAGAGACCTCAGCTCCCGAGGTCTTGATCTACGCTGACTAACCCGCATAGAGCCTGACAAAGCTGGCACCCACCCCGGGCCGGCGCCAACAGATAGTAGTGGTAACCTTGGAGGTACAAATGTGTGGCTTTGGACTTTGGACAACTAGATTCCCTGGTTATAGCTATATATGTTTATCCTTTACTGCTCTAGTCGGTATTTCAATATTCTGTAACAAAATGCGACCGGGAATTCATATGTTCAATTAGCTTCTCCCCTCCCAAGTGTTTTGCAAACCCTTGGTCTCATGACAACCTTGGAATTGATCGAGCCAACCTCGGACCTCAAAATTTGACGGTGCTCTTATCCATGAATGCGCTGAAGGCTGTGTATGGCTCTGGGCATTCCATCCACAGCAAAGTAAGACATCAGGCGAGAAATACGAACTCAACAGTACGCCCCGCATGATGCTGATGCTGCAGTGATGCATATACACTGGGAAGCGCCTCTTCGTATTTTGTCCACGTTGAGCTTGCATGACCTACGTGCTGCCATAATTCCATCCTCCATTGGCATTCAGATGTTTTCAGCCCTCGGGGCTGGGGCTCGCTTACCTTATTACGTATCGACGGTCCTATAGTCAGGTGCCCTGAAGTTTCTGATTTCCAAGGGACCCTTTCTTCTAGTTTCTCGAACTTTTAGGCATCATTCTAATTCTCAGATATATTGACAGGGTTTGATGTCTACGGCAAAAGGCTACATCTCACGCTGTCCTCGTACAAGGGAGAATTTGACTAATAAGAGGTTGAGGTCGAGATGTATTTATAATGTGAATTAAAAGCAGTACCCAAGCCTAATCAATGGGTCTAAGTTGATGCATGAGTGTGCATGGAAAAGACGGTCAGCTCTGTGTTACATTTAGGCCGCGGGTTAGTGATCTGGTAGGAGTCCATGGAGTGCCTAATGCTCTACGATCCCAAATCTCCCGGATGGTTGAATGCACATAATCGTATCTGGTTAAACAACGAGATGTGAAAAATTGACCATGACTTGGGAACTCATACACAAGCTATCTAAACCTTTTTTTCGCTTTGATGATATAACGATGATTCTAGCAACTTTCGTTTGGTTTTATTTTCTTCATACTTGCAAATAATGCATAGCCATGTATGCAAAGAGAGTCCCTCAAATAGAGTCTAAGCTTCAACAAGCAGAGAACTCCACATTTTGAAGGCTGGGGGCCTTGATCGACGTCTCACCTGATTTATACGAACCACGGTGCCTCGACCTCTGGACTCCGAACCGGGATCTGGTAAGCCAAGAAGGATGTTTAGCCTTTTTATAGACTGATTTCCTAAGAATAACTCGTTTGCAAAAGTCAAGCAGTCTTTTATTTATCAAAAGTTTCGTTCGGAAAGATATATAAAGACCAGCTGTCCTCGGCATTGCATTCAATATACACAACCCTCAACCTTGGAAGATCCCAAAGACACATCAAGAGTCTTCATTCACCATCTAATATATACTCTCAAACATGCAGTTTTCACTCTCTCTTATCCTTCCTCTTTTGGCACTCAGTGTCTCTGCCATACCTCTGGAGGTGCGCCAGTCCAGTGCGGTTACCGTTGCTCTTTCGAATGATCAATCCGGGGCAACCGCTACTGCAACATTCCAGCCCGACAACATTGTGAGAGGCATATTTTCTCTCTATGGTACAACTTCAGTTGGAGCAGGCGGCACGGTGAAGGCCAGTTCAGCCTTTTTGAATTCCGCTCCGCAAAACATCAACTGTGTCATATTCAACGGTGGCGTCAAGATTGCTACGTTGACCAACGACAAATCTTATGCGGATCTCGATGGAAATCCTGGTCAGGCTATCCCAGTCAGTCTTAACAGTGCCACCATTCAGTGTCATGTCTGAATGGCCCGTGTCCAAACCTGGCGGACTTCATAGCTCGGTGAAAGTGGGCTTCGGGTTTTTTTTGACTCGCATCAACTGCGATTTGGTCGTCGAATTTCTGTACGTAGCAAGTTATATATTCTCTTATCTGTTTTGTGTTTGGTTTTGAATTTGATTTGCTTTGAGTTACTGTATCAGAGATGCATACAGAATACAAATAGGAATCCTGATATGCTTATACTATTCCAAACAACCACTAGGAGATGGAAGGAATAAAACTAGGATATCCTGATGCTATTTCGAAATTTTTTGAGTGTAATGGTCAGTTCTGGGATTATATTTTCTTGCGAATCTTGATCACCACTAAGGTCTTCAACCTTTGAGGTAGCCCCCAAGGTCCCTGCGGATCAGGAGCAAAACAAACTGGAAAATCACATTGACGTGATCATCTCTTTCTCGAAGAAAATCTTGGAATTTGGGATTTGAATCATAGCGAAATATTCTTTCAAACATTACGATGAATCAGCACAGCGAGATGGGAATTCGTAGCCAAGCGAAAGCCAACTTTTCTGACTATCCATGCCGGGATCACAACACAAGGATGTGCGATTTCCAACTTTTAACCAGAGCTCAGTCTCTCGGGGCGATTCACCTATCTCACTAACCTCAAAATGAACATCTAGAGCCGATCGCAGGGTTCTGCCACTTCTACTACTTGGTTTTGCTGTGTATCAATTGGACCGAACTAATATCGCAAGCGCACTTACAGGAGGCTTCGCAAGAATTATTTCTGTTGACACAAACACAATAAATCTTGGAAACCAGCTGATGTTCTTGGGTGTTATTTTGTTGGAAATTCCATCTAACATGATGCTGCACAAGGTATGTCAATACCACCGACTCTTGTTTTTCTCGTTCCTGAACGACCCAGATAGGTCCTCGCCGATGGATAAGTGGGCAAGTCTTTGTTTTCGGACTTGTGGCATGCTTGCAAATCTTTTTGCACAATAAGAGTGGATTTCTTGCCACGAGATCAATTTTAGGCCTCACTGAGGCTGGATATATTCCATGCGCAATGTACACATTGTCCACATGGTATGATGCGGATCAATTGACCAAACGAATCGCGATTTTTTTCTTCGGCATGTTTGGTGGAACTGCCATTTCCCCATTGCTCGGGGCTGGCCTGTTGAGACTGGATGGAAAGGGTGGACTGTTTGGTTGGCAGTGGATCTTCCTCGGTAAGGCTGAAATACTTCACACGCATCATGCAATCTTCTCATCGATAGTAGTGGAGGGTCTTTTTGCCATTGCGGCTTCGGTTGCTTTGTTCTTTTTTCTGCCTGAAGGCCCGGTGACTGCCCCAAACCTGGAAGACCAGGAGTCCGGCTCAGCCAACACGCCTTCAACTGACGCTCACCGACCTCACATATCTCTGCGTATCGTCTGGGAGACTGTGACCAATGTCCGAAAGCTGACCCACTTCGTCGCAACCGGATGTGTTTTCTCAACATGGAATCCACTGACCACATACACCCCAAGTATCATCGTGGAGCTGGGATTCGCAGCTATTGAGGCGAATGCACTTGCCGCAATAGGAAGTTTGCTCACTCTTCCTATTATTTTATTTTTTGCTTGGATGAGTGACAAGTCAGAGAGAAGAGGTGTCGTTGTAATGATTTCTATCTCAATATACTTGGCATCTCTGGTGATTTTGAGAGTCTTGCAACCCCATGTGAACGAATGGGGAAGGCTCGGGTTATGGACGCTGGTTAATGCCTTTGCTGTGGGATATCATCCGATCCACAATGCTTGGATTCAAGTCAATTGCAAGTCTAGCGAAGAGAGAAGCATCAGTGTGGCGTAAGTAATCGAGGCTATCCATGGATATTTGAGATGCAGTATGCTAACTTTCCGGTTTCGTGTGTAGGATGTGTGAGTATTTACCCTATTTCACTATTTCAGTCATCCACTGACTCTGAACCACCAGTTGTCATGTCTGCTACGGCTGGGCTAATGGCGGGGACCCAAATATTTCGTGGCGATGAGTCCAGTTTATTGTATGCTTTTCCTTTCTATCCCCGGGGTCACATACCATGATTGAGGTACTAACGGAGATTCGACTCATTAGTTATCCACGGGGACTTGCGATAATGATCGGTTTGGTTTTGTTGGGATTGGTACTAGTGGGACTACAGATTTTGACATTTCATGTTCTCAACAAGCGTGTTCCAACCATATCTCCAGGTGTTGTGGGGGCGTTGTATGTTTTATGATTTTGACTGATCCTCGGAAAGGTACACATACAAAAATTGTATAATCTTTCAGACGTTGATCTATAATCTATAAATGCAAGAGGTATATGGAATGTGGTATAAATATACAAAACGGGCGCATAAAAAAAGAAACCTTGGAAAGTCCACCCAGAACTCCAGCCTCAGGGTGATCTGAAAATGTGCAATCAAGTCATGCTACCACAGCGAATTGAAAATACAACCCCGGTAATTAAGAAGAATATGTAAATTTCAATAGAGCGGTGGTGTTCTCATGCGTTCTCAGTGTGAGAGGCACGATCTCCCTTGCGGCCGTAGGGGTTCTCCTCCGCAATCCAATCTTGGTGACGCTCGGGAATTTCGTAGCTGCTGCTCTTCCATGGGACAACTTTGTTGACGTACATCCAGTCAAGTTCTTCCAGGGTACGACCTTTGCCTTCGATGACAAAGAAATAGACGATGCCAACACCGACAAAAAGGCAGCCAGCAAACACGTATCCATAAGCAAAATCAATTTCCTTGGTGATGAAAGTGGTGAAGAAACTGATCAAGAAGTTCCAGAGCCAGTTGGTCGCGGTGGCAATAGCCATGCCCTTAGCGCGGTACTTAGATGGGAACAGTTCTGCGACGATAGCCCAAACCATCGGTCCCCATGTCATGGCATAAGCAGCGATGAACAAGCAGGCCACGACAATCATGCCTTTGCCTGCGTTTGGAGTGTTTGTGGGGTTCTTCACGTCGAGGACGAAGTGTCCGATGGAGGAGAAGATCATAAACATGACAAACATCCAGATGGCTCCAAAGATGAGAGACTTGCGACGACCGAAGTTCTCCACAACGTACAATCCTCCAAATGTAGTACCAAAGTTCACAGCACCAAGGATACACTGCGTGATGAAGCTGTCCGAAATGCCGGCGCCTTCGAAGATAGTAGTGCCCTATTGAATAAATTTGTATTAGTGACCCATTCGTTTGCATGGTGGAAAGGGAATCCAGGATGAATCAGTTGCGCGCTGGAACTCACGTAGTAGAAGAAATAGTTAGCGCCGGACAACTGCTGAAGTGACTGCAGGACCATGCCCAAAGCGATTCGGTAGAACATGCGGGGGGCAGTGATGAATTCATGCCATTTCTGGTCATCCGACTCGGCTTCGAATTGCTCTCGAATCTCATCCATCTCTTCCAAGATGCGCACATGGTTTTCCGGGATGCCGTAAAGCATGGCCAGGGTTCGTTGGGCACTTTCAGCCTTGCCGTGGCGGAACTCGTAGCGAGGGCTCTCAGGGAAGAACACCATCCCACCACCAAGGACCAGAGCGAAGAGGAAGGTGAGTCCAAGAGTGATGCGCCATTGGCCAGTACCATCCATGGTGTGGGTGCCCAGATTGATGCAGTAGGCCAAGAAGATACCGAGGGTCACAAACAATTGGTAACAACTGATCATGGCACCACGGATGTGGCGAGGAGCACTTTCACCTTGGTACATCGGCACGAGCAGCGAGCAGCCACCGACGCCGAGACCTGTGACCCAACGGCCGACGACCATCTGATACCAGTGTCCTGTGGGGGAAGAGATCTGAACGATCAGACCAACGTTCAGGATCATACACCAAAGAGTAATGGACCACTTGCGGCCCAATTTGTCCGCAATGGGTGCTCCCGCGAGGGCACCAATCATGGTGCCAATGGAAAGCAATCCGACGATGAGACCGGAACGGACTGTGCTGAATTTGTAATCACCGTTCGAATCGAGCTGACCGTACCGCTCCAGATAATTGCTCATTTCCTGGAACCCAGAGATCTGTCCAGTATCATATCCGAACAAGAGACCTCCCATGGAAACGAAGAGGGCCATGATGAGCGACCGCATGGTGATCCGAGGAATCGGGGTGTCAACACCTGCGGGCCCCATGGGCTTCTTCTCGGGGCTGGTTTGATAAGGGGACTCCAGGACTGGCTGTTGAGCCGGGGTAATCGACTCCCCATGGTGGGCAGACGTTTCAATGCCCATGGTGGTATGAGGTAAAGGAGTTATGACAATTGGCCTCGACGTTCAAGGTTCATGCAAGTAACAAAAAGGGACTTGAGGACCAGCTCAAAAAATGAAGTAGAATGATGAAAGGATAGAGGGAAACAAGCCCATGGGGAACAAACATGGGGGAACATGGGGGAATAGGGGCCCTTTTGTAGATCAAATGCCGGCACCAGGAATGATAATAAAACAAAAAAAAAAAAGAAATTTTGAAAATAATAGGAGGGACCAGTCCATTGGAGACTAAGTGGAGAGGAGATTACTCCGTATGGAGAGAAAATTCGTGCGAGATGACGATGTCCACCGCATGCTGTGCGCCAGAAGGAGGATGACAGCCAACCAACAGCCAACAAGCCGGCCGAAGCCGACACTCGCACGGCCCGGGGGCACTCCACAAACCAGGAGAAACAACCATACACGGCAGGTTCCATGTGGTCATCGGCTCTGGTTCGCCATTCAAGCGGATAGCCGATTGCCCGGCCAAGTCGGGGTCGGGCAGTGGCAAACGCAACCCGCGTCGCAGCCCAGGACCGAGCTGATAAGGTTCCAGATCGAACGGTCAAAAGTTTCGGGGCCGACGATATCGCTTGAATACCTTGCTCTGTAATCCGTGGGATTTGAAGTACTGACACATGGCGATATGCTGAGTTAGAGGTCGGATAAATTCTTCTGGAAGTCTGGAGAAAACGCGGTGGGCCGTGTGTCAGCGAAATCCCGAGAGTTCCGACCCCAGGCACGTTCTCCGGTTTCTCTCCGGACTCAAACCCAGCTCATACCCGATCGGTGTCCCGGTGAAAACATCCCCGGAAGCCATGTCATCTCCAGAGCCGGGCAGGAGGGGAAATGCGGAGTCTGGGGGTGAAACCCTGAGATCTCAGACGACATATGATTCTAACATTGGTCGACACACCGAGCACTACTGCAGGCTAGGAAGCAAATTCAAGCCCCAGAAACCCGATATAACCCCATCTCGGCACGCTGAGTACGGTACGGAACATGGAGGACGTGTAAAGAGTCTGTTGAATTCCGATGCCGAGTTTTCGTCAGTCCCGCGCCACACCCGCCGCCCCCCGTCTCTCCTACGTCATTGACGACTTGCGCTTTTTTTTTCTCTCTCTCTCACTCTACTCTGTGATGATTCTGCTTTTCCTGCATTTCTCTTCTGTGTCTTGTTTATTCTCAGTGGCATTGTTGATTGCTGTGCTGTTTCTTTAATCGTTGCCCCTTTCATTTTACCGCTGTATTGTTACATGTATGAATTCACTCAATGTAACCTGGCTGATCCAATATTCTTTAGGTAATAGCCTATGACAGCCTTGACTGTGGATTATCTTCTCGTACAGGATCTGTCTATGATCGAGCCTGTGTTGGCTCCGTATTTTCCATCCCGCATCCTTTCCCCCTTGGTCCCTGGTGTGGCAGTACTCTGTACGCACCAATTAAATCTGAAATATAACAACTCCAACATCTTTAACCAGCCATTCCGTAGTCACGCTTCGCTCCTCTCACTCTGTATTGAGTTCCAATTTGTCAAAGTGTGAGTGCTCTCTTCCCCGGAATAGCACTTCTCCGCCATCTCCAGGCTTCCAATGTTGCTTCAATGTTGCTCCACCCTATTGGTCATCCCCCGTTCCGACCTTGGAAGGCAATAACCCCGTGCCAAGTCCGGATGAATATCGGGTAGAGAACCCGCTCCATTGATTGACTGAACCATTGAAATAAATTGTAAAATTCGAGAATGTAAAACGCAAAGGGCGAGAGGTTGAAATGGAACCAATCGGTTGTCCCCGCGAGCAGGTAACCGTCATTTTATGTAGAGTCAGGTAGCGAGGTAGAAAGAGCTAAATCCCCGCTGTCTAGACCATTCGGTCATTTTCGGCATCAATTTGTGGAACGCGCATTATGCTGAGAATTCACCAAGTAAAGCTTGTTCTCTAAGCGAAGACCCTCTTCGGGGCTGTCGTCCCTTTCGGTCGTACGTCTAATTCACCACCAAGTGGCTTCGCGGAGACTTGCGTTCTGTGTAGGGTTTCTGACCCACCACGAAGAGCATCCAATGCTAGGTACAGTAGTTTAAACTTGTACTTAGACCAGGTCTGAGCTTAGTGGATTTATTGAAGGTTCGGCGCTAGCGATAAGTAGCAGGTGCCAGTCTAGATCAAATCAACAAACAAGCGACAAGCGGAAGCCAATATGTTCCTCTACCTCCTCCCCTCTAGGGTTAATCAGGGACCACACCCGTCGTATGATCGCAGATTCCACACATATCTCGTACTATCCGTTGACCTTGGCGTCACAATTACAACCAGAGCTCCGTTTCCATTCTCTATTTGCTGTGCCTCTGTCAGCCGGTTGGTTTTCCACATGCAGTGCTAGTTTTTCCAGACCCACAGTCCACTCTCGTCACGAGATTCACACTCAGGTTTCTACATGAGCAATTTCATGAGACATAGGATACTTATATTACAATGATATCTGGATGGCTAGAGATTCTATTCGTCTAATTCCTCCGTCGGGTACGCGGCTGAAACGCCTTGACAGATTGAGACAAGCGTGGCTCTGAAAGCTTCCGCTCAGCCAGCGCCAGGATATTTCCTCGCGACTGGAATTTACTCATGCCATTGCTGTCTTTTGTTTGCCTAACAGCCAAGAGAATATACCCATGTTAATTCCTGCCAGTGGTTTCGCGCCCTTGTTGTGGACTGACCACAACGGGGTCACCTTCGCTTTTCCCCATGCAACACGGAGGCCTTTAGTGCCCAAATGGTTTGATGCAAACAACTCGATTGGAGATTTTCAACTTCCTAATCAAAAGCGGACCCTTGCTGACTCCCATCACGGCAAAGTTCAATTGTTTGAAGTTGAGGTTCCATGACTCAATCCATATATATATCCCTACCCCGTCCTGTTTCTTTTCATGCTCATACCTATTGGATATCAGCTTTGGCGGGGAGATCGGGATTTTGGACCGAAACGTCACCTGAACATTCGACTAGGACCATGAAGCAACTGACAATTCTGGCATTGGCCACCCTAGCCTCTGCACAGGTAGGGGCTTATGGCCAGTGTGGGGGAAGTGGTTATTCTGGGTCTACAACGTGTGCTTCGGGCTACAGTTGTCAATACCAGAATGAATGGTATAGTCAATGTCTCCAGGGTGAGTCTTCAGCAACCTTGGAATAGCTCCACCTAGGCAGGGCTTGGATTTTGAGACCTCCCGAGGTCATTGGATGTACTACCTACCTAACTTACGCATCTTAATGGTAGCTTCTGCCGGTGGTACTACATTGACAACAAAAACATCGACCTCAGTGGCAACATCAAAATCCAGTACTACAACATCGAAGACAGCAACCACCAGTGCACATACCGAAGGCACTGGCTTCCCCACCACCAATGGACTGCAGTTCGAAATCGATGGCAAAACTAGCTATTTTGCCGGCTCGAATTCGTATTGGATCGGGTTCCTTACGAACAATGATGATGTGGATCTGGTGTTTGACCACATGGATGAGACTGGACTTCGAATTCTCCGTATCTGGGGATTCAACGATGTCAACAGCGTCCCATCCGCTGGGACTGTTTACTATCAACTGCTTCAAGATGGAACCGCCACTATAAATACGGGAGCGGATGGCTTACAACGTCTGGACTATGTGATTGCCTCCGCCGAAGCCCACAAAGTCAAGCTCATCATCAATTTCGTGAACAACTGGTCAGACTACGGTGGTATGGCTGCCTATGTGACAGCATTTGGCGGTAGCCAAACGAGTTGGTATACAAACACAGCAGCCCAAACGGCTTATCAGGCTTACATCAAGGCGGTTGTGTCCCGATACAAGGATTCGCCCGCGGTCTTCGCCTGGGAGTTGGCTAATGAGCCTCGCTGCAACGGATGCGATACTTCAGTACTTTACAACTGGATTAAGACTACGAGTGCCTATATCAAGTCACTAGACTCCAAGCACATGGTCGCAATTGGTGATGGTATGGATCCTTGATTACGTATTCGTTGGCCCTTCGATTGCTGACAATGCTTCCTAGAGGGCTTCGGGCTGAGTGTGGGATCGGATGGCTCCTATCCCTACAGCTACGGCGAAGGTCTCAACTTCACGATGAATCTTAGCATCGACACCATCGATTTCGCGACCTTTCACCTTTATCCTTCAAGCTGTATGTTTACCTTGATCCATCTCTTTGTCTGTCACTGAATTTTGCTAACGGTATTTCTCAAGGGGGAACTACAAATGATTGGGGTAATGGGTGGGCCACGTCTCACGGTGCCGCGTGTGCGGCAGCTGGAAAGCCTTGCTTGTTTGAAGAATACGGAGTAACTTCCGACCATTGCACGATCGAGGCCCCATGGCAGAAGACAGCGCTGAACACGGTCGGCGTAGCAGCAGATTTATACTGGCAATATGGTGACACACTCAGTTATGGACTGTCGCCTGATGACGGGAACACATTCTATTATGGTACCAGTGAGTTCACCTGCTTGGTGACCGATCACATTGCAAATATCAACTCCTGAGTACGGAATAAATGATGCAATGATTCGAGAGATCGGTCCTTTCGGGGTTGGGAAGAATTGATCTTCTCAATCCTAGACTTGGACGAAGTTTCGGAATTCAGGTCAGTGTTTGCCAGCCTCTTGGCAAGGCCGAGATAAGGGGATTTTGGGTTCGAAAGTTAAAAGGGTTCTTCGAGCCGTAAGACCTTTTGTGGGTATCAATATCTTTATTTACACGAGAGAAGCAAAATGTGACCTCGGGAACCTCACCAAGGCGCCGAACACTGTGACAAGTCGTACTTGTTTTTGGTAAACCAGAGCTCTCGATGGTGATGCAACAGCTGTTGCATGATAGCTCTTAAGCCTCACATCTTCTTCGACGCAACCTTGGGCACAACTTCACTGTAGGTCGGAGGTGAGGGCGATGATGATCCATCCCGCTCCACGGCGTCGGTTGGTGGCCCTCGGTAGTTGTGGTATCCCCATACACCATACCAAATAGCAGCGATGGCGATAAATCCGGCGAACACCACGGAAGCATAATTCATGCTTTCCTTGGTGACAACCTTGAGTGTTGGCATACAGAACAGAGGAATAGCGAGGATGCTCCAGCCGAGAGCAATGACATTCGCGATCAAGCCGAACACACCAAAATTGAAGCTCCCGTTCTTGATATCCTCACGGCCACGGAAAATCAGGGAGACAGCGATTGGACAAGCATAGCTGGTGGTCAAGAAGATGACACCAACACCAGAGAATGCATTGTAAGCAGCGGTGGAACCGAAATAAATCACACCAAGGATGATTTCCACCACCATGCCCAGAATGAGGGCATTGAACGGAATATCCAGTTTAGGGTGAACAGTGCTCCACCAGCCGGAACCGGGGATACCGCCATCACGAGCAAACGCCCATGTACAGCGGGAGGTCGCAGTGACGCAGCCCACCCCGCAGATAACTCCCAAAACGAGCAGCGGGATCAGAAGGCAGAAGGCACCAGCGGAATTCCCAATGGCAGCCTTGAAGATGGCCGGAGTCGGTTGACCGGAGGCCAGGTTGACCAGGTAAGTGAGATCGGGTAACACGAAGCAGACTGGGATCAAGAAAAGAAGGCCGGCGATGAAGTTGATGATGATCGTTCCGACCATTGCCTTGGGAACCATGATAGCGGGCTCTCGGACCTCCTCGCAGAGACTGCAGTGGGTTAGCACAGGAGCCAATCCGGGGTTTACAAAATTTGGCACTCACGAAATAATCATACCAGTTGCCGAGGTGGCGTAGGCTGCCTGCAAGAGACCGATGAAGAATGACCACCCTGCGGGCCACCCTGCCTGGGGTTCAAAGTGGCCAAACACCCAGGCAGCGTCGTGGCGGCCTTGCTTCGCGATAGCTAGCAAACACACGATAATGGCGAGCAGACCGGCCATAGTCCAAAAAATGGCGAATGTCTATATGGGGCGGTCGTCAGTATTGTCACCGACAGTATGTTTACACGTGCGAAATAATTCGTACCTCCAACCAGGGCAGCCATTTATTTCCGAACGCCGAGATAGCGTGGGTCAGCAGGGTGATGGCCAAGAAAATCAAGAAAGTCTGATAGGTCGCGAAGTCATCGGTGATGCCCGCGCCGGAAGAGGTCTCAAACACATTCAAACAGGCCACAAAGAGCAAAGTGGTCCCGAAATTGACGGCGAGGGTGATGGTGATATTTCCGGCCACATAAGACCAACCGCAGATCCAAGAGGCAACCCGGCGGCACCACAGTGGCGACAAGACGAACGTTTGATAATACACACCACCAGCTGTCGGATACACCGAAGTAATTTCTGCCAAGGAGATGGCCACACATAGAATAAGGAATGAGATGATGACCCAACCCCAGATAACATTGGCAGGTCCACCGGCGGCGAGTGGGTAGTAAAATGTAGTGGAGAGACCGTAGGGAACGGAGGAGAGGATAAAGCACATGAAAGTAACCTGCCAGACAGATCTATTGCGAGATAATTCGGGCTTATAACCCATGTCCTCGAGGGTTCTATCAGCATTGGTGCTGCTCACGCCCTGTTCAACCGACAACCCAGAGGGGCGACGGGACCCATCGTCAACGGCCATGACAAAAGTTGAATTAGTATGGATGATTGTTGATCTGCATACGGTGCAGATTATTTTCGAAATGGGATGATTTCAGAAGAAAAAGTGCAGATGAAGAGTGAAAGGGTTGAGAAGGTAGAGAAAAAACAAAACAAGATCAAGTACGGAGTACGGAGTAGTATAGTAGAAAGATGGAAGGGAGAAAACACAAGGGCAAAAAAGGAAGGGAAAAAAAAAACCGCAAATGCAAATCAACTGGAGAGAGAAAACGGCAAAAAAAATGACCAGCAGATTGCACGCGAGTGTAATCCACTTCAGTGCCCATTCCATACGAGGGCCGCGATATAGGGTTTGGACCAGTTAACGTCCGTTGAGGGGCCGAGAATGGGAGGGAAGATCCAATCATACTGCTTCTGCTTGGTAGTGCCACTGGCTAGTGAGCCTTGTTTCGAAGCCTTCGAGAAGCCACCGATTGGCAGTGGGGGCGAATTAGAATTAATTGTCTCGTGGTAGTCTGTAGTCCGTGAGAGATCGGGACCCCCGTGAGGTCCTTGTTATCAGAAGATGCTCAAACAAGGTAATGTTTCCCTGTTATCTTTTGAGGTTCTCTATCTTTAAAACTCCCGTATCTCGTTCTCTCTTTCTACACCCTATATCAGCACAGTGATACGTGAGGAGCGCCCTGTCATTGTCGTTCGGGGGCTAAAGGGCTAACGGGAAAACATCGCCTAACAAATCAGAACCAAACCGGACTTTAAGCCCAAGGCGATTTAATACATATGCAGAGAGACTAAGACACGCTAGTATGCAGGGATGGAGTCAGCAACACGACCGGAGGGCCGAAAGTGCCACTCACGCCGAGTTACGGCAAGTTGGCCATCCCGCAAGTACTCCGGATCGATCTCGAGTTAAGGGGCTGTGGTAGGATACCTACCCTTGGCTCTCTTCTGCTTTGATTGGTTTGTGCATCTTTCAATCAGAAATCAATAGCAACTTTGAGCGCCCGGTGCCGAGAGGCTGCTTGGAATGTATCGTAGGCTTGGGTTGCCTGGGAGCAAGGGAAGTCTAGACGAAGCAACGGGTTAGACAATTAATTCAACATGGACTTGGATAAACATACGGTGAGTCACTAGAGAGCTAATGTTCAATCTTCCTGATTCCACAAGCCGCAGGAGACGAGATGTCGTGGTAGCGTTGACAAGGGACATGTGAATGCCTGAGATGTCAGTGCAAACTTTGAAACAAACATGCCGTTTTGGGCGGAAGTTTGGGGGCCCGTTGGCTTGGACTTGTGGACTCACTGATGTTTCGCTCCCACAACGTCTCCAGGTGAAGATCCACCTTGGTCCCGTGCACACCCACATTGGCGATTCTACCCCCGATACCCACCAGCTTTTGACACAGGGCGAACGTCGCCGGAATGCCGACCGCTTCGATGACCGAGTCGAATCCATGACCCTCGCTCAGCTCCATGAGCCGTCGCTCTGCATCTTCTGATCCCGAATTTACCGTCGCGTGTGCCCCCAATCTGCCCGCCGTTGCGAGTCGCGTGTCATCCAGGTCAACCACCACAATCAAGGCGGGGGTGTATAGTTGGGCCGTGAGGAGGGCAGCCATCCCCACCGGGCCCGCTCCTACGATCACTACCGTCGCTCCCGGTTGAACATTCGCACTGAGCACGCCACACTCGAGTCCAGTAGGGAAGGCATCTGACACCGCGACTGCGGCGCGGGAATCAATCGACTCGGGCAGCGGGTAGAGTGAAAGGGTAGCGTGTGGCACACGGACATATTCCGCCTGAGTGCCATCGATCTGGTTTCCCAAAGTCCACCCACCATTCGTGCAGTGTGCACAGAGACCTCTTCTGCAAAATTGACATGCCCCGCATGAGGTCATACACGAGATGAGGACGCGCTCGCCGACCGCGAATGCATGGACAGCAGAACCGAGGGCCTCGACAATCCCGACTCCCTCATGGCCGAGAACCAATCCTGGTTGGATATTGGGCACGTCACCTTTGATGATATGCAGATCCGTGCCGCAGATAGACGCATGTAACAAACGGACAACGGCATCGGTGGGTATCTGAACGGTCGGCTTTGGGCGGTCCAAAAGTTCAACCGTTCCTGGTCCTGTGTAGACGAGTGCTTTCATGCTCATATTGCGATGTGTCAACTGACGTTTGGATATATTGTCTATGTTAAATTGCGGGGTAGATGGAGGGATCGATGGGGTATTCATGTCATACTCTCCATTGTACAAAGTACGCGGACCTACTTCGGAGGTATCAGCGAACACTTCGGAGAGTGAGCCGACATCGAAACCGGGGCGGTCAGCTCTTGGAGACATGGTCAGCTTAGACACTTGTCTGGACCCATGCAGGCTATACAAGTGAAGAGAGACCACAAGTGACCTTGCGATGTGCTCGATCTTTTGTAGGCTCTCCAGGCTCCTCGCAATATCTCGCTCCAACCTAAATTTCCTGAAGACGTACACAACCTTGGAAGAACCCAGGGCCTTCCCAAAGGCTACGCCGATGGTCTGCTTCTGTGTCCCTCTCCATGCCTTGTTCTTTCGTGTCTACAATTACGGTCTTCGTCCATGCTTAAGAGGGTTCGCTTTCTCCGTTCCGTGTTCACCACCTGCGCTGTTACCAATGACTTCTAAGTCAAGCGACGTACTCAGGTTAGTCAGAAGCTCACACTTCCTGCCTGTGTCGACGAAAATCAACAGCATCATTCAATAGGAGATGCACGTCGGTGCTAAATCGTTCCGTCACAAAAGACTGACCAAATATCAAATCCCGATCCTGTTCCAAGGTTATCCCCGCAAAGCCCCACTAGTGCAGATTGGAGATCAATCAGATTAACGTCAATCATTTCAAAAACTTGGAGGAAGTTATCTAAATTGGTACACAAACAACATCTGGGTCGCGATCCTCATGATACAGTTGGGACTTCCGAGGTCGAGCGAGGGCGAACAATGCTTGCGATCTTTGGAAATACTCAGATGCCCATCGATGCATGGAAGAGGACTCAGTAGAAACACTGCACAGGAAGCTTGTTGCATCTGGCGTCAGGAACCTTGGAAATTCAATTGGCAGAATTTTCACAGGATCACCATCTAGAAACCGACAGTCGCTTTTTCCTGGGCTAATACGAGCAATACGAGGGACCTCGATCAGTTCCCGGTCCATTCCAATGACAGGACGCGAACATGACAACTAATTTTTCTCATTGTCATTCAGGGCCCATAGATACCTAGCCCCCTGTTGGATTCAAATTAATCAGTGTCTAAGTAGCATAGAGAACCGTGATAAACATGACACCTAGGGGCAACTTGCAATATCAATCTTGGAAGTACAAAGCGGGGCGGAGTACGGAGTACCACACAAGTGACATATACTTGCCGCCGCTGTGGAATTGTCTTGCCTACATACATAAACTGGTTCAAAATGTGTACCATCCATGTATATTATGTGCAAGGGGGTTTTCAAACCTGTTTGGAGTGCAGACGTGGAGCAGATGGAGTCGGAGCGGGTGTGTTGTCCGCACTCACCCGCCTTATCACATTGCCACAAAATTGTCTAAGTATAAGTATAAGTATAATGGACCTTTAATATCTACACGAGCAACTGATTTGCGGCAATTACTCCTTCCAAATTTCTCCTGTATTCTTTTCCATTTCCCTGAATATTTACCACTCGACCCAGGTGGGGAGACTTTTGATCTATAAAAAAATTGGAACTACCTCAAGTGTATCAAGGTATAGCTTCCAAGGCTGCTCCTGAACGCAGCTTGAATCAAAATAGACAAGCTATGGCCGTGTCACCACTCACAGTCACTCCGTTTTCGCCTCCGGCTGGCTCGGTCATTGACTTCGGGGCAGAGATTCGAGGAGTCGACTTGGAAAATTTGGATAGTACGAACTCCACAATCGTTGCACGGGCACTCGACTAATAGGCTGTAGATGAGCAGTTTCAATTGATTAGAGGTGCGCTCTATACGCACCAAGTCGTGGTCTTCAAGAACCAGAAGGGTCTCTCGCCCAAGGCTCAATATGAACTGACCAAGCGCTTTGATCCGGTTTCGGAAAACTATGGGCACGGAAAGGCCATCGATGCAAAGAGAAGCATTCTGCATCCCGATCTCAAAACAGTCCCCCACCAGCCCCAAGTCCAGGTGATTGGGAACGGAAAGGTTCAGTCATATGAGGGCCTTAAGGATATTCAGTTGCGCCATCCTCATCACCGAACATTTCATCAAGATCATATCCCTGATGACAAGGATTATGATTTCACCCGGTTCTACCGCTGGCACATCGATGCTGCTTTGTACGATTTATACCCTCCTCAAGTGACAACACTTCTTGCAGTCAAGGTGCCAAAGGGTCGTCGTCAAACACTTTTGTATGACGATGGGACAGGGGAAACGCTGGACGTTCCACTTGGAACAACTGCATTTGTCAGTGGTGAACGGATGTTTGAGCTTTTATCGCCCGAGGATAAGGAGTTCGCCAGAACGAGCAATGTTGAATATGCACCTCATCCGTAAGATCTCGTCCTCGAACTCCCTTTTGCTTCACCTCCTACGGCAGTTAACCCCGGTGACAGGTATATTTGGATGAGTGCAGCCCGCTCTCGTTCAACCGGACTGGGTATGCAGTCGGAAGGACTCGAGCTGTCGAACTCGGAGCTGCCACCCATTGACCCTAGCAAAATAATGATCTTCCCAATGACCTGGAAGAACCCCGTGACGGGAAAATTGGCTCTGCAAATTCACCCGTCCGCCGTCCTCCGGATTCACTGCGGTGATGGTACCACGATCGATGATCTGCCCCGAGTTCGGGAAATTGTTTATAAGCTTCAGCGACCAGCCATCAGCCCACAGTATGTGTATCCACACGACTGGGCCGAGGATGACTTGGTGCTGTTTAACAATCGTGGCGTGCTGCACTCGGTAGTTGGTGCATTCAAACCAGACGAGGTTCGACTGTTCCGCCAATGCAACCTGGCGGCTTCCGAACCTCCTGTTGGACCATAGCCGAGATAAGAGGGCCATCATGTGCGTGTAGGAGTTAACGTGTTGAGATGGCTCCACATTCACTTGAGAATCATCGAAGACGAATTGGGCAATATGGTCTCAATCGAGATCGCTCATGATTTGCTATAATACATAAGATATTGTACATGTTCAAGGTTACTGTATAGTTAGAAGAATACAAGCTGTTGGCCATCGCTCACCGGACAATAAAAAAGCCGTTGACAGCGATCTGGCTCTCTCTGATCTCATCGGTAACAGATCGAACTCCGACCTTGTGCAATGGGACCTTCTCGGCCAACTTTTGCCCGCGTGTGATAATGTTGGCGAGACCTTCTTGGGTACGGTCGACCCAATTTAAGTTTGGTTGAAGGTCCATAGTTTGGTGTTCCGCAGCCCATGCTGGATGGGCAAGAGTCTCCTGCACGACGGTAACATCGTAGACATCGGCAAGCATAGCGGCCTCCATCGCCGCAGCTTGTGCATCGGCTAGTTGTTTACTTGTGTTTCCGGTAGGCGGAGGGATCTCAGCTCGAAGGTATCCTAAAACAAGAACCTCGATTCTCTCGCTTTGAAGGGGGACATTTTGTAGAAAGCGTAATGCCACCGTGCGTTTCGCAATTTGGGCCAGGTTCACACTGGCAGCTTGTAGAGGGTCCATCGCCCTCACGGACAGGATAGTCGGATACCACGAACTCACCGCAGAGCCCCTGTTCGCTGCAGCATCAAAACGAGCCCAGCCAAAATAGTATCCTCTCAGTTGTTCTGTTACCCAGTCGGGCATTTTTGTCAAATTCAAGTTTGGCTGATCTTCCTCGCTTCTGAGTGACGGGGGTGGTGCGGGTTGAGAACGAGCCTTGAAAGACATTGGAAATGGTGGCTGCGGGCCAACTTCAACAGTCACCGGTTCATTGCTCATAATCTCCGGAGTCAACCGATTTGGCTGAAATTGACCAATAGGACCATGGTGCCCGTTGATTATACCGCCAATCCGATTTTGGGCACCACTGGTGGTGTATACCTTTTGTGCCACGGCTTTCGTCACTCGGGAAGGGGCCAGGCGATCGACTCTGGCTTGGATGGCTACAGCTGCCGGCGCAGCTGCAGTACGTGCTGCAGTATTGGCATAGACACTCAGAACCATGGCTCCAACCTCCATTGGTAGAGTGCTCAAGCTCGCACCGCGGATAGAGCTCGGAGCGGTGGATGCGGACAACACGCGGAACACGGGGCTATTCCCGAGCACCTTTTTCTTGGGTCCTTGACAAAGGACGAGCTGGAAATAACCATCCCCCGCCTCGGCGGGTATGCGTACTACGGAAGTTTCCCGCAGCACATGCGCATTGCGTGGACGAGTAGTAGCCTTCTTTCGAAACTTCTTGATGTCGCGTTGCCACGCTCGCTCATCGTTTGGAGGTACTTGATCGGCTCTTACCGGCATTCCAGGAGTCACATCCAGCCAGCTGTCTCGGAGGCGGAGAAATGATTTCACTTGCATCCCAGTCTTGCCAGACCAACCTCGGTTTTGTAGCCAAAGAGTACGGTCAGCTGGTAGGTGAGCATCGGAGAATATTGAAATCGAGACTGATGTTGTATTTCCACGATAGAAGACGATCCCATGAGAGTGTCGGAGTATAGTAACATGTTTATTCGATTCAGTGGGATGATTGATGAGACCGCCGAGGAAATGCCGAGCTTCGGTATACGCCTTCTGAACAGATGTCGCGGGTTGGGGGTTTGGCGAGGCTGGAGGCCCGGCTGTCCGAGGCCGCGGAGGTAAGCCTGGACTTGGGGTCCTTGGGGTTTTTGGCGGTGGGCCGTAAAGGTCGGCGTATGATGGGGGCAGGGTCGATGGGGCCAGAGTTTCACAGGAACCAGCTGTCACATCCCGATGATCGGCACGCGCCGTAGCCCGCAGGTTCGGGTTGGACACTGGCTTCCGCCTCAATGCTGGGTCCAGGTGTTCTGGTTTCAAGTATGAAGACATCTTTGGCCGAGAGATTCCCTCCACCATCAGGAAAGGGGGCCCCAAGGGGGTTCAATCGGATAGTCCGGGGTCGTGACTGTTGTTGGCCCGAGCTTGGCTTACGGCCTAAGGCATAAACTTCCTAGGCCAACCTTGGATGTATCTCAATCTACCCATGCTAAGGGAGTTTATACTTCAAATGACATACCTAGATAATTATATTACCAGGTACTCAACACTTCTCGTGTTTCCTCGCCAAGGCGTTGCTAGCCCGAGGATCTCAGGGCGTGCACATGCAATCATTACAATTTCAAAATGCTAACCAGCTCCAAACAACCTTGGGGACATCGTTTTGGTCCGCTTCTGCTCGACTCTGTGGAGCATTGCTCTATGACCGATTCTGGGGTTCAACTTTGATATGTATGGCACCGAATTCCCCTTCCTCCACAAAGAAACAAAGAATACCTTGTGAGTAAACATCATCTCATGTTCGTGCTTGCGTTGGACTCGTTTTGAAGCAATGTTTGCGAGTGCTCAATTTCGTTGTATGAAAAACAGATTCCCATGAATTTGACCATCTCCGCGGCTGGATATATGTCAGCTTGAAGTCCATTCTCATGAATTCGATGCAAACTGACCGCTGATTCTGGGCCTGGAAGGGTCATTCTCGTTTGCTGCATTCGCTCGAGTGAAGTGGAGTACTAGATCAACTCGTGAACGGCGGGAGGTTTCATACATCTGAAGCCGGGTAGGTACAGTTTCGTTTGGAGTTCCGCAAGGCAACAGGGTCGCAATGCTAACGGCATCTTCAATGGCCATAGCTGCCCCTTGGCCCATGACTATCGTTCGGTCAGTTAAACAGATAATTGCAAGTCAGTTTCAACGGGCCCGGTATGCTTACATGGCTGGAATGGATGAGCCGCATCTCCAATCACCGCAGCATGGCCTCGGGTCCAAGTTGGTAGTCCAAGCATGTCGTAAAGATCCCAAACCTTCGGATTGTCTGCGCTTTCAATGATCTTTTGGACACCGGATGGGAAGTTAGAAAACGCCCTCTGAATGGAGGATTTGTTTCCATTTGCCTGCCAGTCTATTAGATCGAGGTACAAATTAGCATGTTTTCATTGATTGAGCAGAATCATGGCAATCACCATTATCCACGGTTTCCGCCCTCGCTTCACTTGAGGGCACGAAAGCACACAGGTTGAACACTTGATTGTCAGAGCAAGGGTAGGCTACAAGCCGCCGATCCTCAGAAGACCAATCAATGAAAACACCTGGCTGCTGCACAAACTTCATCGTATCGTCATGCTGTCTTAGTTGATCCGTTGGCAAAAGCCAGCGGAAACATGACGTGCCCACAGGGTACGCACCTGGAGCATCTGGAGCAACGCTCGAACGGACTTGTGACTAAAGAAGATCAATATTCAGCCTTCTGGAGGGGGTCTTCACCAGTGATTGGTGCTGATTGCATACATGTAGGCCATCTGCACCAATGAGAAGGTCACCATCGAAACTCCGACCATCGCTCAGTCGGACCGACGGCCGCGGCCCTTCCAATTCTACCTCGTGGATGTGACACTGGGTATGCAGCGTGGCGGTCTCAATGGCACGGTTCTTCAGGTTATTGTGCAAGTCAACTCGATGTACGAGATACCATTCCTGTCCGAACATCAGGATTTGTGTCGTATGCGTCTGTCTCACACTGTTTTCACTCACTGCTTGCCATGAATGGCGGACGCTGTCGAATTCCTTCTTGTATTCCAGGTCACCATGAGCCCCGTATCGATGTATCTATGGAAAAATGAGCGCACGCTAGGTTGTCATTGGTTTCCCGTACTGACCTCGCTGAGCAGCGTCCCGCCAAATTCAACTGGGTCGACACCCATCCATTTGAGCAATGCTGTACAATTCGGCGGCAAGTGAATTGCCGCGCCCGCTTCCCTGAGGAAAGCCGACTTCTCCAAAATCTGGAAGACTGAGTAGCTGATTCGCCGAGCTGCATGAAGTGGCAACATACCACGACGCGATGGCCTTGCTTTCCGAGAGCGATAGCAGCGGAGAGTCCGGCGATGCCGGCACCGATGACGAGAATATCCAGAGGTCGGTTTGATATATTCATCTTGCGTCGAATCGTTGGCCGAGACCTGTGCCTGGGTGAATGACAGCTCAAGCGTCCTATGTGGATTTATATGCTTCGAATTGTCCGGCCGAATCCCTCGATTTGGATAAATCCGATCGTTGTCTCCGAGTTCCCCGTTGGCCGCTTCGATGATATGAGACGATCTGTTTCGCTCGCTTCTTCACAGCCCCGTCCTCCGAAGAGACGATTAGTAGTGATCAAGTGGCACTTCGGCACTTCGGGCTACGCGAAAAGCGACTCAAATACACCAAGGGGTGTAGCCAAGGGGTGTGATGAGACATGATGAAACCAAGCGCGCTATCTGCGGTCTCATGCCGACCGGGGGTGGGACGATCGCCGTGCAATGATCTTTGCATCCTTACGGAGTGCTACATGTGAACTTTGGACCCGGGACAGCCTTTATTACTGGAAATGTGAGGGATGGAATTGAATTTGATTTTATCAACACAGCTTGATAGGATAGAGGGTGTGGAATGCCCCTCGATCTTCAGAGGTCACGATCATGGCCACATATCTCCACACCAGACTCACGGATTCGAAAACGCACAATTCATAAAGACAGTGTGTGGGATGGGAGTGTCATAATAAGGCGAGGTTTCCACGAAACCATGCTTGCGATATAATGCTTGCGCTGCTGACATTTCAGGCAGTGTGTCCAACCGAATTCCGCTGTAGCCCAGGGCTTTGGCCTGTTCCAAGATGGCTTCCACCAATCTATCCCCCAGGCGTTCTCCTCGCGCTTCTTCCCGAACGTACAGACGTTTCATTTCACACCACCCTCCGGAACTGCGGCGTAAGGCGACGCAACCCAGCACCTGGGAAGCGCGCGGAAGCGGTGGGGCGGTAAGCGTTGAGTCGCGTTGAGTGGGCCCTTCAATGGTTGCGATTAAGAGAGCACCCCCTTGAGAGGCTGCATATCTCCCAGGAAGGGAACTTAGCTCCTCTTGGAATGACTGAAATGTTAAATCGATTCCAAGTGATGTCGAATACCCACAGAACAACGATCGGACCGACTCGGCATCTTGGGGGTATTGTGCCTGGACTATGTGGATTGCCATGATATTGAGGCGCAACGCGGTAAAAGAATCCCGGTGTGAGGTACGGACTAAAACTAATGTGCGGAGTACGGCGTACGGAGTTCTTGTTCCAGTAGAAGTCCCAAAGTCTAATGTTAGAATGGTGACTCAGAGGTGGGAGATTGAAGCCTTTGGTGATTGCTCAACTTTAGCCCTGACAGGCCAAAACGGTCTACTGTCGCGGTGCAAGTATGACTCAAAACCCTCCTACTCCGTACTGAGTACGGAGTACGCTTGTACAAGAGACCCCCCCTGCATCACGTGGCTCTCTTTCAACACGTGACTCCACTTTTCTTTTCTCGTGACAAAACATGGATCCTTCGCAAATAGTGTCCCTGGCTCACCAATCGGAGATCTCTTCGCGCCTGAAGATCCATGGGCATCTCCACACCGAGAAACTGCCCGGGTACCTGGTTGGCCAAGACGCGATGGCAAAAAAAAATAAAAATAAAAATAGGCACGATAAAACGCGTGCCTGCTCGGAATTGTGCCGGTGAGGCGACAAGGACAGCAGAGAAGAATCTGACTGGTGACCTGGTCACGTCCTCCAAGGGTGGTACTGTATATTTGCAAAACAAGTGTACAACATGCAATATATACGTGTGCTCGTTCACCATGATTATAAGCTTTGAAGCCAAATTGACTAGGGTACCGCCATTGGAGAAGCTTGACATCAACATTGTTGATCAGTTGGGGGTGACGCCGTGTACGAGATTCAATATGTACCAGTGGAATACTCCGTACACTTGTGCTCTCTAATTGGAGTCTCGTATTTGAAAAAATGGAGTAGCTTGAGAGAACTATACCCACCTAGGGAGGTAGAAAACGTGGATGGTGTGATGATCCGAGGAATTTGACCGAAACCGGGCCACACTGTTTCAGGAAGGCGCTGACTGTGGACATCTTTATATCCGATAAGGTAAGATCCGGTGCAGATTCGGAATATTGGTTCTTGCTGCCCCCGTCGTCATTTTTGATTTTTTTTCCCTTTTGCTTCGCGAGGCTTGGGTCCTGGTTTCGAAGTCATCATCCCACCCTTCATACTTACCTCCGTTTGACTGTGGTGATCCAATGTCGGCGATCAAGGATGCGAGCAAGATCTTCCCGGGCGATGGCCCCGATATGACTGATCGGGAGCAGCAGATCTACGAAAGTGGTGTTGAGAAGTTCAATCAGCTAGGATGGAAGCGTCTCACCATCGTCCTGATTGTGGAGGCTGTGGCACTCGGAACCCTCTCCATCCCATCGACCTTCGCGACTCTCGGTATGGTGGCAGGTGTGATCTGTTGCGTCGGTCTCGGTCTCATCGCTGTCTACACCAGTTACATCATCGGCCAGGTCAAGGTCAAATTCCCACAAATCTCCAACTATCCCGAGGCAGGCAGGATGATGTTTGGCCGGTGGGGATATGAAATCGTTTTTATCATGTTGTGTTTGGAGTTGCTCTTGTCTGCGGGATCTCACTGTCTCACTGGAAAAATTGCATTCGAAAACATCGTTGGTGGCCACAAGATGTGCTCAGTGATTTGGGCCTTCATCTCCGCTATTATCTTGTTGCTTTTTGCCATACCCCCAAGCTTCTCGGACATGGCTATTCTCGGATATATCGACTTTGTCTCTATCATCATCGCAGTCGGAATCACCATCATCGGAACTGGTGTGGAGGCGAGTTCCACTACAGGCCTCGCAGCTGTCAACTGGTCTGCCTGGCCTAAAGAAAATCTTACGTTCGCCGAGGCATTCATTGCTCTTTCCAACATCATTTTCGCCTACAGTTTCGCGCTATGCCAGTTCTCTTTTATGGATGAGATGCATACGCCTACCGACTTCCCCAAGTCTGTGTGGGCCCTTGGTATGGCTGAAATTGGTATCTACACTATTACCGGTGCATTGGTGTATGCCTTTGTCGGCCAGGATGTCCAGAGCCCTGCTCTACTTTCCGCCGGTAATCTTTTGAGTCGGATTGCATTTGGTATTGCGCTTCCGGTAATCTTTATTAGCGGTTCCATCAACACTGTGGTGCTGGGTCGACTAGTTCATGGTCGCATTTTCAAGAACTCCAACGTCCGCTTCATCAACACGAAACTTGGATGGGGCACATGGCTTGCTCTCGTCGCGGCCTTGACTGTCCTCGAATTTGTCGTTGCCGAGGTCATTCCATTTTTCGATGATCTCCTGTCCCTGATCTCATCACTCTTCATTTCTGGATTTACCTTCTACTTCCCGGCTATCATGTGGTTTATGTTTATTCGCAGTGACAACACTTCAAAGGGTAGCAAAATCCTTCTCGGGGTGGTCAATGTCCTCATTTTGATCATTGGCCTGATTGTGTTGGGCGCTGGAACTTATTCCAGCATTGTTGACATTGTAAGTCTCATCCGGTGTTTTTTCACCGTGCCATTCTGACTCTTATACAGATCAACTCCTATGCTGAAGGTACCGTTGGGGGTGTCTTTTCATGCACGTCCTAAGCTGTAGAAGCGAACGCCCGGGCTGTTTCCAAAGTTTTGTATAAATATAGATATAGATATAGATATAGATATGATAGATATGATGGACATACTGTATATTTTCAGCTGCTCAAGTCTCGAAACGTCCACGGGTCCACCTGGGCAATACCTCGACCTCGGGAGTGCTACAGATACCCCTGGATCTAGCCTACCGCGGGTTCCCTACGGGTGTCGCATTCACTATTCTTTTTTTTTTTTTTTTTTTTCTGGAGGTTGATTACCCTCCAGTGTTGTTTGTCAGGTGAACCTAAATCCAAGGATGCTGCTCGATGCCCAGGTAGGTAGCTGTTTACCCCCCCCCGGCTCGGGGTGGCACCGACATCCATGGATCGACTCCCGAGCTCAGGAGGTTGGCTTTGATATATATATCTCGACCAAGTCGGAATCCACAGTTGGGGCCTCGAAGGATCTTCTGAGTTTTTATCCATGGAAGTCCTGGAGTTACTACAAAGACATAATGTTGAAATTTTGGAACACAGTCGATACCTACAAATAATCCCAAGGTTACCTAGGTAGCCCCCAGGGCTTGAAAGCCCGCCTGCATTTGACGGACTGCCGATGTAAACCAAACACCCGGGCACTACTCCGTACCTTCGTACGTCAGAGCCCCCCCTCCATGTAGACACTACACAGACCACGACTGTAGCGAGCTCCGCACTGTAGTTTGATTTTTTTACAGCCCGTAGCTCTGACCTGGTTTGAATCCTAGGTCACATTTGAGCGAGCTCCATCAATCAGGAACATTGTTGCGGACCGGGAGCTATAAAAGATGTCGATAAAATGATTCGATGCTCGACTTATGTCACTACGTATTCCATAGACTCCGCGGGTGGACTTTGGACACCCAAGAAATTGACCAGCTGGGCAGTACTACTCCGTAACTATACTCGAGTTTGACGTTCTTACCTTGCAAGGTGACAGGGGTGAAATTCTCGAGGTCCGAGGTCTGAGGTCTGTGGCTCAAACACACGTTGCGGTAAACCCACCTGGGCAGTACCATGTCAAGATCATTTGGAATCGATCTTACGAGTTTGGTCTGATACACCTGGGTAGATCCTCAGGCTTTTTCACTTTTTCACTTTTTGGGTTTTTCTTTTCGGGTGTGTTGTGGAGCTTAAGGGTTCTCCGTTGGAGAGTACCTTGACTTGGGGTTTGATTTGTCCGGGTCAAGAATCCTTGAAGCATAACATTCAGCCAAGCGAAAATTAGCACCAACAATCATTGCTTTAATTGGCTGGGCTGTGGATTCCGGGTTAACGAGATCGCTCACTGCCGGGGCGGCCCCTGGCAATTGGAGATATCTGCGTATTTTCTGGGATGTGATTGGCCTTCGGGAGTACAGGGGCTGCATGAGCCTTCCCATTGGCGTGAATCATCAAGTGAACCGACCGGTGGGGGCTTTCACTAGTCGATATGTACATCATCAATCAGGTATGCGGGAATGGTCAACATTGAGGGATTACATTTTTCGGTAGTCGTCCATTGAGCGCCAACCAATACCGAGCCCGGTGTGTCCCCACAATGCTTGGGTGAGATCCCCCTTGTTAGTGATAAAGCAAAACTGCTATCCTAGTATACTAGAATCGGTTGCCGTGAACGTCTTGTGAGTTACGAACAAATCGTGTGGTTAACGCCGCCAGATACGATCAGCGTGAGAGATTCGGATATCAACTCTTGTTGGGTGCTCACCCGAGATCTTCGCTAGTCACTCTGTGCATTGTTCGTGGCCTTACCGAATTGCTGGTGCGGTATGCGCATAGCATGCGCTACAAAATCTGTATGATGGACAGTCTTTACATCAACGTAACCCTTCATTCTTTCAAGATTATTATGGTGAGATCGTCACGTCTCAGGATACAACCTCACATGGCAAGGCTAGATTTTAGGCATGTCCCAGTGCACCAAGACTACAACAAACAAACAAATGGTACCTCAAGTCAATTTGCCGAACGGATAGGCAGAATGTATGATCTGCAAGCCATTTATTTATGAAAGGCTATCGCAGCCCTGAAATCTTGTCGTCTTTCGTACATGTCGCCAAACGCCAACTTTCGTCAATCTTTCGCCAATCAACGCCAACTTTTGCCAATCTTTCGATAACCTTGCAATCTCTCGAAAATCCGACATCGGGTAGTCTGCTATTGCGTTCCCGATTTAATTATCCGACTCAGTTCTTATTTTAGCCGCAACCTGCTGTGGCCATGTCAATCGGCGTGTCGGTAGACTTCTACAATGCCCGTTCACAGGTAGACCAACAGTCTAGCTGGGCAAGTCCTGTACCAGCAGCTCATATAGTTTCCAACACGGGTGCGACAGGAATCGGAGCTGGACAGTCCTCTCCCAATGGACCCCAGAGCTCTTATCAGTTGTCAGGGCAGCCGTCGACACCCAACACACAAAGCCCCGCTGTACCTGATGATGGCCAATACCACCCAAACCAACAGGGGTCAGCTGACAAAGGCACAGCATCCAACACCCAAAGTCAACAAGGTGGCAAAGCTCTATCTTCTGCAAGCCAGCAGGTGGGCAGTGGTCAGCAGACAACGGCTGGACAGCAAGGTGCTCTTGAAGGAGGACAGAAGGCACCAAGTAGCCAAGGCCAACAGTCGTCCTCGCAAAACATGACACCAGCGCAAAACCAAGATGGACAATACCATCCCGACTCGGCTTGGAATCAGCAAAATTCCGCGACTGACAACAGTGGCCAGGCCAGTCACGCTCCCTCGCAACAGCAAGATGGAAGTCAAGTCCAGCCAAACCAACAGGGCGCACCAGTGCAACACGGAGCAAGCATGCAAGCGGACAAGATTGATCAGTCCAACTGGAACCAAGCTGCTTCCACCAACGATTGGACCTCGCCAGCCAGTTCAGCTCCGTCACCCACTGCGACGGAGAAAGAGCCACAGCACACCAGCGCGGAAGCCTCGACCAGCGCTCCTTCCCTCCCTGCATCCCAGTCGTCCCAGTCATCTGATACATCTGCCACCTCAGCTGCTGCAAGTGCAGGCATAGCTTTGGCAGTCATCGCTGCCTTGGGGCTGATCGCAGTTCTTGTCTTGTTGCCCCTGTACAAGAAGCGGAAGCGTCTCCGCAAGGTACTTGGGCACGATCAAAAGGTCGTCGTCATGGAACAGCCCCCGAAGAATCGTATGCAGCCCGTGAATGAGTTCATGGCTAGAAGCTATAGTCACAGCCACCGCATGGTCAGGTCCGCTACTGGATACTTCAAAAACAAACGGCAAACTCCACCTCAATTTCCGCAAACCAGCCGAGCCCCGTCGAGCAGCAGTCGCAAGTCTTCGAATCAAGAGAAGCCACACCCCACTATTACTGCTGTTCAGGCTTCACATAGTACACTTCCTCCCACGCTCCACTACTCTCCTCCTGCTTCCTTCGCGACCTGGTCAACGGAAGGATCGAAGTCGAGCTCGAACAACTCTGTGGCCCCTTCGCACGATGAGCGACAAGTGGAATCACCAACCTCTAACCTGGGTCAGTTCTATGGGCTCGGTTCGGTGGAGAATCTCAGTATGGGCAACTTGGTCGCTGTCAATCCACTGATGAACAAAATTTACTCCGTGGAGATGGATTACAATTCCGGAAAGCCAGGCCAGCTTGTGCTTCGTGTGGGCCAGCGATTGACTATTTTGCAAGTCTACGATCATGGATGGGTACGAGGTTCTCGATTTCCACCACTCCTGCTTCCTATGCTGACAATTTCTCCTTTGCTGTAGGCAGTCGCTGTTCGCCTGGACTCACCCGAGGCCGGATTAGTTCCTCGCTCGCACATTTCCGCGGTCCCTGATCAGAACCCGCTGCAGACCAGTGACGCGATTCCCAAATCAAACCGGAACTCTTTGGTACCCCAACCTATCACTGCTCTAACCTCGCGATTCTATTCCTTGTTCTCCCATAATTCCCAAAACCGCCATCCTTCGTCTCCTGTTTAGCAAAATCAAGAAGTTTCTGTCGTGAAGTGGTTTAAATCGCTCTCCTTCTTTGTGATCTATACATCCCAAATTGAAGTACATACATGGTTTGACGAAGGATTCCAAATCCCAATCCCACCGCAAAAGGCCGCTCAATCCCATAGTGGTATCCAACAGATGTAACGCACATTCCTTTCCACACCTACATACATAAGACAATGGGGATGCTACGTAGCAACGCGGCACATTCCGTGACGATCATCGCACAATTGGCAGAGGAAAATGTACTGCCGAGGTCCTTCCTACCTTTGGGTGAGTACGCAACTACGAGTGTTCCACCTAGATTGGGAGCGTGACAGCACGAGGTACTCCGTACAGAGATAGAACAGATCTTCCCAGACAGCCGAGAATTTCGCTGCTCCATTCGCCCTCCAGAGCTTTATTTCAAGGGTTTGACACGTTGTCATGGCAACATGGTAATGAACCCCCCCTTTTCGGATTTGATGTGATGTATAAAGTGGAGATACGGGGGTTCCCCGATATCTCTAACCCAAGCCATCCTCAGCCCAGACCTCCGGGAGTACGGTACTTCCATAGATCACATTTGTTTCACCAAGTCTCCATAATCCCAATATCTCGGTCAAGCGACAACAAAATGATTGGATCCTAGCCTGCCAACAATTTGGCCCCCAATGTGGGATGGGTCATGCTTACACCTACTCCGTACAGTAGTGGGCCCCTTTTCCGAAGAAGCTAATGTTGCCACGAACCCATCTTGATCTGTTGACATTGGGCAGTTGGAGTAAACTCGTTCCGAACTCGCATTAAAAATCGTAGATGCTGGTGAAGTTTATGGTCTATTCCCGATCGTGCCAAGTAAATAAGCCACACCCAGCCAGCAGCAAAACTGCTCAACTCCAATTCCAGCGGCGCACCAAAACCCTCCAGGGCTCGCACCACCATAACCAGAAGTGTAAAAACATGATGCAACGACTCATCGATTTTCTCGATCAACACCCTCACATCCCTTATTCCACCCCTTCCTCCTCCGAGTTCAACACCCTTCGCCCAGGCTATGTGATCGACTCTACGACGCCAGCGATAATCCTGCGACCTCGCACGGCCGACGATGTTGCCGGTCTGATCTCTATTCTCAAAACAAATTCCCTTCACTTTGCAATCCGGGTTGGTGGACATGATATGTTTGGCAGATACCAGGCGGAAAGTGCGGTTACCATCGATCTCCGTGAGATTGCCTACATACATGTGGATCGGGAAGCCCGAACTGCGCGCATAGGAGGAGGTGTTATAGTCTCGGACCTGCTCTCGGTGCTAGATCAGTATGGTATGGTTGTGCCACATCCGATCATCTCAAGTGTCGGGTTTGTTGGCTGGGCCACACATGGGGGCTATGGCCTTATGAGTTCTGAGTATGGCCTGGGAGTTGATCAGATCCTGCAGGCCAAGGTGGTTGGCGCAGATGCAACTGTCTGCAACGCAAATGACGAAATGTTGGCCGTGATTCGAGGGGGAGGTGGGACACTTGGCGTGATTGTCGAGCTGACCATCAAAATCTACCCCCTGGCCCAGGTAATGCGGACTCCATCTGATCTTGACCCGGTCCTGATTGTCATGACAGCTGCTCGCAGGATTCATACTATACGATTCCAACGACCTCCCCGCGGCGATCAAGCGATACAACGATGCGTATCGTCAGCAGAAAGCTACACTCCCGAAGGAATTGAATCTCTTCCAGTCCGTTATGAACGGCCCCGTTGGAAAGGGATTTGGGGTAATCTTTGTTTGGGCATCCTCAGACCTTGATGCCGGACAAACATGGTTGTCCCGAGTGAGCTCCTGGTCACCTGTATCCCTGAGTACCGTATCGTCAACAACGATGGCTGCATTCAACGAAACCACAAAGGCCATTGCCCCTCAAGCCGCCTTTGGGAAATCTTTGACGCTGAGCTTCAAGGATCTTACCTCAGAAGTTATCAATGTCATCTGCAAGCATGCGGTATTGCAACCCAACAGTCCAGCCACTATCTTGGGTATGCACGAGCTGCGGGAGTGTGCCCCAAAGCCTACAATGGACACCTTAATTGCCGACCGTACCCCCCATTTGGTGATGGAGTTGCTTCCTACTGTGCGGGACGCTGCTTTGCTGGACGCTGCGCTTGCATGGGCCGAGGACCTTTACAAGGATCTCGTCAGCACGGATCCTGACAACAAGCTGATCTCTACTTACCTCCCACTGACCGAGCCAGATAGAGTCAATATGCAAGGTATCTATGGGGACAAGTACCAACTGTTGAAACTGATCAAACATAAGTATGACCCTGATAATGTTTTTGCGCGTGCTCTAGCTCAAGTGTGACATTGAAATATGCCAAAACCTCAAAAAGAGAGAGAGAGAGAGAGAGAGAGGAAGAAAGGAAAGTTGGACCAAACGGACCATACCAAATTACTCTCATTAAGATACAAGATTTGTCCACCACGAACCGTTCAAAGCCAGATCCCCAATGCCAGAAATTAAAATTAACAATTGTCCCCCCAAGCGCCAACCAAAAAGCTCTACTGGTAGGTGACAGTAAACTCGCTGTCGCTTTCAACGACCACGTGGGCCTTCACATCACCGTTCTGTTGGATATCCAAGAGCGCCGCATTGTCTACACCATAGGTGGCCCCATCGTCGGCCTTGGCCTGAGCACCGGTGAAGTCGACCCTGTCAAAGTCGGCCAAGGGAACCATGGTGTTGCCAGAGTTGAAGTCCTCAACAATCCATTCAGCATTTTGGCCAGCCAAAGTGGCGGATGTGGTAGGTGCACTCAGAGTCTTCGTGACACTCTTTCCGCTAGACTTGTTCTCAATGATAGCGACTCCCTTGCTGGGTGATGAAGATTCGACCTTCGCGACGATCACATCACCAGCGGTCAATTCCAGGTCAAAATTCTCAGCGTTCTTGGGGTACCACTCGTACCAAGCATCGAATGATTCTTCGCCATTCTGAATGTATGAGTCGATGCCAGTCTGAAGAATTGCCTCAGTATAGGTGTCTCCGTCGATGCCGACCCAGGCAGATACAGCTTGCAGCTCGTTGGAGTTATCGGTTGCCGTTGGTCTTGGGACGGTGAAAGTTGCCGAGACAGCAGTGTATGTAGCACTCGGAGGAGGCTGCTCACGCACGACTCCGGCCCAATTTTTGCTGTATTCGACGTCGGCACCTTGAGACCCTTGCTTAAGAAGAACACCGTTCTTCTCGGCTGGGATGGATTGGCGTGACAGAGCTCCGCGAGCTTGCAAGCGTTCGAGCAGGCCACTGCGAGGGGCCGCAAGGGAACCGCTCGTCAGCATGGCGGTGGCCAGGAGGGTGGTGGTAAACTTCATTCTTGCGTTTTAGGTTGGGTATTGGGGCGAAGCTTGGAGTATGTATATGAAGAAGATAGATGGTATCGGGACTCTGGATGGCTGACTGACATGGTCCAAGACAGGCCTTCTTGTTACTTATATTTTGAACTTCATACATTTTCGCATGCGTACACTGTCATGTTGAATCCGCATGGGGAAAGTCAAATCGCAGCATAGGAGTAGGAGTGACCGTATGCACCAGCTGAGACATGACCGTGGATCAGCCATAGTGAGCATGCGAGACATGCGAGTAGAAATCAAGCAAGAGCACGTTTCCGCAGGCATTTGAAGGGATGTTTTAGGCAAACCAGAGCCCCTTGGCCTTTGTGTGTTTTGACATGTGCTGATCTTGTCTATTCTCCTCCGGGTTGCCTGCAAATATTCTTCAAGCCGGGGTGTTTTTCCGTTATCGTCATCAGGCAGAGTTGAGATCAACCAAATTCGCTAAATCGAGCTTGCGTGTTCCAGTGGAAGAAGCATTCCTCCCGACAGAAACATCCGTCTGACAGCGACGGATCTGATGAAGATCGGCCTTAAATCCCGACATCAAATCTCCTGGCTGCAAGATTCACCTCACACCAAGAGCATCATACCGAAAAAGAAACGAAATTCAATTCAATGTCAACTCTGCTGATAATTGCACTGAAGTTGACGTTCAGGGGCGCCAAGCTTTCGTGACGCACTCCCAGCGTGTCCTCCGCTAGTGTATAGGTCTCCAGAGAGATCTGTAATTCTGCAGTCTTGCGATCTTTCAAACGGGGTTCGAAATATGATGGAGCCGGAGAAAATGTTAAAAACCACACATCCTTAATTGATAAGTTGTGTGTCGAACGTCATTTGGTCGATGTATTCATTTTGCTAAACAAGGGATGGCGATGAATCCACATTCCTCGGTATTTCTCAGCCTGGTGCCATCAACTCAACTTCCGTGAGCAGCATGCCTCCAGTCATAGTCAGCCGGTACAATGGTCTTCAGATCGCAAAGCGCATCAGGTTTGTGCACACGACATGTATAGGGCGGATGCGCTACCTGGCTGAGCCAATCTTGCGTCCACTGATTGCTGAGGTGTCCTTGTGCTGCCACATGAGAAGGCCGATCCCTGTTACTCGCGAATACTCCCAAGATTGGATTGATTTGTATCGCATGGCATTTGCCGATGACTCTAGGCTATCATGCTCAGACATGTGGTTAGGTAGCCAGAAGGAAAAATGTCCGGGTCTTTGTTGGAAGTTGAACCAGCAGGCCTTCATGGAAGGCCAGAGTAGAAGAATGATATATAGAGCTGGAAAACAGAAAGCAGCCATCTGGGCAGAGAGAACAACAGATTCAACCGGATTAGTTCAGTATACAAAACAAAGGCATTTGAAACCATTCGGATGTCATGTCCATGTTTTGTTTCTTGGCGAAAACGCGTGCTTTCGTGATCATCATTACATTGGGAGACGTCGCATCTCATCAAGCGACCAAAATTTCCGCATGTTGGCGGCTTCAAGTGTTTTGACCTCTTGGTCCAAGTGGGTCCATAGAACCTTTCCAAACCCATCCATCAGTCGCTTCACTTCGTCGCGGCGCATATCTTCCTCGCCGGAACGGCATTTCTCCAGATAATGCTCGAGTTTCTCAAGCCCAGCATGGATCTGCCGGTGCTGGCTTAACAGCTCAAGCTCTTTCCGAAACTCGGGCATCTTTTTGGCCAAAACAGGGAAAATATGCTGCTCTTCAATGGAGTGATGAAAGTCCAACTGCGAGCAAAACTGAAGACCCATCATAATCATTTGCCTGGCTGAGAGCGCCCCCTTCTTCTTGCTTTCGCAGGCCTCCCAAAGTTGATTCCAGGTCAAACGGAAATGGCTATGCTTTACCAGAATTTCAAGGTCAGTGATCTTGGCTCTGTTGATTCAAGAGAAAACTCTTGTATAGGTCAACTGAGGAAAAATGGGAGGCTTACAAATGCTTCCATTTGCTCGGACATGCGGTTATATATTCGGAAGTCACTCGCTGACAAGGGCAGAGGCTCGCCCGATTCCGAGGCAGAGGTCTTTTTGGCACCCATCGAATAGTTTGACGACAGTCTTGATGGAAGATGAATGGGAGAGTTGAAGTTTGCGCGAACAATTAGTGGGCGCAGAGGTAGGCGGATTCCACGCATGAGACGGCAGTTGAGACTTATTCAATGCCGAAGTCAGTGGAAACACCAGAAATGATATTATCGAAGTATACTTGATCTATGGAGAAGGTGAGAACACATGAGACACATGAGAAAGCAGAAATTTCTGATTCGGCGAGAGCGCCAAGACCGGGACTCCCTTTTTGGCAATCATCTCAGGTTGTCTGTGTCGATGTCGCCGCAAGACCTAGGCGCTTCCAAGGTTGGTTGTGTTACTGACGGTAATATTGTTACGGAAGAATAGGAACCCTGATGGGAAATCTGACACAAAAAACAAGTAATTTTGTTAAAAAACAACAAAATAAAACTAGTGTGCCCAAGTAAGCCGAGTCTCAACCCCATGAGCGTTGTGGCGAGACAACTTTGGCCATCAGAGGGATCGCTGATTGGGAGGCGTGCAAGAATTCACTAGACTAGATACGGGAGACTTTCAAAAAGTACAGGCGGAGAAAGAGAGAGAGAGAGAGAGAGAGAGAGAGAGAGAGAGAGAGAGAGAGAGAGAGAGAGAGAAAATGTATGTTATTATCAATACACGTCGGGGCACAGGGCGAGAAGATAAAAAGACAATGTGCCACCGGGAGGGGGAATCGAAAATTAAACAGTTAAAAGTCGTAACGCCGTGGATATGAAGTCGAATCAAAGCTCGCCATGCTCAACGGGTTTGGGTGGGCGGAAGTTGCCTTGGGAGAGTTCCTTAAAAGCAAGGTCAAACCGAGCACCCATCATCCACGCCGCAAAGATCATCAGGCCAGCGACGATGACGACAATAACACCCATGAGCGCCATCATGAACCAAACGTCATCCTTGTTCTGGGCGTCTTCCTGCTTCCTTTGGGCTTCTGCCTCAGTAAGCTCGCCAGTAACCTTGCGTTGAGCGGCCTCGGCGCTTTGTGTCGGGAAGATCGTTTCGATGAACTTCTCGATCTGTCCACAGACGATGCTGATCTTGAGGAAGTTGGGGTCCTTAGGGGTGTTCTTCTTGTGGATTTTGCGAGTGTAAACCCGGAAAGTGTCGCAAAGGACGCTGAGGTTCTGGGTCGACTTGTGCATAAGATCACAAGCGTCACCCTTGGTGATCTTGATGTTCTTCTTGAAGATTTCGGGGTTACGGAAGCACAATTCCATAGTTGCAATAGCCATAGACTGCGGGATTGCACAGAAGTTGAAAACGCTCTGCTCGCGCAGACCAGCCAGGTAAAAGAGACACTCCTCGGCGTGCTCAAGAGCGTTCAAAACCATCTCGGAGTTACAGTTGAGAGCGGCATCAAGGTGCTCAGGCTTGAAAAGATCCTCAAAGTTGTCAACGTGTTTAGACCAAATCTCCTGGGGCCAGAATCGGCGGTTATCGTCGAAGTCCTCCCGGATGTCGCGGATGATGTTGGTCTTCTGGAGGAAAAGTCCCATAGACTTGTGGAGTCTGGGACGCTTCAGAAGAGCAGGGTTGCCGAAGTCCGCCTCCACAAAGAGGCGAGTGAGACCCTCGCCAACCAAACCAGCAACATAGTGGCAATACAGGTCGTACTCCTCCTTAGTCTTCACGCTGGCATCATCGTGTTCGGCCTTGACCGCGTAGTCGGCCATTCCATTGCCCATTTTGTCTGTGATGTCCTTGATGATGACCTGATATTCAGGCTTCATGTTCACGAACTCGGTGATGACGTGGTTGAACCGAACCAGCAGCTCACGATCCTTCTCTTCCGGTCGGTTGCCGGTGAATGTCCAGCCCTCTTGCGTCAGAATGTTCTTGAAATCCCTGAGAAGGGGTTCCTTGGTGGCCAAGGGAATGGAAGTGTCATCCTCGATGGTGTCTAGTCCACGAAGGACAAGGTAGAAGATGCAGATGGGAATCAAAAGCTCAGGGTGCAGCTCCTTGATCACAGCACTGAAGCTTCGGCTGGTCTTCTCAAGAAATTTGAAGCAAAGCTTTTGGTTTTCGGTCTCTTTGCTTTCGTTGCGCTCATGGGGCGGATTGTGCCAAACTTTCCTACACGAAGACAATACATTAGGCCATGGAACAACGACAGCAGCTTCGCGCGGATATGAACGAACCATTGGATAATCGCTCTCAATTGCATAGGGTGGAAGGAGTAATAAAGCGCATTGCCGATGAAACCCATGGTGGGCGAAGAAGACGCGTGCACGTCGGAAGCTCTAATGGCAAGACGAAACCCAGACCGGACAGAGGGAATTTCAGATTGTAAGAGGAGAAAATGAGTACCAAAAAAGTTTGGAGTCGAAACAGCCAAAAATCCGGGGGCGAAGGCAAAGGAAAAGGGGAACTGGCGTAGAGGAGATTAAATGCAGAGTTAGCCCGCGAGGCACGTGACCACCATTACACCCCACATGATATCAGCGCCAACTCCCGAAAAATGATTATATCTTCTGCCTAACTTCTTGGCTTTTGATCTGATCTTTTTACAACCTCTTAAAGATGGTTGCCGATACTGCTTACTACGATGCGCTTGGTGTGCCACCGACAGCCACCGAGCTCGAGATCAAGAAGGCCTACCGAAAGTTGGCCATCGTCACTCACCCGGGTATGAAAGACCTCCTCGCGTTTTGACCTTTGGCGCGTCTTCTCATCCTATGCTACAGACAAAAATCCCGGAGATGAAACCGCCCACGAACGATTCCAAGCTGTACGCGGATACAATACCATTGCGTCCTCAAACTTATCGAGATGAGCTGAAGCTGAGACTTTACTTCTACCTAGATCGGCGAGGCCTACCAGGTTTTGAGCAACGAGGATTTGCGAAAGCGTTATGACAAGTTTGGCAAAGAGGAGTCAGTGCCTGGTGGCGGCTTTGGTTGGTTCTTCACATGCCTGCAATCGTTAAACCTCACAGTTCTAACATTCAAGTTACAGAGGACCCCTCCGAGTTCTTTAGCATGATCTTCGGCGGCGAAGCTTTCGTTGATCTCATTGGTGAAATTTCCCTGATGAAGGACTTGACCGCGACCATGGATATAACGATGCAAGAAATGGAAGAGGAAGAGCTGGCCCAGTCCGCCGAGGAGAAGCTCAACATCCATGACGAAGAAGTCAAGGCTGCGGGTGGTGATCCGACCGCTACTTCTGAGGGTCAAGATTCCACTCCCGGAGTTGCGACTGCACCTGCACCTGCACCTGCCGCTGCTGGTCCGTCCGAGAAACCCATCTCTGAACAGAGCTCCGGCCATAGTACCCCTCGACGAAACCTCGGCCAACAAGCCCTTATGGACAAGTCTGAAGAAGAAGCTCGCATGGAGGCAGCAGGTCTGTCTCAAGAGGAGAAAGAACTGCGCAAGAAGGAGAAGAAGAAGGGCCTTTCCAAGGAACAGCAGGAACGTCTGACCGCCTTTGAAGAAGAACGGAAAAAAAGCCCGCGAGGATCGTGTCAACACATTGGCAAACAAGTTGATTGATCGACTCAGCGTATGGACCGAAACAGACAAGGGCAAGGATGTTTCTCATGCCTTCGAGGAAAAGATTCGCCTTGAGGTGGAGAACTTGAAGATGGAATCTTTTGGCCTGGAAATCCTTCACGCAGTCGGTCAAACTTATGTGCAAAAAGGTACATCCTTCCTCAAATCTCAAAAGTTCCTCGGTATCTCCGGCTTCTTTTCCCGCTTGAAAGACAAGGGTACTTTGGCCAAAGAGACCTGGACTACCATTTCCACCGCTATTGATGCACAAATGACCATGGAAGAGATGGCCAAGATGGAGGAGCGTGGTGGCGAAGATTGGACAGATGAGAAGAAGGCCGAGTATGAAAAGAGGGTCACCGGTAAGATCCTGGCCGCAGCGTGGCGCGGTAGCAAGTTTGAGATCCAAAGTGTTTTGCGCGATGTCTGTGACCAGATTCTGAATGACAAGCGAACCCGACTCGAAAAGCGCGTGGAGCGCGCGCATGCTCTGGTGATTGCAGGCAACATATACGCAAAGGTAAGCAACACACCCTTTCTGCTTAGTTTTAAGCCATGGCTAACACAAATTTTCCAGGCTGCACGTGATCCCGAAGAGGAAGGTGATTATATGGCCTTTGAGCAGCTTATGGCCGAGGCTATGAGTAAGAAGGGCAAGGAGGGTAAGGATGAAAAGGACAAGAAGAAGAAGAAATCCAAACACGATCAAAGTGAGAGCCACGATGGAAAGGAGACCGTGGAAGAGGCCACTGCCTAGTTGGCAACATTGAATTTTGTCTCATTTTCAATAATGTTCTTCCGTCGTCGGCCTTTTGCACCTGGTCATAAATATCCTGGACATACATATTTGGCTTCCTACTTTTCTTCGTCTTTACAATTCTCCGACCAGGCGATTCCATTTATTTACAGCAGCTGGATGGCTGCACCTCATAATGTGCACGCAGTTTGTTCAAGCGATAGAATGCCCTTTTTGCCTCTCATGCCTCCTTGGATTAGTTGCAGCATCACAGTGTCGGCACAATGCAAACCTTGGAACTGTATGGACATGGATTTAGATATTCCTCCAGGGTTATGGTTATGAATTAGAGAATCAATCATTGACATGGCTTATTAATTATTAAATGGTACCTACATGAATCGAGTGAATACCTAGGTATGCCGCAAAAATGAATATCGGCGAGTAATTAAAACCACCACTCCATCACAGAACTGAATGTTGCTATGGTAAATGCTCACGTTGGGACGAGAATCAACCTTGGAAGCTGAGCTGGCCTCAGGTTGACAATGAGGTCTCGCCTTTGAGCGTTGCACCGTCGGTGGCTAACAGATACCGATAAACTAGGCGATTGATTGCTCGGCTGGTCATTCACATTAGCATTGTGATACACAAACTTTGATGGGATCATGGGAGTCACAAGGGGCGTACTCATGGACAGATCATTGACTGGCTCAGTTGGTGCGTTTGACTTGTTCTTTCTCACAGGCTGATATCCAGCCCAGTTGGATGCCATGACACCACACATGGCAAGAATTGTGAAGACGAGAAGGGCGACAAAAAGAAGCCTATACACGGAACTACTATCAGTATCATCCACCAAAGAAAGGAGGGCAGATCAACGAACCAGAGCAGCACGGCAAAGGCAATCATCGCATTATAATAATCGTTGGAAACATAGTCAAGGTAGGTAGCCAGGTCGGCAAACGCTGCCAACCAGAATACCATGGTCACAAAGTAAGTGGCCACGAAAGAGGCAGCGAGAACTGTGTTCAGCTTTGGGGTCACCGAGCCTTTACGGGTGTAGAACCAAGGCACCACCAGCGCAGCAACGGTGATGAGCATCGTCCAAAGTGAAGAGAAAACAATGAAGTCGACGATGGCTGGGGCTTTCACCTTGACATCAACATAACCTCCCCAAGTATCATGTTCTTGAGTGGTATTATCAAAAGCCGAGACCACAAAGGCCGAAAGACCCAGCTCTACAACCCCAAGGACAAACGATGTCCCTAACAGGGCATATAGGATGATATTCAGCAGCATGACCAGGTATGAGCAAGTGGTTTGATTGTGAGGCGAAAGGGTATTCCGTACTCGGTTGATCAAGTGGGAACTCAATAGCCCAGGAGCCCCAAGTGGGCTCGTCCTTGCGCTTTATGGCTTGCTTGTGCGGCTCTAGCCCAGATGCATGAGATTCTCGTAATCAGCAAAAATGAAGGATCAGTCTTTATTCAAGCTCAACAGCCAGTCATGAATGGGCTTGGCGCCTCGAAAAACCGTATCTTCCAGTCACTCGTGTTGGATACGAATCTCCACATCGACGAGGCGCCGCGCTGTCCCCGATTCGTACCTGGTTTAGCGAGTTCGTGTTTTGGATCGGAGAATATGGTCCAGCTGAGGACCGTAGAAGCTGTACGGGCTTGTGAAAGGAAATCCCCCTGGGCGATGTATCGGCACTAACGGCATCGGACGTGACAAGTCAACATCGGTTTGACCCGCGGACATTCTCACCCGGACAGGTGGCTCGCCCCCTTTATTCAATACAAATAATAATACGGAGTAGATATCCGGCTGCTGTTTCGTGCATGAATTGTTCAGGTAAAGAAAATTGGCAGACTTGCCGCAATCCTGAGCGATCTCCAAAGCTCTCATGTCGGAGCCTGAATCGACCCGTGGACCTGATCGGCACTGCACATGCCTCTCTCGGGATAGCTGTTTGCCATCGCCCCAAACGGGACTCATTCTGCGTAGTTCACGCATAGCTGCAGTCCACCAAGCCCTGAAATTATGTTTGGCAAATTTGCTCGAACACCTGGGCATCTGATCCGAAAGCCAAATCCTCAGGATGAAAAACGAAAAATGGGGAAATAAAAATATACAAATGGAAGTTTGATCAGTGTTGAAGAGGTACACAATGCAGACAATACGACTTTGGTGAATGTGAATAGGACTACTCCGTACTGGAATCTTGGACGTATATTCTCATCAGTAGCGCCAATGTGAAATGGCCCCGGGGGGGTCACGAGGACTCCGTAGAAGCCTGGCTTCTACGCTTTATTCTCGTGGGCGCTTTGATAATTCACAATTTCGACATTAAGGGATAGTATTGAAGGCACTAGCACAGGAATTTCGGAATATGCAATATACTGCGGGAGATGAGAAGAAGAAGGTGAAAGAGAGCGAAGGTCTGGCCGGATCTACGACTAGTTATCTACGTCAGTTGAAGCCTGACACATCGGGCAGCTACTCCGACGGATAGTCAAGTTACTCCGTACTCGGGTATCTACTCTGCACTTGACTCTGGACTTCATCTGAGATGAGAAATGCCCTTTCCAAGTCTTGTGAGATGATGATCCACCTTCTGCCCCAAGGTCAAGATCGAGGTCCCTTGCTTCTAAGCCTAGGACTCCAGGAGTACTCCGTAGAGGGAGTTATTCTATCTGAGATGCCCCCTTGGACTAACCCCCAAGACCAACCAAGGACTCGGAGCTAGCTCATATTGGGCGAATTGCCCAGACTATAGTGCACTTTACGGAATGCTTAAGTTCTGCGTATATCGATGCAGACCTCATTGGGCATAGGTGTATCCCTGGAAACATGGCGACTGTTGCGCTGGAGCACCTTTCCCCACCGTGTCTCGTTTTGTTCAATCAGGCTAGTACATGCAGATGGTTTTGGTTTCTACGTCATTTGATGTGACATCGTGCGTGGGGAGAACGGTGAGAACGGTGAGAATGGTGAACGGAGCCTCCGGGGTTCCTCACCGGGAATGTATGCCGCCGATCCCCTTTTCCCCTCCCCAAGGTATAACATTCGCCCTGCCAGGCGCCGTGGGCCGGTCAGGAAGGGAATAACAGAACCGAAATTGGTCGCGTGCTCTTCCACCATGGCCTCCCTTTTTGCAATCGCTTTGTTTGGCCTCACCGCCGCATTGCCATCGGCTTCCCCTGAGCCCACTGGCCTTTCATACTCATCGGGCTTTGACATGAGAACGAGCTGGGGGCATCTCAGCCCTTACAAAGATGCACCCGAATTTAATGTATCCAAGGGGTTCCCCTCGGAGTGCGAGCTCTCCCAAGTGCATGTGCTCCACCGCCACGCTCAACGGTACCCAACATACTTTGCTTTGGATGGTGAAGGCATGGAGCGCTTTGCCCAAAAACTGGCAAATTATTCCAAGAAGCATCCGGAGTCAAAGATTGCTTCGGGCCCGCTGGACTTTTTGAATGATTGGGAATATCTTCTTGGCCTAAATACCCTTCTTCCCACTGGTGCTGCTACCGAAGCCACTTCGGGCGCCTTGTTCTGGAGCGAATACGGCCGACTACTATATCGTGCAAACGCCAGCCAAGCGACTTGGAATTCCTCATTGAATGTATATCCCAATGGTACAGCTCGACCGAAACCAACTTTCCGTACAACCTCATACCCCCGGATCTTGGAAAGCGCTCGATGGTGGCTCAGTGGTTTCTTCGGGAACACCGGGGCCAACAGCTCATACGCTGAGTATGATCTGACCATTATTCCTGAGCAAGATGACTTCAACAACACGCTGTCATCCACTAGCTCCTGCACAGAGGGCCTGGAGCCAGGTGACGTCTCTGGTGAAGCCTTTGCCTCGTCCTCTTTAGTGAAAAATGCCGGCAAGCGTTTCGCTGCGTACTTGCCCGACGACCTGAAATTAGACACATTTGATATTGTGGCAATGTTTAACATGTGCCCCTATGAGTATGCCACTCTGGGACAATCATCTTTCTGCGCACTCTTTACCGAACAGGAGTGGCGTGACTTTGAATACTTCATCGATCTACAATTTTACGCTAGATATGGCTTCGGTTCTCCTAGTGGGCGTGCACAGGGAATCGGTTACGTCCAAGAGTTAGCTGCTCGCCTGAAATCCAAACTTATTTTCAGCAGTCAGAGCAGCATCAATTACACCTATGATGACAACACCAAAACATTCCCCTTGGACCAACCATTGTACATGGACATGTCCCATGACGATATCATTGTCTCAGTCCTGACAGCCTTAGGGTTGAATTACTTCAAATACAGTCCCCGGGGGCTCCCTGATTCGGTTGCACATGCTCCACACCGCAGTTTCCACCTCAATCGCATGACCCCGTTCGGGGCTCGCCTTTTCTCTGAGATTTGGACATGTCCTCAGGGCGCTTCACTAGAGTACCTTCAACCGCAAAAGTACAAGAATCCAGACTTATCCTCCGAGTCTAATACCACTGACTATATCCGTTTTGTCTTGAACAATGCCCCTTTACCCCTTGATGGGTTGAGTGCCTGCGATGGGGCAGTGAATGGATTTTGCGAGGTAAACCGCTTCCTTGGGGCTGTTCCAAATTTGAACCACGAGGCAATGTACCAGGAGGCTTGTTTTGGTGATTATAACATCACAACTCAAGTTGGTAATGGACAACCCATCAAGCGCTGACCATGATTTCGATATCGGACATCAGCTACACGGCCATAGTCGGGACTGAAAAACCCCGCAGGTTTCAGATTTGGACATATCTTTGAACTACAGTCATTACATTACCATGGCTAGCTCACATAGACCTCCTACAGGTCCCTTCCAAGGTTCGACCAATGCCTAGTTCTTCATTCAGCTGTGTAGCTACCTACTTCGAAATGAAGATGTCTGTTACTCCCCGGCTCTTTCCAGGGTTTGTGCGCCTAATGAAACTATGCCTTGAGTTCCCACCGGGGCTTTCCAAGGGTTTGTTTGTCTGTTCATGCCGCTCGTAGACCCTGTTTATACCGGCGCCACTGATATAGTGTAAGTCAAGACGATTTCAAAACGAGTGAAGAGGAACTCACAGCCGGATTCAAGAAGTAAACAGGAACACCAAGTAGAAATATTGCCCCGGTAACTCCAGCCAAGATACCCATTGCAGTTGAATAACTGTACTTGGTTACCATGGGAGTCAACCCATAGCTGACACCAAATGCAATGATGTTCTTGGTTCCCACGACAGCCACCAAGGCTGGCCCGGGGTTTCTTTCCCATGCTTCTGCAGCAAATGATGTGGACAAAATCAAGACAGAAACAAAGGAGACTTGAAGAAGGGTCCATCCCATGTATGGCCCTCCCCAACTTGTGTTGTTGTCCGCTGTGAATCCGTAGAGCAACAGGGAGACCACGGCAAGTATACCCGGGAAGATCAGCAGGAGTAAACGGCGCTCGGGGATATGTAAGCCACCAGAACGTTTTGCCATTTGCAAGATAAACCAATCTCCGAAGACTCCAGCATATAGCATGCCACCGAATCCACCAAACACACCACCGAGGTTGATAAGACCGACATTTTTAGCAGGCCAGCCATAGCCCTGAAGCACGGTGTCATAGGTCAGTGACATTCCTACCGAAGATCCCAGAACGACCGATGATACAAGGGTGGCATAAAGAATTCCCGGTGATGAGAATGCTTCAAGCATGTGGAACCACGCCATAAGCACTGTCCGTGTTGGATTCTTTGTTGATTTTCCGACTGGACTTAGCATCTGCACATAAGTCTTCTTTTTTGTATTGCCATCCGCAATCGTGATTTCCTCGGGGATTTGCATTTGCATAAAAGCCTGAGCCTCTGCACCAGTGAGAACATGAGTGACCCCAAAGTCATCGGTGATTATGATCTGGTCATTCAATACTTGCATGCGCCGTTTGTACCTAGTCTCAAAACATCCAAAGAGCACAATGACCAAGCCTACTCCAATGGCAATCACGTATACCCAATAAAACCAGCGCCAGCCCAATGAAGCGGCTTCATAAGAGCTGGCCAAGTTCAAGCAACTGGTGACGACATTTTGTGTCGCCCAATATACGCCGAATACCAGCCCGCGTTGATGTACAAATGTCACCTCGGATAACATGAGAGGAAGTAACTAAATGGAATTGACACAAGTTAGCGCATGATAACATTGTGTGAGATTTCAGGACATGGAGTCACCGACCGATTCAGTAGCACCTGTGGCCAGACCTTGGAGTATGCGTAGACCGAGATGTTGCTCAAATGTGTTTGACAATGCACATCCGATTGTGGATCCAAGCAAAACAATAATTGATATGATTGTTGCTGCTCGTCGGCCATACACTAAGCCCAGTGGGAGTAGTAGGTAATTTCCTTTGGTCTGTCAGTGAGCTTTCAAGATGATGGCCCGTATTGAGAAGGAGAATGAAAAGCTCACCAACTCCAACGAAGAGCGAAGGAAATGTCCCCAGCCAAACGACCTGCGTCGGCGTGACACCCCGAAGACCGTAAAGCTCAATGAAAATACCGAGAATAGCTCCAAGTCCTCCAACCACTGACAAGGACATAACGGCTTTTGAAGATGAGCAAAATGCTGGAATTTTGACAATCATTGAATGTGTGACTTACAAAACCAGCAGCAACTGAATACGATGCCGAACTTCTCCCATCTCTTGAAGTTGAGCGGGTCATTAGGATCATCACTGGGTACAGGTAAGCGCTGCACCGCTCCCCTGTTGTCAATCAACACATCTTGTTTTGTTTTCTTAGTGCCAACTTCCTCCAGAAACTCGACGTGGGGTTTGAGGTCATTCGTTGACATGATGATAGCGGCCGTTGAGAAAAAGTCCCTAGAAGCCCCTAAAAAAAAACAGAACACAGAAGACAGGAACACCCGCAAATTTCTGTCTTTAAGCACCCTCGGCAGTCCTCGTTGAAGGAGACTAGCTGGATGGCCATCAAGGCAGGAATCTAGACTACGTGGAGATTGCCCACATTTGCCGAGACGGCGACCCCGTGGGGAGCCCCCACAATCCGATGACATTGTGACTCAAATAATAGGTCATTGCAAGACCGCTTCCGTTTGATTAGCCTAAAGAATCCCTCTAATATTTTTGGAAAAAAGAATCTGGCCTAGTGGCTTCAATGATACGCGCTACGGCAAATTTCCTAGATCTTGAATGAGCTCACAGATGTTCTGAATCATCGGTGGTAGGCTGTCATCCGGAAAGAGACGGGGACAATTTCCTTCCAAAACTTGTCGGGCAATAGTCATAACTGATCGAGGCTTGTTCAGCTCACAGAAGGCCAGAGAGTCACCAGTGCGCCCATTATGGGGTTGGGTTACGGTCAATCCCGGTAGACCATGGCCGTGCCCCACAAAAGTTTTGGCTAGCCGACCCCATGACCCATCGAGGGCAATGTATGGAAGAGGTTGATTTTCGCTCATAGGGGTCTGAGCTTCATATCGCGTGGTTTCGCCGCACTGAAGTAAGCCGAAAACCCACAGAACCAACGCAGCGTGGTAAATAGCCATAGCATCAAAACCACGAAGTTGGTGGGCCGCAACTGAGCGGGCAGCGCGTAAAACCTGACCGGCATGCCATATCCCTGCCCGTGCCTCTTTTGTGCGACTCCACTCGCGAAGACCTGGGTATGCTCGACGGGCATCGAGCTCTCCCAGCTTTCCGACGAATCGTTGGATCGCATCCATGTCAATATGAAGATACATCATGACGAACTCATTGAGCAATGTAATGACAGGTGGTGGATTTGAAGCATCGTCTTGTACTGCCTTTAAAGTTGAATACCTAGAGAGTTGTTAGCAGCAAGTAATCTTTGAATATTGGGTACAACTACATGTCATCTTGTCTGCTCTGCAGCCAAAGCTGAGCCATGGCCCGGGGGCCAGACGGTGATCCTTTCGACAAAATCATCTGCTGGCGAAAGTCAAAAGTTTGACTGGCCAAGCCATGGAGTAATGCTGATTTTGCAATATCAAAATCTTTTTCAATGGAAATGTTTGTTATCAACGACGGGTCTGATAGCAAATCTCGCAGACTTATATCAGAAAGCTCTATCTCTCGATATTTCTCCATCCAAAGATTCCTCCATGCGATTGCGGTTGGTGCCAGCCACAGATCTCGTGCGGCAGGAAATGGGAGGGTCAACTCGGTATACGACGTAAGAGCTGGCCGATTCATTACCATAGCAACTTCTATATCATGACCAAAAAGATGATAGGCTAGGCTTATTGAAATCAGCATTAACGTGGTTTGTGAGGAGCTCGGGCTATACCGTTTCAAAGATTCTTGCTTTATCCATTCGTGCCACACTTTGGTCAGTAAATCCTCGTCATCTTCCATGGGTGGTATGAGGGCTGAATATGTTGATCGATCAAATGCAGCAGCACGTCGAAATGCCTACATGTGTAAGTGGCGCACGACTTTCATTATAGCAAACGCATACCGTGCATAAGGGCTGCAGATAGCTTTCAGCTATTTGCATCTTGCGCTTGTACCCGCAGAATATGCCAATATCTAACCACAGCATTGAAGCTTGTAGCCATTGTAGATCCCGAAAAGCGCTGTTGTCATCTTCCACCTGATATAATACACATTTCAGTATTTCAAGAACTTGACGGAATTGATCGGATGGATCGTACCAGCTGTGCCAGAGACGCCCGAGTGATCTCTTGTAGGATAATACCTGTCTTGTTAATGGAGGACAGGCCACAGCAGACACACCCAGCAGCAACAAGGCCAGTCAGCAATTCCGGCCGTAACTGCTGCTCGTAAAAAGTGTAGGGATGAATCCAGGCATCAGTTTCAGTTCTCTTTCCAATGCCAATCTTGATGAGAGTGTCTAGATAATCAGAAGATGGGAATGAGGAGATAGAAAGTCGGGACCCTGCAGTTTGAACAACCAGCTTGAAGATATCATCACGTGCCTGCATGGAAAGCTTCCCTGGTATCTGGAGGGCGTCCAGTCGATTTCTGTGAGTCGGTGAGATGCTATCACCATCGCGAAGCGGGATTCTTCGCTCTTCACTAAACGCATGTTGGTTTTTTCCAGGAACCCACAACCTGGCTTCGTCAATGTCCTGTGAGAGATCGCCTTTGGTGAAGGACGTACCAGAAAGAGCGTTCGAATGCCGCAGCCCGCCGGCTGGCCGATTCATGATGACCAGGCTGTGGATCCTGTAGATTTTCATATTCGGAAAATGGCGCTGTGTTATCAAGAATGCGATCCAGGTCTGGAATAAAATTGGTGCCAAAAAGGTCGTTTCCCGCGAAGCCAAAATCAGTGTCCAGCATAAAGTCAAATACTCCACGAGGCTGGTGAGCTTCTTGGGGGAGTGTTTCCACATTGACATCTGGAAGCATTACCTGTTCAAAGAAGATGGGATAAGCGCTCAAGCTGGAGTATGACGGGACTGTATCTTGTGGGAGTAATGAATCTAGAGCCATGTCATCGTTAAAGGCGGAACTGTATGTTTCGTGGCAGCTTCCAGAGTATGACACTGAAGCCGGGGGGCCCACCCAGCTCGGATAGACCCGAGTCCGGGCTGGTCCCCACAATTGACACGCGAGACGTATTTTCGGTGGGAGAAAGTTGAGGCCGCATAGATGAAGGATATGGCAAGCGATCACTCGATTGGCGGGACTGGTGGGATGAACGTGCAACACATTCAATCTTCTTCTTCTGGCATCTCTGCTTGATTTATCAGAAATGGTGGACGAATGACCTTAGATTGGGAGCTCTGTTTCGCACTTGACATGGTCTGTCGTTGTCACAACTCAACTTCGCAGTGGCGCAGGACTCGCAGGCCTCGATTGCTCGCTCCCGTGGGCGATTTATTGAGCTAGCTCCATCTGAAACATCTTTATCATGGACCGCTTGGTGTCGTTGAAGAACATCACTGTTTCGTGAGCCCGCCGAGCTCGTCCAGGGGATAGATAGTGTTGAGACCCACCGACGATTGAATCCGCGAAGGCAGACCGGACATTGAAAAGTGCGCTCGTTACGATCTGCGTATTTAGCTAGTGCTATTAGTAGTCAGTTGACTGGGGAAGCACCAACGAGAGTCTAGATGACGCGCCAGATGATCGGGGCGCTCGTATGCTTTGTTGCAGTGAGGACAGTGATGATTCCCAGTCTTCCCCCTCGAAGAGCGTCGCGGAGTCTGAGGCGTATCCATTGCGAGACATGATATCAAAATGAAGTGCAGTTGAGGGGGTGGAGAAGTACGGAGTACAAGTATGCGAAATGCGAAATGCGAAATGCGGAGGTGATGCGGAGTCGGGACGCGTTGGTTTTTGCGGGCCACTTCGCGCTTGCCGGCAGATTCTGACGAGTCTGACGAGTCTGACAAGTCTCTGACCAAAGTCCAATTTGCATTTCTGCTGCCGATAATTACTCCTTTTACATATAATCACTTCTTTTTATTCCACTTGATTTGTGTGCTTTGTCAGGACATTCGGATTTCGGCTCTTCAAGGTTCCCTACTCGGGTGCCAATTTTCCGGGTATACCTCAGTCTCCGTTTGCTCGTCTATGCATACACGATTGATTATGCGACCCTTAATGAAACCCAAGAGAGTCTAGGTTTGTATTCACGGATTATTCTGCCTTAGAATGCTTGCTCTTCATCTCGTCACACCCTGCCGACTCTGCCAGTCCTTCGCTCCGTGATACTGGCAATTGAAATCCATAAATTGCTCCGGGTTCCTATCAGCATTAACGAATAGCCGGCAATCAATCCTTTTCATACGTACATGGTTACCGACTTATTCCCCTGTGCCGTCCCAGGTTTGGCTGCTTCTCGGCTGTATGCCTGGATCGAACTCACGCGTGAATGTCGAGATTGGAAAACATCCTATGGCTGGTTAGTCATTGCGCGAGCTTTCAGGAGATGCTTTTTACTTCGAGAATTGTGGACAGATCTTGGAAAGCAGGCGATTCATGTATTCCCTCAAAGAAGGATCCCAACGCTTCGGAATCTTCAATCGCCTGACTCGCGCCTTGTCCCTGAGTCGGTAGCATCGCATGTGCAGCATCGCCGATGAGAATCACCCGGCCCCGATGCCATATTTTCAACGGATCCTACGTCTCATAAGCCAACAGTTCAATCTTACCACAGCGTGAACACTGACCATGTCTCTAAGCTGCCACAATCCCAAGTCGACGGAATGCCTGCCCGTGATTGTTTAGTAGTGCCCTGGGCGTTCAGACGCTAGAGGACTCACCTGAAAATCCTCGTGACCCAGGGTGGAAAGTCGTGAAATGTGTGTAACATTTTTTCTAGATCTCCTTCCGATACCCAAGACTGCTTGAGTGCAGGATCCTCGTTCATTTGATCTGTACTTGTCAACCCTGCATCCACGATACTTTTTCTTTAGCATACCGTCTGGCACCAATGCAACAATACCGTACACCTCACCCTGTCTACCAGGGCCCATGATAAGACGACAATTGTGAGCAACAATCATGGATGTGAATGGCTCGCGAGGATTAATCTTTGAACAGAACTCAGGCTCTTCCCGTTCGAGGACTTCGGTCGGCACCTATACCAGTCAGTCGAGTGAGTGATTATCTGAATAGTACGACACACCATCAGACGATATGCTGCAAGAATGTTCAGTGTTCATTGCGACCTTGGAATGCTGTGAGGATAGGGAACGAACTCACCAGAGTGGCCGGTAAATGTAGGAGTTGCACTATCCACAATAACATGTTTGCGAAGCACGCTATGACTAGACATTATGTATGTTAGTGATCCATACTGATTGATACACATGACTCAGACGTGCTTCTCACATTCCATCCGCGCCCACTATAAGATCACCCTGGATGCTCTCGCCTCCATCCAGGGTTACTATGCCATTCACCACGTCACACCCGGTCACTCGCGATGATGTCCGCACAAGAACTGGATCGCCTGCTCTTTCAGATGAGACGGCAGCATTCTTTAGTGCCTCATGAAGGTCTCTGCGATGGAACAGTAGCCGCTCCGCCCCATACTTTTCCTGGGTCTTCAGAGGGATGGTGTTTACAAGATCACCATCGGTGTTGTATACACGGAATCCTTCATCAATCATCTGTTGTGCGTCGAGGAAATCCCGCCGTAAGTTCCATTGTGATTCAGCAATCTTGACTGCATTTGGCTGAAGAGATATCAAAGCACCAATTTCTTTGTTGAGAGCCGACTGCTCCAAGACGATGATTTGCCGATTGATGCCCCGAAGAGCGATAGCTGCAGTGAATCCGGCGATGCCTCCGCCTACAATCACAATGCGGAATGGGGCCATTTCAATTTTGCCAAATATTTGACTTTCAATTTGAAGATAGAAAGGCGAATTTGTTTACTATCTATGATTGGAATTGCTTATGGGGTAGGTTGCCGCCCACTTTCCATTTGCTCTCCCCCACCTCCACTTGCCGAATGGCCGGGGTGCTTTGAGTGAGATTGCCCACGCCAATTAACAACATTCTTGTGGATCTTGGGATCCACTGTCATGTATATTCATTGAAATGATGTGGGGGGAGACTTGACCTGGTTTCCCGTCTTGAAGCGGCCGACTAAGCATATTTAAATGGTTCAAGACTTCGTTGACCAACACCACTTCTGAAAGACAACAGATACCAGAGGCAATTTTTATGCGGTATAAAATGTCCACCACCGAGACTACCACCCAGACAGCCGAGCAAGTCTCGAGTCTGCATGGTTTTGGAAGGATGCGGGTCGATGGCACCGATAGGCATTTCGGCGACTTTCGCGATGCCTTGACTCGAGATGGATTCGCCATCGTGAAGGGCGCTATTCCGAAGGGAAAAGCGCTGGAGTACGCCGATGCGATGTATTCTTGGCTGGAGGGGTTGTGAGTTTTCGAAGAAAGCACCAACGAGTCAAAGAGGCTGACATGTAGTCCAGCGAGCTCGGATTCGACCGAAACGATCCGTCTAGTGTACAAAAGGACAACTTGCCCGTTCTCAATGAGAAGGGTATGTGTCTGCACTATGGTCTCCCTCATGAGAACTTTGTTTGGGGCGTTCGAAGTGAGCCTGGTGTCATTGATGCCTTCGAGAAGATCTACGATGATGAAGATCTCATTGTTTCTTTTGATGCCATCAACATTCAATTCCCGAAGTGAGTATCCGTCAATTCTCAGTTCAATGTGGTGTTTTTGTTCGCTGATCAACATATAGCCGGACCGATGTTCCTCCAAATACACCCTGGCCTCACCAGGATCAGGATCCCGAGAAGCATGGTTTCCGTTGCATGCAAGGGCTCGTGAATTTGCTCCCCAACGGACCCGATGACGGCGGTCTCATCGTCTGCCGGGGCGGTCACCTTCTCTCCGAGCAATTTCACAAGGAGATGGCCGATGAGGAGCGAATCCCAGCCTGGACACCAGAGTGGTATGGTTTCACTGACCGCGGAATGAAATGGTTGGAGGATCGTGGTTGCAAGTGGGAAAAGGTCAGCGCTGAGCCGGGAGATCTACTCCTCTGGGACTCACGTACGCCGCACTACAATCTCAGTCCGAAGAAGACTCAAGACCGCCTCGCCATTTATACCTGCTACATGCCAGTGGCAGATGCAACACAAGAAGATCTGCTCCGTAAGAAAGATGCCTTTGATCGCCGTGTTGGCACCACCCACTGGCCCAATGCAAAGCATACTGGATCAAATGTGGCAAATCGCAATGGCGAAGATGACCCTCATAACCGCCTGCGGCCACTAGTTGATCCTGTGCTTGGAGAGAGGGCGTTCAAACTGACAGGCATTCCTTACATTAAGTGATGGGGGTTGCGATATTTGCCCAACAGTGTCTCTCCGGGTTCAGAGTGGAACGAAGCTCTCTACATTTTGAAGTTTGCAATTCATCCTATTTCTCTCTCTTGTTTCTCTCTCTTGAATAAGATGCATAAGACGTATAGTTGCGTATCCCCCATAGAACAACTTGATCTGCATGTGATGCAGATCTCCTCGACTCGGCCAACCACATCCCCCGCAAAACACTGTGTTGTCAGCGATGATCCCGGCATTTTTGTGATCCGGGAGGGCATTCCCCTCCATTGGATCTGCCGTCAACTTGTGATGCCTATCGACAGGTCGTATGATGTCGGTTGCTGCCACTCCGACCTTTAAGTAACGGCTGGTATGTGTGCTGCGAGATTCTCTGATTGGAACAATCAATCTGATCACTCCGGACCAGATGCCATGAGAGTCGAATGATTCGGGCTTGATTTCAAACCTCGGTTGTGTGCTATTGATCTCACTTTCGTGATGTATGCGTCGTGAGTGCTTCACCTCTTGAGGTTCAGCTTGGTGGGGTTTCCCCGCGGGTGGAGATTCCTCGGTCCGTAGGTGTGTGTGTATAGCTCATCTTGACATGCCCAGGTGCCCAAGTGCATAGTGATCGCTTTCATAATGGATGTAAGCCTCTTGTGTATATAAAGACGACAAGAGTCAGATAGTCTAGCTTTGTCAAAATCAAGCCCTGGAGACTTCAGCAAGCTATCATTTGAACCCTTTCCAAAATGGTGTCGGTCCCTATGCCTCAAGAGATCATACGAGGCGACGCGCAGGCTTTCCCACCGATCGAAATTCTGCAAAAGAACCTCGTATACATGCTGCTGGCTTTGGTCACCTATCTAGCTTTTGTAGCTGTGCTACGCTTTCAGCGACGGCACACCCTTCATAAGACGTTCAGCCGATATGCAACCAGGGAATCCATGAGAAATATGACAGATCACGATGCTTGGCTTATTCAAAAAATCATAATGCAGACCGAGTTCCCTTTTATAGTTCTCAAATCACTGCAGTTTGCCCTTTTCCGAGTACGTGAAACCCTTCCGAGATCCATACATATGATTGATGAGAACAGACATATGGCATTCCCACGATATCAATTCTTCTTCTGAAGACATCCCAGTTTTCGGACTCTTCCACGGCATTCAAGCGGTACGCTGATACAGGCACCTTGATCGGGGAATTCATGGCCTTCGAACCAAGCTCTGAGCGGGCACAAACCGCGATAGCTCGAACAAAGTTTCTGCACAAGGGCTACAGAGCCAGTGGAAAGATCCTCGAGGCTGACATGCTATACACACTTGGACTGTTTGCCATTGAGCCCATTCGGTTTGTGAAATTGTTCGAGTGGCGGGAGATGACTGTAATGGAGAAATGTGCCGTGGGAACATATTGGAAAAGCCTCGGCGATGCACTTGAGATAAGCTACGATGCGTTACCCTCTGGCAAAGCTGGCTTCCGGGATGGAATACACTGGTTGGAAGAGATCAGCGCATGGAGTCATGCTTATGAAACCCAGCATATGAAGCCGCATCCTCGAAACAAGGAGATCGCACAGAAAACCATCGACGTTCTCTTGTATAACATGCCCGGGTTCATGAAGCCTTTGGGGATGAACTTGGTGTCACATTTGATGGATGAGAGATTGCGTAACGCAATGATGTAGGTCTCTTTGGCCTGGCAAGTGACGGTGAAACTAACATGTGCCTGGTCAGGATCAAGCCACCGGCGAGAATATTCAGCAGCGTCTTCGCATCCGTCTTCAAACTGCGCCAGGTGTATTTGCGACATTTGGCCCTTCCACGACCAAACTGCATGCGACTAGATGTATTTGCGCAGAAGCCTAACAAGCACGGTCGCAACTGGGTAACGATATATGAGGGGGCACCGTTTTATGTGCAACCGACAGTCTGGAACCGATGGGGACTTTGGGCGTGGTTCAAATGGGCACTTGGTCAGGCTTTGCCCGGGGATGAGGGAGAAAAATATCAACCCCAAGGATATTACACACCAGATTTAGGACCGAAATACTTTAAGGGGAAAGGACGGAAGGAGATGGAGGTCATTAAACAAGCTCTTCGTCGCCAGCGGAAAGGGCAGTGTCCGTTCCCGTGACAGGCTGGTCGCTGTAATATAGAGTCTGCTTGGCTTTTATCTATGGTCTTCGATCCAGAGAATGCAGTAAGCCTAGTCATTTTTAGTTGAGCTTTGGAAGTCATGAGAAGGGAATAAGACGAGCAGCGGAAGTCTATCATTATCAACTCTTGAGGGCAATTAGTACTGGCGCGTAGTCGCTTCAATATCTCCAGTGCACGAAACAAAATCTCAAAACAAATTGCAAACACACACAGACAGTAATTGCACATCGGGTATCTATCAAAGTGACCGAAAATGAAGCATGGAAGATTGAGCATGACATGTTAGGGTATAGGTATCGAACATCGACCATTGCGTAGAACGGTGAATGGCGAACGCAATCAAGGAAAGGCATAAAGTCAGGAGTCTCATAGTACAATTCGCGGGCAAAAAAAGAATGGTTAATAAGTGGCATCAAGCGAGAAAAAAGAGGGAATGATTCAGATTGAAAGAAATCGAAGGGGTATTGTGCAAGATATGAGCAAATTAGAATAGAATGAATCATCCCACCAGGAGACGAGGGCAAGATTGGGATCATATGGTCGGTTCAGTGGACACATATGGCAAAGGGGATGGCGGTTCAATAGACGGGGAATTGACAAAGGACACCTCGGCAGACGAGTCTACGGGTGAGAAGATTTTGTTGTACTCAGACGAAGGACTGAGCAGCCCACGACTGACTTCGCCAACTTCTCCCATTTCTTCTGGCGCGAGGACACGACCACCCAACTCAACGTCCTGCACATGCACATTATATTCAAGAGCCCTTTGTCCCTCCTTGATGAGCTCTTCGGTCCAGCCTAGACAGCGTTTGAGACTCTGGTTCATCTTCTGACTGTCCGCCAGCACTTCTTGATGTTTCGCCAAGTCAAGCATCACGCGCTTCTCATCATTTGCGCGGTGCTTGGCATCATGCTCAGCCAAAGATCCAGGACTCAGAATGCCTTCGTCGACAATAGAGTCTTCGTCGCTGATTTCAGAATTGTCGTCAGGGGACTGAGTGGAGTACTCGCTTTCACCTTCGTCTATCTCACTGGTGACTGAAAGAGCCACCCCGGAAAACGAACGGGCGGAGGGGGCCATGGAGATCCGGCCGGAACGGCTCAATCTTCGGAACCGACGAAGTTCGGCCTTCTGCTGCCGCATCTCTCGTTCGAGGGTCCGATTTATGGCAAGCAATGATGAGTTGCTGATTTCCAAGTCCATGATCTTACGTTCAGTCCGCGCATTTAGAGCTGCCTCACTGGGGCCATCGGACTTTCCAGGGCTGAGAGGTGCGGGGGGATAAGTATCAGTCGAGACAGACGAGCCATTGCTAAAAATGCGGGGGGCGCAGAGGAGGTATGTTTTCCGACATCATGGGGACGGACCCATCGCTGGAGTAGGTGCCGGAAACAATGACTGGGCTCGCACGTAGACTATCCTGCGGCTGAGGGAAATGGTGATTTGAGTCAACACTCGAGGATTTGGTGTGTCGGATGGATGGCTGAGATCTGTCGCCGATCATGCTAGATGGTGACCCAAGACGCGGAATGATCCCCAACCCGTTATCATGCCCACCGAGAAATGAAGTTCTCATATCCTCCGGCGGGGGCGAGGCCGCATCAGAAAGTCTGGGGGAGCTCAGACGCGGGGACGACGAAGCGGTCGGTTTACCAGCGGGCAGGGGGCGAGGACCAATACCCCCCGATCGACGCTTCGAGGTCGCTGAGATTGTGCTAGACTGATCGCCCAGGGAATTTCGTTCTTGGTCCCCATTGGCATATACAAAGCTGGACGCTGGAGAAGTCTGCCCCTGAGGCCGCGGGCGAGGGGCAGTTGGCACCTCAGAAGGATGTGATGACCGTGCGTCCGACGCATGGAAGAACAATGGGGCCCCCGATGCTATATCAGAAAACGAATTGGGACGTGTGGCGGGCTGGTTATCTGCTGTCAAGGTCTTGGCCCTTAGACTCCTTGACTGCTCCGGTTTGACCCCGCGAGCCGGGCTACGGTCTCGGCGGCCATAACCAACTGTTGATTTGGAGTAGGGTGTTTGAGGAGAGGGCAGGGGGGGTGTGTTGGTCGGTGAAGCGAAAGCGCCATCTCTGCGGGTGGTTCGAGGGCCAGATCGCGGAGTAACATTGGCACTGAGGAAGGCCGGGACGGCGGGGGAGTCGTCTTTGGAGGGGGTGGAATAGGGGTTGTCGGGGGCGAGGCGACGGGGCGTTAGGCCTGAGCCAGGACCTGCGCCAGGACTTGCAAGCTTAGGTGTCAAAGGGGTTTTCTGACTGCGGTGGAACGCAGCGCTCAAGGTGGGCGTGAACGGTTTGGCGAGATGGCCATTGTTTTGTTTATCGTAGGTCATAGTTGCGGTGCGGGGGAATGCAGATTATGGCATTGCATGCCACAGTTCATGAGCATGGTGGCACCAACAAGAGAATTACCTATAGCACTGACAGGAAGTTCTCTTGTGGCCTGATGAGGAGAGTCAAAAGACAAAAGAAAGTGACGAAAACATTCCCACCCGATTAGGTTTAGGCCGCCGCTTCACCGCAACGTGGAATTCCTTACTTCCTCATGGCTATCAAGGGGAGACACTATGTATTAACCCTCGATATGCCCTCATATTTTCACATTAAGATTATGATACATCTGATCTTCTATCCTGAGATTCGGCAATTATTGTGTATGTAAATCCACATCCCTTGTTCTCCCTGTGCTTGAACGGTCTTCCGCTTAGATGGACCTAGTGGGTGTGGGTGGAGCCTTGAAACAAGGTGAGTCTGCAGTAGAGCAATGATTGAATAACGGGGATCCCTGTAATTGTATTGTCTCATGATTAGGTGGGCGTTTTTGCAATGTCGCGAATGCTGCTGTGGAGAAATCGCTGAATATCGGTAACAGATACCCCTTGGTCAGGGAACTCCAATATCGTTGAGAACCCTAAGAGATTGTGTGATCAAGTTCTCATATCATTGGAAAAACAGCCGCTTTTGCTTGGGGTCGGATTCGGATACACCTGATGGAAGTGGCAATTTTCGTTTTTTGATAGCGGTTGGCATTGGGATGGTCTCTGTGTCCTCCGCATCTTGCACCACTTCGCGGATGGTTTGCTTGGAGAGGCAAAAATCAACATGCGCATTGAAAGTCCTATCATCCGCAATCTGAGGCCGGCCACAGATTGGACATTCCCATAAATTGGGCTCTTCAGCGGCCTCGGGCTCCTCGGGGTCCGCGGGTTGACAAGAAGAAGACACATGAGGGGCATCTTGGCTCAATTGCTCCAAATCATTCATTTCGTCTTGTACCTCTTGACGAGCGGCTGTTTCGAATGCCTCCTCGGCATCAATCTCATGGTTTGCGTCGATGCTGACAGTTGGCTCGTTAACACACTTGGAGCCAGGCCTGGGTTGAGCGACCGGACCAAAGAAGTTGATTCCAGCCTTTTGGGTGCTGACCAGGTTTGAGCACCGTAAACCGAGAAGACGTAGTTTCATGCCCGGGATGTCTTTCTCCAGTTTCGTCAACATAGGAAGCGCAAAAGAGTACAAATCCTTGGCTCGTGAAACGGTACGAGATGGGGCCGTCTGACGAGTTAGCACTTCGAAAGTGTGAAGCTTGACTTTGAGAGCAAGCGTGCGGCCCTTGAACTGAGTTCGGGCGAGATCCTTTTCAAGCTCTTGGGCAGCCCACCATAACTTTGCGCGAAGTTCCTCCTTGTCTCCGAGTTCATGGAAGGTGGTCTCAGTGCTCACACTTTTGCGTTCGTGATTTTCGACCGGCTCAATCTTTGTGCGTCCTAAACCGAGGTAACATTGAGCTAAAAATTGGAAAGCCTTCTCACCAAAGAGCTTTGTCAAAAGTGCTCGTTGGGGGAAGATGTCGCCACATTTCTTCACGCCTATTGATTCGAGTTCGCGTTCAAAAACTCGACCAACACCATTGACTTTGCGTACTGGTAGTTCACGCATAAATTCCATGATCGCAAGACGCTCGTTTGGGACCCGGAACTGCCCATTTGGCTTGTTGGTGTTTGAACAAATCTTTGCGATCTTGGCATTGGCAGCGATTCCGGCGGAAACAGAAACCTGAGTGGTTTCTAAGATCTCCGCTCGCATACGTTGGACAGCCTCGTCGGGTTCGAGTTGATTTTCATCGCAGTATGCAGTAATGTTCAGATAGGCCTCATCGATACTTGCACTCTCAAAGAGAGGGTCGTACTCTGCCATGATAGCACGGATTTCCTTTGCTTTATCGGTGTATTTTTCATAGTTTGCGGATAACAGAACCAGCTGCGGGCATAGCTTTTTGGCCACGAACGAGGCCATCCCACTTCGGATGCCAAATTTTCTTGCGACGTAATTGCAGGTAGTGAGCACACCTTTGCCGACTGCCATAGGCACGGTCTTTAACTCGGGTCGGTCCAGCTCCTCGACTGCGGCAAAAAACGCATCGCAGTCCACATGGATGATGTGCTGCGACAGATCCCGGCTGAGTTCCAGCTCGGCAAGATACTCATCTGCTCGCCGCAGATCATGGCTGAGATCCAACTTCTCCAACCGGGCTTTCTGTTTCAATATCCGCTCAATCTTGGATGTGAGGTTCCGATCACGATCCTGCTCGTGGCTGAAGAATTTAGACCCCTTGGAGGCATTGTAAATGATTTCCGACACCTGCATACCAAACTCAGCCGTTATAAAGCAATTACATAGATACAAGATTGCAACAGCAAAGGGCCCACCTTTTGCTGATCAACTGAGTCTTGACCCGCCTTGGTGAGAGAGGGACCTAGCAGTTGGTACTTCAGGGTCTCAAAATCTTCATTTGAGACAACATCGGGATTCGCGTCGCTACCAGGCGTGTCACCCGAGGGCTCCATGTTTTCAAACGTCCCATCGATGAATTAAAGAGGAAGACTGGCGATGAGAGATGCGGAACCAAATTGACGCGAGGTCACGTGTACACGCGTTTCAATCTGCGCGCTGATGCCTAAGCTGACCTCAACTTCCAACAATTCTCCGACATGCGGGCCCTTCGTGATGTGGGTTCTAGATTCGACCGGTGATTTCCTAGAAGGTAATGTGTGCGAGTCTGCTGATGAGGGGACATTTTTTTCTCACATATCTTAGGGAAGCGCGTTTGGTTGCGCCCGGGCAAGAAATACCTCTTTGGTCGATTCCAGCGAGACGGAGGTACACACTCTTACTGTATCGAGTACCACACATAACGACTAACTTCCATGAGCAGTACGCCATGTGGTAAATCACAACTCCATTTCTCGCAAGCACATGACCATTGAGATATCCCCGGTAAACCCAAAAGATGGCGTACGTGCACTGCCGCTATGACAAGCCTGCAAGTTACTGATGTTGGCAACAGTCGTCCACTCGAGCACGATCTGAGATTACAATCACCGACTTGAACTCGAAAAAAGGGACAGTGGTGGATGGAAACAGCATTGAAGGCGAACACAAACTCCAGAAGAGGGACGAACATACCATTCAGCTCGGTAGATACGAACATTCCCTCCGGTGCGCACAACCTTCTATCATGAGATTGAACGCAACTGACTGTGAATGTCAGTATCAAATGGGAGCCAGTGGTACTTAGCTTTTCGCTTTCTTCCAAGGAAATGAGAGGCGAAGATCCCCTAGCACATGTTCGCTCACGTCTCGAAGATCTCGATGTGAAGACCATCGTGGACTATATCGTTGATCAGACTACCCACGTCGTCTCAAGCAAAAGAAATACCGCGAAGGGTCTTCAGGCACTCGTCAATGGCAAGTATATCGTCGATGATTCGTTCATTGATGCCCTCGTCTACGCGGCTACCCCGAGCGACCTCGAGAACATGGAGTCTCTGAGTCCTCTGGAAATCGATTTCCAATCAGAGTGGCCCGACGCAACGAAGCATCTTCCTCCTCCCGGCAAGGAGATGGTCGATCGTCCCGCAACGGCCTTTGCCCCGAATCGCGCCCGTCTCAATATTTTCGACCAATACACGTTCGTGTTCTGCGACCAATCACAGTTCGATAACCTACAGGGACCCATCAATAACGGTCAAGGCAAGGCTCTCTTCTTCCAAATCACTGAGGGGAGGACACTTGCTGCGGACATACTTCGTTTCATGGAGAAGACAGCAGGACGTCAAGGTGTTGGCGGCGAGCGGCGAGGTCCCGGTGGGGTGGTGCTTGTTCGGTTTCGATCAAAGGGTGAATTTGAGCCATGGGCTATTGAGGTAGGGAACGAAGTCGCTTTGATGACAGACCAGCGAGTGATTGAACAACGAGAATTTCTCGATGCCATTCTGGGAAATGATGCGTCATCACTTTGTCGCCCGTTGCCTGCAGAAGAATGCCAAAGTCAATCTCCTCAATCTCCGGAAGTAGCTGCTCGGCAAGCCTCTCCGGGAGCTCCTGCCATTCCTGCATCAGCTCCATCTATTGAACCGGAGCCTTCACGTCCTTCACATCCCTCTGCATCTCGTCAGTCCCCATCGCGCCCATATGTCAGCAAGATGAAAATGTTCGATGACGGGTTCGACATGGAGTCCATCCCGATGTACGCCCCTGAAGAAGATGATTCTATCGTTGACCCTGGGATAATGGATGTGGACACCCAAGCGGCCTCTCAACCAGCTCAACAACCTCTTGACACATTGAAAGAAGAGGAGCCCGAAGAGGATGTTGTCTCCGATCTTCTTCCCGGCGCACGTGCAATGAAGCGTCGTCGAGCCGAAATGAGCCAACATCCTACCGAAGGTCATACCACAGCGAAGGAGGCTGAGCCACCGAAGCGGAAACGACCAAAGCTTGACGTTTTAGAAGCAGCACGCAAGCATCGAGAACAAGAAGAGGAGCAACGCAAAGCCGAGGAAAATTTACGTCTTAGCGAAGCCGACGTTGGCGTCGATCAGTTGAAGAATTTGGCTATTGTGGAAGAGATGGAGCTCCCTGTTCGCAATCCACCAACGCGCGAAGAGGAAAATATCGTTCGGTGGGAGGACAGATGGAACGGTCGCAAGAACTTCAAGAAGTTTCGTCGCAAAGGCGAGTCGCATGGTCGTGCTCGCATGCAAGCCGTCATCGTTCCCCTCGAGGAGGTGACCCGTAAAGAATATGGAATCGGCGATCACTACTGGAGCACTAACTCTCAACAGCCCAACAGTGTTGACGAAAATCGGGCCAATGTAGAAGAGGACAGTGAATCCCGGCCCCAGGAATCGGCCACAGTCAACTCACCTGAGCCTGCCCCAGTGCCAACTCCCGCTCGTCGTCAAAAGAGGGCTCGCGAGTCCCGTGACTCAGATAGCGATGATGGAACTCGATTCCGGTTCAGACGCAAACGCTAGTCCATCTTGCCTGTCTTTCCTGTATGCATTGATAATTCAGTTTCTTTCGATACCCCAATTTTACATCTTTGCTTCCGCAAATCGGCTCTTTCCTATGGATACAATTACTCGCCGGTTTCCGATTCTTGTATTTTTAAAGCTCAGGCAGTATAAATCATTCGTAATATACCCCCTAACCTTGGAATCCAACCGAAAGTATGGAATATGCTTTGTGTAATTACTGTGCATGCCTGTTCCTTGCGGAGACCCACCAGCGTGTACATCTTCCAACCTTCGAAGGTTTGATTCAACATGTTGGTTGTGCTCCAGGGCCACCCGTGGACGTCAAACTCTCATTCTATTACCATAATCCAGTATGAGAATCTTCTAGGTACTAGTCAGCTATAGGTATGATCAAATGTTATTTTGTCATCACAATTGACTCAGGTAGGAACATTGGAAATCTATAGGGTTTTGCTAGCTTGCTTTTCATTCATGGGCATCTTTAAAGGTTTCTTTCATCTGGATTGGGTCTGAAGGGTTACCTAGGTATTCTTACGATATCCATAGATGTCAAAGAAGCGGTCAGCACCTCGGCAATTCACAGATACATTATATCCATCCCTAAGTATGACTGATCAATTACCTTCACAGTAGTACCAACTATCACATAGACATAGATTATCCCAGGATTCTCACCCTCACAATTCATTCAATCATCTGTCAGTTAGTAGTGACTGTCACCTAGGTTTATGATCGGCACGGGCTCACTTCAAACCTTGGGACTCATCTCTCCAGGGCTCTGGTGTGATAAAGATTGATATTACTGACAAGTGCCCTAGTATGATAGATACAATATATTCAGTTCCAAGGTTTGATTGATGTAGATTCAACTTTGAAATTGCATTCCGCGGATTTCCATTGAGCACAGGTCAGCTAATTATCTTACTTCACTTCCAAGGTTGAAACTCTGCTCTACAGGCAATGCTTATGAATGGCACGGTCTACTTTTTCAATTATTCAAACAATAGAACGGCTGTTGTTCTTGTCAGTAAATGTACAATAATAATCATGCATGGTCGCCAATGACAAGTGAGCAAGGACAAAAGTGCAGATGTGGGCGACGATGTCGCCGGCGAGATCGACGATGTAATCATTTTGCAGACTAGAAAGTGCCGTCTCAGCACCCAGCTGTTCCTCCTTCTTCTCTCTCTCCCCCTCTGCATCAACATGGAATTCCGCGTCGTCGACTTTCCGGTCGAGATACAGGAGGTCATCTTTGACTTCCTGTTTGGCGAGAAGAACCCGGCGCCCCGGGCCCCTGGCGAGCAGCCTAAGAGCCGCCAGGCCCGGGGCAAGAGCTTGTCGTGCCTGGCAATGGTTTGCCCGCTGTGGAGATCACTCGTTCAGCGGCGAGTCTACCATCATAGTGAGTTTAGTCTGATTGCTGACTGAGCCATTCATCTGACAGTGAAATAGTCAAGATCCGGGGTAGCGTTGCGGAGCTGAATGACAGTGTGGAGTGGTTTCGGGCGCATCCACACCTGATGGAGTACGTCAAGCACATTGAGATCTGGGTTCCTGTCTGGGGTAGACCGTCCGTTCGCCGGCGTCACTTCACGGTGCCACGCCAACCAGTTCAAGGGTGGACAGTCGATGGTCAGGCGATTCTGGCCGACAACAATCGATACCAGCGGGCGCATGACAATGCCTCATTGAATGATATCTTCCGCGTCGTGAAAGCGTTTTTTGCCTCGGCTCAAATCTTCACTCTGGAAGGTGGCGACAACTATCGGTCTTTGCGTGTCGAAAAGTTCGCAGACGGACCCCTCGTCTTTGGGTTTCAGGATCGAAACGAGAGACGACGTCTGCCTATTCTTGACCATGTCAAAACATTTGTGATGCGCGGTGCATGGAACGTGATGCGAGATTCGAAGGATTGGTATGACTTTCGACAAGCGCTTCCCAACATCACGGAATGGCAATGTTCTTACACCCGGGTTCAAGTATTAGGGTATGTAACAATGATGAACATTCTGTCAAGTCAATTTGAGAGCGTTCGTCATATCACAGTGGGCCTTGAGGGGTTCGCCAACAACCAAGATAACGTGCACAACGTGGGTCCGAAGCCCGTTCTCCAACCAATCTGCCACAGGCTTGCTAAAGCTGCTTTCAATCTCGAGACTGTCAATTTCACCGGCCGAGTCTGTCGTGATTTATTCTCCGGGCTGATAAGTGAATCAAAAAAAAGCAACAAGGTCTCGTCCCTCCGCTCCCTTGATGTTCTGGTGAAGGCTTGTTGTCGCAATGAGGTTAGGTCGGAATACTGGCTCCCCCTCACCTATCAATTAGCAGGGATCAATCATACGGAGTTCAACGACGCCTTTCACGAAATGGTTCTTGGTGCCGTTCAGGCACTCACTGTCCTCCCAAAATTGAGTTACTTACGTATTCGCTTCATGGATTTGGACTGGACAGACCCTTTTCAGAATCCATACTTCGAGCTCAAGAACGACAAATGTACAGGTCTGTGGAGTCCAGCCATCCTCGATGCGCTCCGCGAGAGCCGACCATCGGCCAGCTTTGTTCAGCGCAGCAATGGGATTGAGCCTGAGATCGTGGATAACGTGCTCGTGGGTGTGCAGGCTTTGGCCGCTCGCCCTGTAAGCATACTAGCAAGTCAATACGTGATCATCGCTGAAAACAGACTGCCCTGAGCCCGCTTCTATTTCCGCTCCTCGCCATCTCATTCCTTACTGGGGCTATAGATGCCGGTCGCATATTATTACTTTGAATACCGCGGACACGATGTCTTTGTCTGATCCGCTTTTCTGATGCCCAGGTGATTTGTTGTGATGAGTTTCTTTTCGTGTTTCTTCTTTCAAGTAGTGATTTCAGCTGACTTGAAAAATTATTCATGCACTCAACTCATTCCAATCCCCTCATTTCTCTATAGCAGCATGATGACACCTGGTCTAAGGTGCCTTGCATTTTATTACCGTTCCTTCGAATTCACCTGCTGGTCCACCTCCATCTCGAACGATGAGGCCCAAGATCCACACGTTCACAGAGAAGAAGAAGAGGCCAGACAGAAAAAGGCCGGGCACAAACGATGGCAGCCCCAAGAATTCAAGGTTATAACCTTGGTGTAGCCACATTGCCTATGTTATAGTTAGCATGGCAGAACCAGCTGACTGCGGAATACAGGACAAACGAATGTCTTAAGCTACTCACTTGTCCAAGAACCCAGAAAATCGCGGCCGATATCCCAAGGGCTGGTTTCCGGATAAGAGACGAAGAAGGTAGGTAGAAAGGAAGAAGGACAAGGTACCACAGGAAGTACTAGGAGGGTCAGCAATCAGTTTGGGCAAGTTGACGCGCGATCACATACTTGACTTGTGCAAACTTTGTTGAAAGTCACGAACGCAAAAGTCTGCGCTAGCATAGCGGTTGTCAAGCTCTTCTTCGCTAAAACAAGGGGAAGGGCAATGACCACCAACACGAGCTGAGGAATGAAAGCCAGTGCCTCGAAGTGAGTTTCAGCGCCACCGGCCGCGGAAAGATAGAGCAACGTGCTATAAGGGGAGAAATTATGGCGGTGATCAATGCGAGTGAGGTGATGGAAGAATGTATGCTGCAAGAATGGTTGTCCATACTGAATGAACATGACAGCATTCAAGGACGCGAAGCTAACGAGTGCTGCTGCAACAAATTTCACCCGAGAGATAGTCACAAAGCCTACAGCCTTGGACACCAGCCCGCGACCAGTGGACTCGGTCCCATCACGCTCCGCATCCCACCACCAAAGGATAGACACGCCATATATGAATGGGTAAATTTTGAAGTGCACAGAGAGACCTAAAATCAATCCAGCCAGAATGGGCTTTCTGGTCAAAGTCGCCCAGAGGAGAGCGGCCACGAGCACACCAAGGAGTCCCTCGGAGCTCCCTCGAGTGCTAATATTAGCAACCATGGGATTCCACAGCCAAACAGCAGCAACATAACGCAAGGCACGTTCCACAGGAAATTGATAACAGCGAGTCAAGAGCTGCAAAACAAGCCATCCCGCCAAGATATCTGACAATGCAAACAAAACCTTCCCAAAGGCGAAAGCGAATGTTGACCAAGGGGCGGGTCCTTCCCATGCGGTAGGGATCAACATCCATGCCAGAAGCGGCGTGTAACGATAGGTATCACGGGTATAAGGCGATTCGCCCTTGGCAACATACCGCGCTGCGTCAGTAAACACCATGTAGTCAATATCGGTGTATTTCATGGCGGAGTGTGCATCCTGCCAGCCTCCGTAGACTAGGAGTACCAGGCGGAGAACCGTGGCAGCGAAGAACACTCGCGGAGCAGAGCTGAAAAGAGCCATTCTTTGTAGGCCTTTATCTCCGGCAGAGAAAAAAACAACAAATCAAGAATTGGTTGATGGTCCAGCGCGCATAATTTTGCTCAAAAAAGATAATCAAATCGAATGACCGCCGGAGGTTGTTTGCGCCTGGTTATTCCGGATCAAAACTTCAAGGCCTCGATTTGATTCAGATCAACTCCATGATATGGGCAGTCCTATGAGAGTTGAAGTTGAAGTTGAAGTTGACGTGGAACCCTCCAAAAGGAGTGATGAGTCAGCATCTGGATCGCCTTGCCGACTTCTTCTTTGGGAAGGATTCGAAGTAAACGAAAATCGAGCGACTTTCGACTTTCAATGCGACATGGAAAACTCTGCAGGTTCAAGAGAGAGCATCCTCGAGAATCTTTCATTTCAACGTTGATTCACTAAGCACTAGAGATCCCTCCAGTGGGCAGCTATGTCTTCCAGAATATTGCCGATAATGTAGCATCCAAGCTCGTTGCATCCAATACTTCTGACGGTTATTTACAGTGAGTTCGGTGTGATACTCCGTAGCACACACAAGATTATTCTAAGGCTAGATCACCTTGTATCTGGGGTGATTTGGGGATCCGACTTTTACCAACGTGAATACATCCAAGGGGAGGACAGGTTGACTTGCTTTACGAATCTAGACGGAATTCAGCTGCTAGTGTGACAATCAAGACACACACGCCACATCATTCGGGCCAATGATCTTTTCAACGCATACTCCCTATCTCCAGGGCTATCACTGATCGGCGGATCAAGTTTGAGAATGCGGGGAATGGTGAAATTGCGGGGTTGCAGATCAACTTTGATGCCAACTTCGCCCCCCCTGGGAAATATACACGTCATGTCATACATTTCACTTGAATCTAATAGGCTAGTTGTCTTGTTGCTTTTCCTTGACGAGCTTCTTTCTTATAGCCGATATGGCTCTGAGGGGAAGTCGCTTGGATTCTCCCAAATTCCCCTGCATCGGTCTCGGTCCCTTTCAATCGTCTGATTTGAGCTTCGCACTACCGAGCTATATCACCATGTGAAAGATGAACCATCCTAGTCTCTGCACTTTACAGCTGGATTCCTTGCTCCATGCGAATCGAATATCCGACCCCCGGCCACGACGTTCAGACCGCTGGGCCCCTACCGCCAGCACTCTAGGTCTATACAGTATATCCAGTTACACATCTAAAAGCTTCCAGGATGTGTGTTATTTGCACTATCCAAAAATGATATAAAGCTGGCCGACACGTTCTAATCTAAGGATGGCGTCGATGCTAGCTTCATCTACCTACCTGAACACTTGACTTCCAAGGTTCTCATGGGTATTCCACGGGTGGAGGGCAATCAAAGTTATAGCCTCCTGTCTAAATAGCCAGATTGTGAAGATAGCAGGTCCAATAAGAACGAAATCAAGATTGTTCACCGAGGTAGCGAGCAAGGCGAGACATTTGGCACAAGGCCCGTGCAGCGCTAATGTATACTCGAGCACGCCGTCTGGGCAAAAGAAGGTCCGCCAGGCCTGCAGGCAGCTCTAGGTTTGTGAGGCACCTCGCGTAAAGCGCCATGTCACACCTCTGGACCATGCTCAGCCAATCTGAAGCTGAAGGCTTGGGAGATCAACAGTGGCTCTAGGTAGGGCAGGGGTAGGAAGTGTTCATACTCACCAAAAGCAACCTTGGAAGGAATTCTATCACAAACAGCTCCTGCAGTGAAGTTCTCTCAATTAAGGTCAGTGCCCAGTAGATCCATTCATAACATCGATACATGACCATGCTTGTAGACAGGCTTTTCCCCGCAAACCTTGAAACAAACTTGCGTTCTATTGCATGTCAAACCTAATTGCTTCCTGGTCCTCGGTATCATTTCTGGGCATATGATAATTGCCCTGCAAGTAGATACTCGAATATATAGAAACGACCCCTCGTGGAACGTGAATGTTTTCTGCAAATCATATCATGGCGCAAGGCACTGAAAAATACATCATCGGAGGCAATCGGGGATTTTTGAATCCAGGCCCCGACGAGCTTGCCAAACTTGAGAAAGTCGAGTCTTCAATGAGCTCTAATACCAAGAAAGAGAAATTCAGACGCCATTGCAGACGATTTTGGTGCATATATCTCATCGCCAATGTTATTTTCCTAGCAATATTTCTGCCAGTTTTGTATGCCATTTTCTTCGCAACTTTGAAATTAATACTTCCTGAAGTTCAGAAGCTGACGAGCCTCAAGCTTTTTAGTTGTTATTCCTGCTGTCGCCCAGCTTGTTGTGAACAAGTCAGACTTATGGATTGTCAACGCGGAAGTCATGAGCCCGACTCCAACAACGGTGGAGATGACCCTGGCAGCAAAGGTGAACCTGAAACTTGCGCTTGGTGTCAGGCTGGACCCCGTGATATTTTATACTTTCGTACGCTCGTATGGCCACGAGGACGCCTGGGGAGCAATCAACATACCCGGGCAAACGATCAAAGGAAATTATACATTGGGTGTCGATAATCAGCATACCCCCTTGCTCAACCTGACTACATGGGAGGCTTTCGTCAATCAGACTGTGTTCCAAAAGGAAACAGCGCTATCGCTCTATGGAGTTACTGATGGGTATCTTGGAGTCCTGAAATCTCACATTGTACTAAACAAGGACGTGGTCATACCCAGTGGGTTTTGTATGTCTCTTTTTGTGGCATCGCGAGCTAATTCATCTCTCAATAGCTCTCAACAGATTCGAGGGGTTTTTTATAGCAGACAGCACACTCATGCTGCCAGCCGAGGACGATGGGACCAATTTGATTGCTAATCTCACGCTTCCAAATCCCACTGCCCTCAGTTTCCAGGTGGGTACCATTACTCTGGATCTCAAAAGCGGCGACACAGATCTTGTTATTGGTAATGCGACCGTCAAAGACGTTATACTTCGGCCTGGAAATAACACATTCCCTCTTCGAGGGGTGCTAAATCTCAGGAATATCCTTTCAAATCTCGGGGAAGTTCTCGCCTCACAAAGCTCCGCTATCAGAACCGGCGATCTATCCCTGACAGCGGTCACCAGAACCATCGTGTCGAATGGCACCTTGATTCCTTATTATACCAAGGTCTTGGGCTCGTTGCCCTTGGTAGCAAACGTGGGAATTGGCGATGTTCTCAAAAACACACTCAAGCACCTGAGCACAGATGCTGGTCTCAATCTCACCGGCGCCATATCCGGTCTGATTGACAATGACAAACGCAGGATACGCCCTGCACTTCTGGATAGCCCAATTAAAAAAGGCGGTGGATTATTTGATCATCGGGCTTTCAAGGAAATCGCCAGTCTGAAAAACAACAAACATGTCCAAAGAATCTTTGAATATGAAGATCCCAACAAGCGAGATGCCATGATAGATTCTTTAGCTCGATATTACGCTTCCCTGTGAGCGTATTGCTATTTGAATACATACATTCAGAATTTGGAGTAATAAGCTGGAGCTTCGGTTTGTATATAAACTTGTTTTCTTGCTCGTTGGGAAATGTAGTGTGATATGTTGCTTAGCTTGCCAATTCACCATCCTTGGATGTGTGCCAAACCATGTCTCATCATACATTCATTCCAGAACAATGCCCTATGCTAACATGCTAAGTTGTGATAAGTCCAGTTATATCTCATGATAAACAATAACAGTATTTAGTAATAAAAACCCGCATGAACACCATATCCAGACTCCGGCATGGGGTCAAAGTATGCCGGTTGATCTCCGTATTTCGGACCTTTGTCATGATCAGGAGTCAGCAAAGCCATGGCATCATTTCTTCCATCAACTTCTGCTACAATTCCAGGCCAGAGGCTATTGTCACTCCAGCTCAGATACTCCCAGAGATATTGACCACCAGAATCGTCCGTGAAAGGGGTAGCAAGGGGATCAAGGAACCCGTTTTCTGTCATTGTGGTATTACTGCGACACGGATCTGATGGCGACGTGAATAGGAGCGACAAATCGCGACCAGCAGGATAAGAGCCACCAAGGCCAATAACTGCCGACTCAGGCTCGGCAAGGTCCTGCCCGCGCTTGCTGGCTTCGTATATACGAGATATTGCATCCAGAGAGCGCTTTGCTGTATGTCCAAAGGACTGCATGCGCGCAAGGGTCATCATAGCCATCTCAACTTGTGCCTGGCAGGATTCAATCGAGGCGCGAGGATCATCTGCAGTAGGATCATGAAGGAATAACCCGACCAAAGGAACCATCGAAGCTTGAAAGGTCCACCAGACAGCATTCCAGCCGCAAAGCTGATTGAGCTGAGCGGTCGCAGCAATATTCTCAATGGATTGTTGGGCAACCTCGCGGCATCTCTCTATTGCTGTGCGCTCTTCAGAGCGTAGTGCAATATATGGGACCCGACGCATTGCATAGCTAAGTAATGTTGGCCGGTATAGAAGAATCCGTTGATTGTAGTAACGCCAGCGCATGACCGTTCGGACGGTGTTAATTGACTCCGAGCAAGGTTCGTGGTTTTTCAACACAGATGGAAGGTTGTCCCACCATTCGAGCAGCTGAGTATCGGCGTGTGCCATTTCCTGGTGTTTGACCAGTGGCGCTGCGGCGAGTGATTCTTGGACTTGGGTTGCAATTTTGGCGAAGCGAATATTTTCGACTAAGGGTAGAATTTCGAGAACATTCTCCTAGAAGTCTGTTAGCAAGGATAAATAGCAGTTCGCCTTGAATCGAAGCTTGCCTTATCTCGACAGAGAGGTGGCTTCACGGTAATGGTCGAGCCTGTGCGTCCCATACTAGGTCGACCTAGCGTCATACCTGCCCAGGTGTCCATGCAGAACAAAGACCACCACACACGGCGCTTGAGGTCCATTGAGGCGAGTTTGGCTGGACTGGGAAGTTGTCGGGTGTCTGCAAATTCCTTGTGAAGACCCAGGGCAGCCGCCATGCGAAGCGCAGCACCCATCAGAGAGTATGCCAGATTTGGCTGGCTGATGTAGTGACAATACCAACCACCCACCAGGCCAAGTGCTTGAACGATCTCGATGTGAGAGCTTCCTAATGAGCTGATACTCAAGTGGCTCTTGCATCGAAGAAAATATGTCTGGTGTGTCACATCATCAGGGCCAGTGGCCGCGATGCTGCCCAGAGCAAGAACAATGTTCAGCAATGCAAGCCAATGGTCATCTCGACGCCGGCCAGCACAGTAGGTCTCACGAAAGGATCGCTCATCGATCATTGGAGCAAAAGCTTGGAAGTAAAGGAAGTAAGCATCGAGCATCTGCATCTCTGACGGCGGAATACATGGTTGTGGTGGTGTGATAGGCGCACGATGGGGCCAGCCTATCCCCCCATCCTGCTCGGCCTCTGGGGTTCGTGAAAAGTAAGAAGCACAGCCTGGGTCCAGCCAGACTATCACTTTGATCACTGCCTGTATTGACGATACACCCAAGTATGATGAGGGTTGCCTTGCAGACAAGGACAGTGCATTGACATCGTCAGAAACGCCTTCTGCCAAGTCCGTTGAACTGGTATTGCGGCTGTCCGGTAGTTCCTCCGGCATACTCTGGAGGGACTCCAGGTTATCATCTTCATTTGAACAAGGTGAAAGATGAGCGTCTAATGAAGCCGATGTTGCAGGGGACTCGGGATGTTGAGAGAGGGTTTGAACATGAGAGCCTGCCGAGGCGGTGGTGAGCTCAAGTAGTTTCTCCCGTGACAAGTTGACCAGTGACTCTGGTGGTAAATCTGGAAACAGTCTTCCTAGAATACTCCTGTACTCTTCTAGGGTGGTAGACAATTTTTCTACGTGCCTATAGAAAATTCTAGTCAGTTGACTGAAAAGAGAGTCAAGGGCAGTGGACTCACCTTCTCGACGGCCGCGGGTCTGAATAGTGGCATTGATCTGATTTCTTATACCATCGACATGCCTCGCAAGGTTTTTCGCCATCGCATTTGATCTTGCGGTGCCGACACGAGGTACAAGCTCGGAGAGTGGTGACGCGACGGCTGATTGACTCACGTCTTTCACTGGTAGCCCGGTTGCGGACTGCGCTTGTTGCGGTTGGGTTCTCAAACCCTTCAAACGTGTGGAACATTCTCAAGCACGTAACACCGAGTCAAGTACTTCGTACACATAAAGCTGACCACACCGCATGGAGATGGAGTATAAGATAACGGGGTGTGAAGTGGGGTTCAAAAAGAATAAGATTAAAAAAGAAAAGCAGAGAGGAGCTAGACCAAACTCGATCAGAGGCACCAAATGCACTTGATGAGAAATAAAACGTAGCCTGATCCGCTTAATATCCCCCCCCGCATTTCCTGACTCCGGTTCGCCCGAGGAGGGTTGATTGGTTGGAAGTATACCATTCATGCGAAGGTGTTCCCCAGCTAGTGGCAGCCTATGCATCTCTCCGTCTGCAAAGACCGCTTTTTCCATCACTCGGATGAATGGGTCCTTTAATGAGCATCTGCGTCATCCTAACCACCGACATACTGAAGCCAGAGGTGATGATGTATCACGAGTCCCGAAACTTGCAGACTACTAGGCTAGCAGGGCATTGCCACGCGCCAGCATGGTCAGGGGGTACAGAAGTGCCGTGGATAATCTCGCTTCTAGCGCATTCACGCCACAAGGTAGCATGACAGGGATGACAACAGGATGAATGTGTTCTTCAGGGGGCCTTTTCCCCGGACTTGTGAGAAGTAGACCCTGCAGGTGGGAGACGATCGTCTGGGGAAGACAGCCAAATGATGAAAGGAATTCTCAGCCCAGTACTCCATATCTGGGTGGGGGAACCGGTATGTCTACTCCGTACATTTGATCGTCTCGGGCTCTTCGGTAGCAAAACCCGTAATCAATCCGGCTAAATAGCACCCACATGCCTGGTGGTCATACGTTCCAAGTCTTGAGGGAAATTCGAAAAGGGGCTTCGCTTACCCCATATGAGGGGCAGTGTACGGAGTACGGAGTACGGAGTACCTGGTTCTGAACTTGCCACTTGGGGGAGTTGAGTGCCGAGGCGCTTTCGCGGGCGCCATGTCTTTTTCTAGTCAAGGGCCCGAGTGGAGGGGACGGCGGTTAGAAATTCCTTGGCTCCAGTCGCTTCGATGAATGGAGAAATGAAGGACTTGGTGAGGAAGATCTCGAGTAAGGACATTCGATGGAACTCATTCTTCTGCCTTCATCTCAGTTTTTGCACACTTGATGCAATGTAGATTACGGAGTAGACCTGTCAAGTCTACATGAGGGGGCTCGTTACTTGGACATATTCGACTGGTCGACCATGGTTCGATTGGATCAGACAAAGCCCGTATGAGCATACTTTCAATAAATTAATCCTGCGATGCGAACGGTCCGAACAAGTGGCTCGCAACGCGCATGGTACTCACAGGCCCACGATCGAAACTTGAGCTCTTCGAGGTGTCAAAATAAGTATGAATGGCCCCAATGCACGGCATGTAAAGCTTGACGGAGTGGTATCCGTGACCAAGACAAATCTCAAGTGATGGCCAAGGTCTTCACTTGAAGTGGAGAGGATGAGTGACTATGCCGGCTGGAAGGAAACACGCACAGAATTCACGACTGTGGTATTTTTCGTCTTGATAGTTGAAATTTTGACGTATTTGAGCTTCTCAGGTTGCAAATATACGCATCATGTGCGAGACTAACCTCATTTGGCACGGCTGCCCCGCCTTTCCCCAAATGGAAGGCGCGTGGAGTCTTATCGATAACAGCCTGTATAAATCCGGAGAGCTTGCGGTCATACCATTGCCCAATTGCTTCTCACAATGTCCATGACCGTGCAGACTTTGTCCTCAGGCTGGTCCTTCAAGGACCGCGACTCTAGCGAATGGCTCCCGGTTCCCACAGTTCCGTCCGTGGTGCAGCAGGATCTCATCGCAAACAATAAGTCAGCTACTCCGCTCAAAAGCAATGCTCAAATTCTAATGGGTCTTCTGGCAGGCTCGATGATCCATATCTTGGGTTCAAAGAATTGGATGCTCGCTGGGCCAATGAAAAGTCGTGGGTTTATCGGACTGTGTTCGAAAGACCAAATGCTCCGGCGGGTTCTACGATTGCTTTGGTGTTTGATGGTTTGGACACTTTTGCGAAAGTAAAGTTGGATGATCATATCATTCTCGAGAGTGACAACATGTTCTTGGGACACCGTGTCGACATAACAAAAGCGCTGAGCGCCGACGGCGAACACGTTCTCGAGGTCGAGTTTGACTGTGCTCTTCTCAAGGCACGCGAGCTCCGAGCCCAGGATCCAAAGCACAAATGGGTGGGGTTCAATGGAGATCCAGCACGGATGGCTGTGCGAAAAGCGCAATACCACTGGGGCTGGGATTGGGGACCAGTCCTGATGACTGCTGGCATTTGGCGAGCCGTGCGACTAGAAGTGTACAACGCTCGTGTGGCTGATTTGTGGCCGCAGGTTCGGCTTGCTGAAGATCATCAGACAGCTGAAGTCACTGCAGTTGTCGATGTAGATGGCCTCGTGGATAGTGACTTCACGATCCAATTTACATTGAGTCTGAAGGGTAAAGAGATCGCTTCCCAGAATATCTCAGTATCTGGAAAGACGACTCAGGTCACATTCAGGGTCAATTTTCCAGATTTATGGTGGCCCCATGGATATGGTGAGCAGACTTTGTACGAGGTGTCTGCGTCGCTATTTCACGGTGGTCAAAAGGTCGACCACGAGTCAAAGAAATTTGGCATACGAACTGCAGAGGTAGTTCAGCAGCCAGACAAGCATGGAAAGTCTTTCTTCTTCCGCATTAATGGGAGAGATATTTTCTGCGGCGGCTCGTGCTGGATCCCAGCTGACAGTCTTCTCCCCGCTGTGAGTGCCGAACGGTACCGTAAGTGGATTGCGCTCATGGTTGCTGGCAGACAAGTCATGATTCGGTATGTCACAAGATTCCCGGGGTCCCAAGTCTTCTGCTGATTTGTTTAGTGTCTGGGGTGGAGGCATCTATGAAGATGATGCATTCTATGAAGCCTGTGATGAGCTGGGAGTGCTTGTCTGGCAGGACTTCATGTTTGGCTGCGGCAATTATCCTACTTGGCCCGAGATGCTCGAGTCTGTACGCCGGGAGACAACATACAATCTGAGACGCATGCGCCACCACCCATCAATCGTGCTCTATGCCGGCAACAATGAGGACTACCAGGTGGCAGAATCAGAAGGTTTGACGTACGATTACGAGGACAAAGATCCAGAGAGCTGGTTGAAGACGGATTTCCCGGCTCGTTATATTTACGAGAAGCTGCTTCCAGAGGTGGTGGCTGAACACTCGCCCACCACATTCTACCACCCCGGTAGTCCATGGGGCGATGGTAAAATCTCATCTGATACAACTGTGGGAGACATGCATCAGTGGAACGGTCCGTATCTCAAACCTTTGGTCGACTTCATCACTAATAATCAGTAGTGTGGCACGGAACCCAAGAAAAGTATCAGATCTTCGATACTCTCGGTGGGCGATTCAATAGCGAGTTTGGCATGGAGGCGTTTCCTCATATCTCCACCATCGACTATTTTGTCGAGAGGCCTGAGGACAAGTTCCCTCAGTCGCACGTTATCGACTTCCACAACAAGGCAGATGGTCATGAGCGGAGGCTAGCAACATACTTGGTCGAGAACCTACGATCTGCCACAGACCTTGAGGTATGAATACACGTATGATGATCAGTGCAACACTCACACATTCTAGACATACATCTACCTCACCCAGGTTGTACAAGCCGAAACCATGATGTTTGGCTATCGAGGTTGGCGTCGACAATGGGGTGATGAAAGACACTGCGGTGGCGCACTTCTTTGGCAACTGAACGACTGCTGGCCAACCATTTCTTGGGCAATTGTGGACTATTTCCTCAACCCCAAACCGGCATATTATGCCGTCAAGCGAGTACTAAACCCGATTGCTGTCGCAGTGCGGCGCGAGCATCATGACTGGAGTGTGGCCCATGCACAGCCTCCCAAGAGCAGTCGTTATGAGGTTTGGATTGCGAGTAATTCGTTTGAGCCTCTTCAAGGCAAAGTCGAACTGCGGTTCATCTCCATCAACACAGGCGATGATATCAGATCTCCGATTGTGCGCGACGGCATTACTATTGTCCCGAATGGCACCACAGATATCGTCGACGGGGTCATTGACCATGTCGCGGAGCCAGAACCTCATGTCCTAGCCGCACGGCTGTGGGTAGGCGACAAGATTGTAGCAAGGGATGTTGACTGGCCGCAACCATTCAAATATCTTGACCTATCAGACAGACAGCTCCATGTTCAACCAACTTCTGAGCATGAAAATGAGGAGATTTTGGTGGTTAGCGCACGCAAACCAGTTAAATGTCTTGTCTTTGAGGAGCAAGATGGAGTGCGGCTTGAGGACAATGCGGTGGACATTGTGCCGGGTGGTGAGCAGACGATCAAAGTGACTGGCCGTGGAAGTAAGCCTTTGAAGTATCGGTATCTGGGGCAAGAGTCATGTCAGATCGTCGCATAAAGTACAGTAATCATGACCTTTGCCGTGGAAGCAAGATGACCCATAAACTTGTGCTCGTAGCCCCCGTATAAAATGCCAAGACCGACAGGATCAGCAATCATATCTTATCGCGGAGCTCTGAGCCTCTTTCGCAACTGCAACCATTTTGCTCAATGGGTACCAAACGCTCCTGGGAAGGACAGCCACTCGAGCTTCATCCAACAGTCGACGGCTCAAGCGACATCACCATGGCGGAAGCAGAACCACAGGGTGCCTCCATCATCTCGATCTTCGAGAACTTCCGCGACGAGCTTGACGAGCACCACGATCGCCGCGAACGAATAATCAAGAAAAGTCGCGACATAACAGCTCTGAGCAAGAAGATGTATGTACTCGGGCTTGGTACACCCCATCGCAGACTAACAGAAACCAGCATCTTTGCTCTCCAACGAGTCCGCGCGACCAACCAACCCCTCCCTCCTAAAATCGCGCAAGAAAACCAAACCCGCTTTGATCAAATCCGGGGTCTCTTTGAAGCCATTGTTCCAGAACAACTTGACATTAAAGGCTGGCGCTACCAACGCCAAGTCAGCCCCGGAATCCAAGAATACATCGAAGCAGTTTCATTCGACCACTACCTACGCACCCAAACACTCATCTCACATTCGGAATGTCAATCACGTCTACCAGAAGGAATCTTATTGTCAGAAGAGGACTATCTGATGGGACTCTTCGACCTGACGGGTGAAATGATGCGATTTGCCGTGTTGTCACTTAGTTCAGGAAATGCTGCGGCAACACAGCCAGAGGGTGGAGAAGGCGACCACCGACCAACACTGGCTTCATCGCAGGGTGATATTGTCGTGGATTTGCGAGCAATGCGGGCTGGGTTTGAGGCGCTCAGCGTGCCGCGACGACACTACATGTTGCGCGATCTGCAGAAGAAGATGGAGGTCATGCAAAATAGCGTGGAGAAGGTCGAGAGAGCAGCATATGGTATATTAGTTCGTGGAAGTGAGAGACCCAGTGGGTGGACTCCTGATCTTTCTGGGCCAGTGGAGGTTGAATCACACTAGATGTGAATTTACACTCGTGGACTTTCAGCTATGCCTTCCAATTTGCAGGTCCGACCGGACTTTTATGCTGCTTGGACCTAATTTCTCCGGTTCAATCTTAACGTTCGATGATGAATTTACCAGAATATTCACAGGGTGTGCATTGCAGTACATGATAACGGTGACATCACCACCCCACAGTAACGACTGGAAAAGTGCAAAGCGCAGCCAAAGAAAAGCATAAAAAGCAAAACGTAACGATCGTATCCCACATTAACATAAACCATGTCTCATATCTCATACGGTCCATGTGCACGTTGGTGTACTTTGGTGCACTGCGTGGGCCGCATGAGCACCACAATCAGACTTATCAGACAGGGGAGCGCGGGTTCTCATCTTCGGAGAGAATTCCCTGTGAAATCAACTCTTCAGGCTGTGGGCGGTTCTGGATCTTCTGTTCGAGGCTATCGGCCAGCATATGTTTCTCGAGTTCGCGGGCGTGGGCCTGCAGAGCTGGGGCGGCGGAGGTTGCGGGGAGGATGTTGCCTTGGCGACGTTAGTTCCAGTAAGTCTGGGGAAATGGTAGATATCAACATGCAAAAAGATAGATGTAAAACAAAAGGAAAGAAAAAGGAATAGAAGCGATATGTGTGTTTCCAAGTGAAGACACTTACGTTCAACCAATGCATCCTTCTCCGGTCGCTTCTCCAAGTGCTTCTTTAGGTTATCTGAAGCACGCTGACGGTCAAGCTCCTGGCGAGCGGACTGGAGGGCTCTGTATCGCATTGATTATAATTAGCACCTTGCTATTTCCAGAAACACGCACAGCACTCACGGAGCCACATTGGTGTCGAGTAGGATGTGACGATTCTTGAGGTCCTGTACGTCAGGGCGAGTCTGGAGATGCTTCTCGAGGGAGTTGCGACGCTCGCTGGTGGGAGGGAGGTTATGCTCAATTGAAGACATTGTGAGAATTGATAGTAAATGATAAGTTACGAAGTGTATGGAAGTTCAAAGGGTGGAGGAAGAAAGAGGAGGATATTTGAAGAGAAGAGAAGTCAAGTCAAGTGATGCGGATCACGCGGGGAAGTACATCATGTTATTTCAGTTGACCAGGAGACCGGACATCATCTACACACATTTTCATTTTCATAGAGAATAATCATTGGGGTACAAATGCCAGTAGATCCAATTAATCGCCTCTCAGAGACTCCCATCGTCAGGACTTCCAGAATCCAAGCAGCGCAGAGCCGCGGATTGATTCCTTGGGATTCATGTCCTCTGGAGAGGATCATGGGTTCTGTGGTTATGACTGATCATAAAGCCGGGGGAAGAAAAACACTCTGTAAGGTGCACAGATCCAGGTGGTGGATTGTAAGGCGAGTCGTGCAAATACCCTGTCCGGTTCGGTTGGTTCGAAACACACCGGTCTACTCTTCGTAAAACGTTTGTAGACCGTCTGCCCCTTCCAATCAAGGAACCCAGAGCTTGCCCCGACCACGGCCTGTGCCTCGTGCACCACGAGATGCTCCTCGGCGACCGTTGGATGAGCGGCGTGAGGCTCCGGGGGCACCACGGGCGGCTTGAGGTGTGCTCAAGTCCACAGGAGGTGTCTTGGACGAGCCGCCTAGTGATCGGCTGAAAGAGTCTGGGTCGATGGGTTGGGTAGGTACTTCGACGGAAGCTGTGGGTTCGACGACAGCAGGTGCAGGCTTAGGGGGAGTCTTGCGCGACCCGCCACGGGGGGCACCGCGCGAGGAACCACGGGGAGCCCCCTTACCACGACCGCGGGGGACGAATACCAACTCATCTTCATCGCTTTCTTCTTCGTAGGAGAGAAGAGTCTTCGGCTGCTCGGGCTGGGACTGTGTCTGCGTCTGCGTCTGCGTCTTCTCCACGTACTTGCAACGGTTCTTGTACTCGCGCTCCTCGTATTGGATAGCGGTGCGCAGCTGGAGAATGTTCTTAACTCCAATGCCAAACTTCTGGGCCCAAACCTGAGTCGCGCGATCATTGGTGATCAAAATACAAGTCTTCGCCGAGTTCTCAGCATCGGGGCCCTTGTGCAAACGCCAGAGCAAGGCACTCAGCAGGGGGCGAAGGGTGGCAGGTACGGTCGGAATGACCGAGCCTGAAACGGTGCGCTGGTGGTTGGACTTTGACTTGGTTTTGTCGTTCTTGGTTCCATTGCTGCCGTGCTGGGCGCACTCCGGGCTCGTTCGAGAGCTGCGAGAGGACGTGCGCGATCCCGGTCCACTGGGTGTGCCAACTGAAGTGATTGACGCAGCCTCCGGGTCCTTCTTGAAGTTCAACTTGGAAAGCAGCATCTGCGACAGGTCGTCCGATTCGTTCTTGGGCTCGTTCCCGGCTTCGGTGGGATCGGTGGGATCGGTCGTAGGGTCGCCATTGACAGCATCGTTGATCGCTTCGGGCTCCTCCTCGAATTCCGGCAGGAAGAATTTCTCGGCCTCGGTCCAGCGATCATACTGCTCCATCGGGCCCTGGAGAACAACCCGGTCGGCGGCGATATGGTCCTTGCCTGAGGTGACACGATCGAGAAAGCGGACGGCCTCGCGGGCGTTGATGGCGACCTGGGAACCGGCTCGCTTCAGCGCATGAAGTCGTTCAAGGGCTGAGCAAAAAGTCATGGTTAGAGACAAAAGCCAGCGCTAGGCCGAGGCCTGGACGCCGATACTCACTGTAGAGGGGGACCACCAGGTCAATAGCGCCGTTGGTGGTCCATTTCTTGATTTCGGAAATATTGGTGGACAGAGCAGTCTCATCCACAGCGCAGTGGAAGACTTTGCGTCCGGTTGACATGTTTGAGCAGGGTAAAGACCCTAAATCGGAAGAGAATAGACCACTGCAGCCCGGTCAGCTGGAGTTGAAGGAGGTTTGACAAAAGAATGTGGGGGCGGGTAAAAGCTGGTCACTCACGATGAGAAGCCAGTTGACAAGTTTTCATCTGGAGCATCTTTGTACAACTATGCAATCTTCTGGGCTCTTTGAAATTGCTGGCATCTGAAGAGTCCATAAATGATGCGATGGCAGAGATCTGAGACTATGCTGACTAAGCGGGCCAGGAACAGCCTGGAGGGCGAGAGGCGCAGAGGGGCAAAAGAGATGTCAAACAAGAAAAAAGAATTGGAAGATAAGAAAACAAGAGAGAGAGAAGATTCTATATTCAATACAATCTAAGAGCGGATATCATGTATCCCGGCTGCGGTATCCAACCCTTATGACTTCACTTTCTTGATCAGACCGTCCGATTCCTTCACACGTTGCGCCCATTCGCTATGAAAGATTAGCCCCAATCGCATCAATTATTCAGAGATTTGGATCATGCACTCACGTCCAGCTGCCATCATAGACCCGGCGCAGGTTAGGATCACCATATTCTGCTACGGCCAGCGCCGTCTCAATGATCGAAGCAGTCACACCAGTACCACAAGAGCTGATGATCGTTTGGTTGGGGTCTACCTTGCGCTCCTCAAAGACCTTGCGCAAATCTTCCGCAGGTAGATATGCCTTGGTCTCTGAGTCCAGTAGCTCTTGGAAGGGGAGACTCTTAGAGCCGGGGAGATGACCGGAGGACAAACCGGGGCGCGGCTCTGGGTCGGTTCCAGCCCAGCGACCATAAGAGCGTGCATCCAGGATTTCGATCTCCTCGGCTCCTTCCTTGCCATAGTCCAGAGCCAGCTCCTTCATTTCTCGGAAAGAGATCACCAATCGCGAGTCATAGACTGGGACGGAGTACTTGGACTTTTCCACAGGCGTAGGTTCCCCGCTTTCAGTCGGAAGGCCCTCTTTCACCCACAGGCGATAGTTGTTCAAGATGTGTACATTGGGATGACCAAAAACACGGAGGGTCCATCCAACCCGCGGGGCGCTGAAGATTCCCAGCTCAGCGGTGTCGTAAACCACGATCTCATCGTCGCGACGAATCCCAAGCTCGCTCATGGCCTCGGCGAAGGTTTCGCATGTGGGGAGCATATGGGGGTAAGGCGAGTCGGGATCCTTGATGGCATCGAGGTCGAAGAACCGAGCTTGGGGGATGCGAGAGTTGCGAAAGGACTCGATCCCCTTGCGACCCTCGGGGTCGTTTGGCATGAACCATGCTGCGTTGAGAGGAATCACGCGCGGGGAGGTGGAGATCTTGGTCCCGCCCGGAGGGTTCTTTCTCAAGGCTTCATTCAGTTGCTTAGGGGTCACCAAATAGGAGGAGAAAGAGACATTACGCGACTGAAGGTGGTGCGGGGAGGAAGACATGGTGCGGAACCGAGCGAGCGAGGATCGAATGGCTGTGAAAACCATGGTTGTAGTGGAGGAGGGGGAAACCCCAATTTACATAACGCGGTGGAAAACCAAACAGAGCTAGCTGCAAATAGAAGGCAATTCAAAAGCAGAACAGAAGGACCAGCGTAATAAGAGCAATAAGAGCAATAAGAGGAGTAGTATGGCGTTAGTTCCGGGGGAGATGCGGGTCTCGTGATAAGCGATAAACAGACCGCTTATCTTTCGCTCTCTTTTTACTCCAACCTTGGCATCTTTGGCATCTTTGGAACCTTTGGAACACCATGAAGGTCGCCATTAAGGAATGGAACGCCATCGCTACTTGGCACTGGGACATCCCTGAAGATGAAGTCTGTGGCATATGTCGTGTTCAGTTTGATGGTACCTGTCCGACCTGCAAATTCCCCGGCGATGACTGCGCCCTCGGTGCGTCCACTGCTCCTATTTCGGTGTTTTTGCGAATGCTGACTGTGTCAACTAGTCCAAGGAAGATGCAACCACGCCTTCCATATGGTATGAATCATCCAGCAGAATTCAAGGGGCCTCACTGATTGTAATCAAGCACTGTCTAATGACCTGGATTGACCTGGAGACTTCCAAAGGCCTGTGCCCAATGTGTCGGCAAAGTGAGCTATTCTTCTCTTCTGTTGATATTATATCGCCTGACTAACTCTTTGTAGAATTCGAATGGAAGGCAAAAGAATGATCCTATTCGAATTTTGCTCTCTTTTCCTTCTCTTCATGTTTACCAAGGCGTTGTGGGATGATCCGAGATACCCTTTTGTGCCTGTTTTTCTCGAGCGAACCTGCACTGGAAGGCAAGCTTATGCCTTATACCCGAAATACCACGGTCATGGTGTTGGCTACCGAACTGAGTCGGCTGGCATAGAATGACAATACATTCCAGGCCGAACATGTTTCTTGCGTTGGTCTAGTTGCAGGTGTTGACGAACATTTACTATCAAACCTCCATTCTGTGGGGTTAAGTGTAACCTCATTTGACAGGATACACAGTTCAGGCCCATAGTTGTAAAGGGGTTAAAGCTTAGTATTGGTCCGAGAAAGAAAAAAACCCATCCGCAGGCACCGTGTGTGTTTACGGCTTCGGGATGTATATCCTTGACATACACTACACCGTACCCGAGGTCGTTATGTTGGGTATGCGGAGTAGTAAAGGACCAATTTGAAAGCCTCCCCACAAAAAAGCAACACCAGAAACTATAGCAGTTTCAAACCCGGAATCAAATTTCAAGGTTGGATATTCCACTGCTTTGTGCCAAGTATGACAGTTACAAAAATAATCGACCGACTTCGATTTACTCCGAATCGACCGCGGGATGACATGGCATCACGTGGTGTTATCGATAAGAGGCTTCTCCGCACGTCGATTGACCTCAATCTGTCTACGGGTCACTTTGCCATAATCATGTAGCCTCATGGAGATGTCTCTGAAAAATCCGCCATATGCTTTATCCTCCTCGTCGTCTCGGCAGTCGCTTCAAAAAGACGCTCCTGGGCCTGATACGGCCTCAACGCGGCCAGGTGATCGACACTCCAGATGGCAACTGCCAGAGTCACGATTTGCGGACGAAACTAATCAACTGCCAGTGTCAGTCGCATCCCCATGCCGAGATGAAAACGCGGACCACACCGAAGGCCAGCCCGAAGAAGGCCAAGATGAACACACATCCCACCCCGCTTTTCAGCCCTTCTTCACGTTGATCGAAGACGCCCATACCTCCGATTACTACCACCCAACCGTCCATTACATATTCTCCGACGATGACAGCGACATAGTGACCGAGGCAGCATTGCGCAGCTTATATGCACAGCAAGAATCTCTCTCCGATTCCAAAAAGGAGCAGATCGCACACAACAACGCTTCCCCCTACGATGAGACCAAAGACCCTTCAGACTCTGTCCCGGCTAAGACAACCCTGCTACCACCATCCGTGCCAGGTGTGTGGGAGAACTATATAGTCTTAGACATAGAGCCCACTCCCACGGCAGAGCCACAGGACCCCATTCTTGAACAGCTTGCACCAGGCAAAACCGATTACAAGTCTCTGTCTTCCTCACCGGCCAACCAGCCCACAATATCACAAGATGGGCAGCATCAGTACCGTGTGATCGGGGAACAGAGTTTCTCATCGACATGGCAAGTCCTCAACACCGAAGTCATGGCAGCACCAACATTCGAAAACAGCAATCCGGGTGAATTACCAGGACATGGCTTGATGTTGAAGATTCGTGGTACTGCCGGTCTTCCTGATCAGAGAACAGCAAATGGGGAGGGCAGGGGAGGGCAAAGACTTGAAGAGATGATGGACCAGTTCGCGAAGCGGATGAGTGAGCTGCAGGTTGTGATTGATGCGGCAGAGACTGCGAGCATCAATGCATGCGCGGAGGGAGAAGAAGTAGAGCATCCCGTATCCTCGGATGCAGTCGAAGCCACTCAGCAACATACCGTCGCAGTGGGGGCGGAACAGACTTGAACATCGTCGTTGTTGTAAATCCTGGCTGTGAGAGGCTTCAGTCTAACCTTTGCTTATGATACTACTCTGGAGGGTGGAATCAAGATCATGTCGGCTTTTTTTTTCTTGCCAATTATATGCCTATAAGAACAATAGCAGACCGACGACGCCTAGGAAGGACCCTTTAAAGAAACTCAAACAAAAGAGATACAATGAATGACCCACCACTGCTCTCTCAGCCAAAAACTCCGAACCAGAGTGAAAAGCCCAGCGAAATAGGGTATCAAAATAAGCAAACAAGTAGAGGAATAAGGAAAGGAAAAAGAAGTGAGAGATCACGTTTGATCGGAGCGGTTTCTGAACCTCCGGCCTCCAGCCGCAGAGGGGTGGAGATTTTCACGACCTTCCATCACACCAGTCATCTTTTTGGAAAGCAAGGTTTTGGGTAATTTGCTCTCAGCAGGGATAGCTGAGTTGGAGCGACGGCGTTTTCGGGAAGGCTGCTCGGATTCTACCTTCTCGGGAGTCTCATCGAGGTCCACGGCGGATGTCAACGTGGGGGTTTCGGCTTTGTTGGGAATATCTTCGAGATCAGACACGGCCGGTCTGGCGACGTTTGGGTTGACTTCTCTAAGACCGGTGTTGGAGGGTGTAGTAGCGAATGGAAGAGGGTGGCCTACCTCTTCCGGGGTATCGTTATAAACAAATTTCTTAGCCGGCGAAGGCATTTGAGGGGAATTAGGCAAGAGTGAATCCTGTTGATCTTCTTCACTAAATGGCAGAGCAGTGAACTGCTTGGATGTGCGGTGTCGAGAGCGTAGACCATCGTGGGGCTCGGTCTGGGGCAATTCGGAGGGATATTCGTAGCGACGCTTCTGTGGTGTGATGCCAGTGGAAACATACTCCTTCATGGGATGGGACTGGATCTGGGAGCGCATGGCTGTGAGCGGCTTGCGAACCTCGGTGTGTAGAGGTACCATGCTTTGCGCAAGGTTTGCAGTGCGTGTTTCCACGTCACCTTGGAGTTGCTCAACGCGCCCAGCTAGTCCATCTAGTTGACCATAGACATTCGTGCGAGATTCGCGGACATTTTCTGCCATGACATCGAGGCTGCCGATGTGTGACTCGTGGAAACGACCGTTTTGTGAACGGGCCTTGGCGACGAAGTCATCCAATGCTGCCATCTGTGTACCCATGTCACTCATTTGAGCGTCCACTATACGCACAGTCTCCTGATGCACAGACTCGGTTGCCCGATGGATCGACAGGTTGCGCTGGTCGAATATCTATCGTCGTCAGTATTTGGCTTTTCACCGAAAGTATTGTTCATTCTTACCTCCCAATCGTTCTGCATGCGAGTCTTGATCTCATCCTTGGAAGCGGCAATGTCTTTGGCGAACTGTTCCTCCTTGAAGATCCATTCATCAATATGCCTATCATGTTGAGCAGTGGCATGCTCAAGCGAGTCACCTGATGTCGAGATGTCATTGCGAAGGGTGTCGAATTTGCCTTTGAGGCGGTAATTCTGTCGTTTTGTTGAGTCATCAAGTAGTCCTCGAATATGAGACATGAGAGTATCACGTTCTGCTTGTGCGCTGGCCTGTTCTTCATCCAAGACCTGAGCGAGATTGGACGAAGCCTTTCTGTTGGCCTCCACCGTCTGGCGGTTAGCTGCCTGCAACTCCAGACGTAATTTGTTGACTTCCGACTTCTGCTCATCGAGGTGTTTTGCCATGTTGTCAAACATGGACTTGAAATCTCTACCGAGCGTGCTGTATGAGGTATGCAGTTGAGAGTGGAACTCAGAGAACTCTCCAATGACCTCCTTAGAAATTCGAGCCGCAGCGGCGGACAAGCCATTCAGACCTTCACCAACTTTGGATTTGACTTCTTCACGCAGATCTTTGATTTCCTCCAAAACGTGGTTCATGTCGTCATGAGCGGTAGATGTGTTGTTCTTGGCTTCTGCTTCCACCTTGTCAAATGAAGTACCCAGATCTCGGAGTGTTGTGCGAGTGGACTTCACGGTGCTCAGCTCGTGGTCGACAAATTCATGGATCTTGCCCGACATATCCTCCAATAATTTGGCATGCTGGTTCTGGAAGACCTCCATTCGAGCATCGATTTGCTGTGTCACATCTGAGACCTCGCCAGTCGAAGTTTGCCAGGTTTGACGGTTGTGTGTTTCCAAGCTATCCTTGCGATCCAATTTTGCATGAAGCCCATTCACGTCTTGGACGGTGCCATTCAGTGTCGAGACGAGGCCAGCACCAATCTGGCGGAGCTGCTTTTCAGTGCTTTGGTGGGCCTTCCGGACGGCCTTCTCCTCGTCCAGCTTGTCCTGAGTTTCTTTCCAGAACTTTTCAGTCTCGTTAAGAACCTCTTTTGTGTCGTTCAGCTTAGACTGTGTCTCCTCATTGTCATGCTTCAGTGAATTGAAGTTTCCAGTGATAGAAAGTAGTTCAGACACTTTGTGTTTGAGACTCGATTCCATAGACTCGATCTTGGCACGTTGCTCTTCGTTAACTATACGTCGTGACTCAATTTCCATAGTCATCTCTTCGTGGGCGTCGGGTGTCATGTATACACCATTGCGATGCCGTGTGGCGATGAGCTCACTCTTGAGTTTTTGAATTTCCATTCCGATATCACGAAGAAGCTTGTTCTTGGATATGGTTGAGTTGATTTGTGGTTTATTGCGGATGTTCTTTGCTCGGAAGGCATAGTCAAGGGTAGAAATAGTCTCTTCAAGGTTGTTCCGCGCGGGGGAGACTGTGGCGATAATGCAAGTTTTTGTTTGGCCTCCTAGTGAATCTTGGAGCAGTCTCGTGAGCTTTGACTCTCGGTAGGGAATGTGCGAGCTTTTGTCCACCAGCGCATTGATAACCCTCCCAAGAGTGAGCAGACTCTTGTTGATAAGACCAGCTTCTGCCGCGCGCTTGTTCTCAGCACCGCTTCTCCCGATGTTCTCACTACCAGCCAAATCAACCAGGTTCAACTTTCCCGTGCTGATGTTGTCCTCACCAGACTCAGTCGTACGTTTAGTGAGGACGGTGATCGTGAAAACTGTGTGACTTCGAGAACTCAAGTCGTTGCATTTTGTCGCAGCAACTTGACGCTTGTGACTGCCGGTTTGCAATAGTCGGATACCCGTGGAAGCAGAGTCAATATAAGTCTCTTCCATGCCTTGGACCATCACGCTGTGCCCTCCTTTCTTTTCGTTCTCGAAAATTTTCAGTTTCGTGCTGTCATCGTAAGACAGTAGATCGCGCAGTTCCTCGTTATAAAGTTCAATGAATGAGCACTTCACTGTACTTTCGGTACCCTCTAGTTTTTGAAACAGGGAGTAAAGTGTGCGCGGAATGATTCCCGCATCATCAGATAATATGCCTAGTGTATCATTCATGTCTCCTGACATGGTGTAGGTCTTTCCAGTTCCGGTCTGTCCGTATGCGAAAATCGTACAATTGTAACCTGCTAGCATCTGCCGAGAGTTAGTAGCTATCTAGGCGCAATGACTCTTGTTCATCTCACCTCGTCTAGAGTGGGTGTCACCACATCATCAAACACGGTGGTTTGATCGGCCGCTGGAGAGAAAACTTTATCGAAAGCGTACGTTTTGTTTGAAACCGCGTTTGGACCCATCGACAGATCGAGAGTCTTGCCCTTCACACCTTCTGGGGTTGACAGGACAACGCCATTGTTATCCTTGATCTCGCGATCACTGCGCCCACGACAGCGGACCACCACGTGAATGCTTGTGTCTTCGTTGACGCCTCGCTCGTAGTCCTTCTCTTTTCGTTTCGTCGCAGGGTTTAGCTTCTCTGGGCTTCTTGGTGGCGCGCGCGCTGAGCTCATGGTAGATGATCGCACAGAGGGCGTAGATATCGCTGGCGACGCATGGCGCTCTGGGACCGCTGAGCCCGCCCGTCGAACTGGCTGTCGCAAACCCGACCTCCTCGTGGCAGGAAGGGTAGAGGGAGGCCTTGCTGGGCCAGGCATGGTGAAGAGTTTTCAATTGCAGTCTGATGGTATTATTTCCGAAGACAGCGCGACACTTGGTTAATTTCTTTGGAGTGGTGCATGTCCCCGGGGTCTTGATCTCAAAATAGGCCCACGAGTAAACAAACAAGATGACATAATCATCAGTTTGCATGATTTGCATGGGCCCCACATGACCTGCGTCTTATCGCTGTCCACGGGTGCGTCCCCTCATGAGCTTCAACTCCCCCTGTTCACTTGCTTTTGCTTTCAAAGATTTCTGATCGCATGGAACTCCACTAGCTCATAGCAATAACACCATTCAAAGCGAAATGACCACTCCTACAACATCAACACAGGCTCATATCTTCCCCAGCAAAGGACTGGGGTTTATCAGTACGTATCAGTGACTTGACATCATGCAGCTCAAGCTAATTTTGCGACAGCCTTGGGGGCCTCACTTCATAATGTGCTTACTCGAGTGAAATCTTATCCACAAACATATCCAGCTATCGACCTTGCATATTCCCCCACAGATCCTCTTCGGAAACCCGTGATACTTCAGCTCCCCTCGAACGGCTTGCGTCTTCGGTTCGACGGCCCTGATCAGAGGCTGCGTTTGATCGAAGTGCTTGACTTTTCTCGGATAAATCTGGTTTACAAGAGTCAAGATGTGGTCAAGGGAGTAAAGTCATCAGAACAACCCGTGTCTTCACCAGGCCCGAGCTTCCGGCACGTCTATAATCGCCTGTTTGGTCCCTCATACCCAGGAGAATATGTACCGCCGGCAGACAAGTCTCCATATGGCACATACGTGCTCTCGTATCCTGGGATCGCGTTTTCCTTCCCCCTCCAGCACTCAGCCTGGTCCGACCAGTGTGACTTCGTAGCGCTGCTGTCTTCCTCGGCTGCTCTGCCGGCCACGGCCATGTCTATCTTTCAAGGCTCATCGTGGCCAGAGATTCGCGATAAGCTTTTTACACAGCAACCCCAGTACCCACGCTCATCAGCTCTGATAGGCAAGTCTCGAGAGTCCCTTGCCGATGAAATCGAAGAGTGGCAGGTCCTCGGTGCAGGCAAGCTCGGGGTGATACGCAGGGCAGGATCTTCGGTGTGCATCAAACTGGGGGAAACAAGTTTTCAGGATTTGATTGCAGATTTCGGGCCACCCGATGCCATATATCGTAAGAATGACCGTCGAATCTCGATCCATCGCGCAACCGGCGGGAATGACATACACCTGAGCCCTTCTCCAGGCAGTATACAAGATGGTGACCACTCATCTAACAACAGTGTGACTGATGATTCTGACGATGAAATGGCTTCTTTCAATATCGGTGACCCTACCTCACTACCCGCAGAATGTTTCTTGAATTATTTCCACCATGGCTTCGATGCCTTCATCTCCCACCCAACCACACCTGGGCCCGCATTCCCGGCTTCTGGCGTTCCTGACCCTTCGGTCCAGCCCCCATCCTCCCAGTTGACAGTAACCAAAATTATCCTTCATGGAAATGTTCCAGGTTCTTACCCATTTAACCGCCACCGCAGAACTCGGTGGATAATTCCCCTGGATGACAACAACTGCCTGACCTCCGAGTCTCCTTACAACGAGATCTCTGAGCAGCTACGGACTGCCTGGAGAGGATACTACGCCAACCCCGCCGAGGAGCGTGCTTTGCAGCGACCGATGGTACTGAACCGCGGCTGGGGGGACAGCCCCGAAAGCAGCGTCGAGTTCCTTGGCGGATGGGAGGAAACTACCTCCAAAGGTCACCGGGCCAGCGGCGACGGTCAGGATGGAGGATTGGGAAATACCGAGATGTTCGGGTTCCCGGGCTTACTATTCGAGGTGTTGAAGAACGGCGCCGTGAGTTGTTTAACCGTGTATTGAACTGACTGGGATTGGCGTTTTCATTTCATTCCTTTTTTTCGATTTTGTTGTTACCCACCCTTGAATACATTATGAATCATGACAATTGCAATCTACTGCAATCGAGTAGTTTAGGGCAACGGGAATCTTCGCAGATGACCTCACTTCCCAGGTGGATACCTAGGTATATCCTGTGAAGGAGCGCGAAATGGACCTTTGCGGTGGCAGTCAAGTCCCTCTCACACTCCACAACTTCGAAACTAGCTTCTGATACCCATTCCACAAAGCTTGGTCGTCATCAATCATGGAAATACCACTATCGGATTGCGGACCGGTCCTTGGCAGATGCGCAGACGAACCAAGCGGGCTGCAATGTTCAGACCCAGGGTGTCTCATGGCATGCTAAATCAACAGCATGGTCACTCTTCTCGAGCAACTTCCCAATCTGACATTTTTTTCTCTCCTTTTTCCTTCTTCGAGATGTTTTCATCTTTGATTTCAGAGCTGCTTCAGAACAAGCAAAGACGGCAATCGGCGCCCCTTCCGATATCTTAATACAATAGCGCAACACCTGTACATGCCATTGTGGCGAGCGTCGGTGTGGAAAAGGATTCACCCAGTCATTTTCTGGAAGATCAGCGAATTTGGAACAGCAAGATGACGCATTGCGAAAATGCAAGATGTATATCTCTCTCCCCCGGTGAACCTCCCGAGCAGTCCCCCGGAGCATCGTGCGCGGATGCGGGGGATGCGGGGGGACTTGCGGGGCCGCACGGGGCGTTGGCGCGAAACAAAAGGCACAAAAAAGAAAAACCAGAAAACTCGAAAAAAAAAAAAAAAAGAACGCAAAAGCAAACCTGCTTATCTTTTTACGAAGATAGGCAACGCTATGAGAAATTATCCATACGCCAATGGGTCATTGGGTGGATATCGTGGATATAAAAGGTTCCTTCCTCAATCGAAACCCCCTGGTTCTCATCTGCACAATTCTTCAGCATGAGTGCTATCCATGAGTCCCCCGAGCCCAAAAAGGAGCATCTGGATGATGATCTTATAGACGATGATCTCGCGATCAAGCCCACACAAACTGCCCAAACCGCACATCATGATGTTGTATTCGGCGAGATCACTGAAGACGGTCCTAATTATCGCAATGTGCATATAGAGTCAAATCTACACTCTCAACCCAAGCTGACTTTGCCTTAGGTCGGTTTCCTGGGAACAGTGATTCTGATGATGAAGAGTCAGATCGGATTGGGGATTCTCTCAATCCCAACGGCCTTCAATGCACTTGGAATGGTTCCTGGTGTCATCGTCTTGGTCGGTATCGCCGCGATCACCACCTGGTCTGGCTATATAATTGGTCGCTTCAAGCTCAACCACCGAGAGGTCTATGGAATTGATGATGCAGCAACCTTGATGTTTGGCCGCATTGGCCGGTGGATTCTGTCCGTGGTGTTCTGTCTATGTATGTTTCCAGGTCCCTTCTCACCAAGTCTACCTTTTACTGACAGTAAAGACTATATCTTTGTGAGCGCGTCAGGTATTCTCGGAATCTCAATTGGCTTGAATTCAGTATCAACACATGGCTTGTGCACCGCCATCTTTGCCGTCATCGCAGCTATCCTCGGTTTAGCGACCGCTAGTATACGGACCCTCGGCCGTGTTACCTGGCTTGCATGGATCGGACTGCCTTCTGTGATCATTTCCGGTGAGTCCAAAGTGGAGAGTGGGGAGAAACGGTAGATACTGACCCCACTTAGTGATGGTCGTTACGATTGCTGTCAGTCTCCAAGACCGCCCCTCTGCCGCACCCAGGACCGATGGGCCCTGGACCTCGGATTTCAAGATTGTGGGTAATCCCTCGTTCGTTGAGGGTATTACCGCAGTGTCGAATCTGATCTTTGCCTTCTCGGGCACTCCCGGATTCTTCTCCATTGTATCGGAGATGCGGAACCCTCGCCAATTCACTCCAGCCCTACTTATGTGCCAAGCGACTGTGACTTCCGTCTATTTGATTGTGGCTTGTATTATATACTACTACTGCGGCTCGTATGTATCTTCACCAGCCCTCGGATCCGCCGGTGGACTGGTGAAACAAATTTCATACGGACTCGCGTTACCCGGCTTGGTTGTTAGCACAACTATAGTCACCCATGTAAGCTCTGTCAACAAAGAGACGGGTCTTGGAACTCTCAAGACCGTCTGCTAACACAGGAACTAGATCCCGGCAAAGTACATATTCGTTCACATCCTTCGCGGCTCTCGCCATCTGAACACCAATACTTTCACACACTGGGCCTGTTGGCTCGGCTGCACCTTCGGCATTACTGTAATAGCGTACATCATTGCCAGCACTATCCCCGCATTCGATGCCCTGGTCTCTTTGATTGGAGCCCTACTTGGAACAATCCTTTGTCTCCAGCCGTATGGTTGTATGTGGCTGTACGACCACTGGTCTACGGGGCGAGGGCACTCGAAATCTTGGCTGCCGATGGTATGTCTCAGTATCTTTATGGTAGTCTTTGGATCGTTTGTCACCGTTGCGGGTACATATGGAACCGTCGTCGGCATCATAGAGACCTCTGGGAACTCGGCCCCCTTCACCTGTGCAGACAACTCAAACTCAACTTGAGAGTTACATCTGTGGGATCTCTTAGAGGTATCAGACCTCAAGTGTCATATAGAATGAAAATACTATTCAATAGACATGAATTTCGTGCGTTTGAATTCTGTCATGTCCATATCAGAAAGCGTTGTGCAAAAATTACCTAAATCAGTAAAACAAAGCGAGTGAATTGATGCCGATGTCTGCTATGATCATAACAAAGAAAGGGAAATTTCGGATCCACAGGCTAGCATGTTATTTTAGCCTGAAGCAGGTGGAGGAAAAGGAGGTGTAAGACTGACCTCTCAAAAGGGGCAAGGATCGCGCACAAGGATCCTGGAAGTTCCACCAACATGGAGACGGTCAAGCCAATTCTGTCGCAGAGCCCGACGGGGGCATCTGCAGACATGGAACCCCCAGGATGGAGTTGACAAGCATGGTTTGGTATGGGGTCGGCAAACAGCCGAGACCCAGTTTCCCCATCTACCCGCGAACATCCATGGATACTGAACTCATGAGAGTGGGCAGATGGAAGGATTTAATGGGTCAACATCTCATCTTGGAACCTTGGAAACAGAAAGACCATAAAAGACACCTGGGCAACTGGACCGAAGTGTAGAAACTTTCCCGGGGATCGGCCGGGAAACATAATTTTATACTCACTTAACTATCCACCTGGGCACCCTTGCGTTCTGTTGATTGAATTCCCCCGGGAATAGACCCGCTCTGGATAATATTGTCAATGCGTCGGATTGGGGTTTCTCAACATAAATGGAAACCCAAACTTCCCCCTGTTAACCCCCCACATTCCCCTCAGCGGGAGGGAACCCGACGAGAGAGACGGGGTACTCGGGATCTCTCTGTAAGGGGTTGACGGGGATGGGAATACCCAAAGTGGAAGCCGAAAACGCCCCGAAAGCACTGAAGACACCTGTTCTTAGCCTATTGTAGATCCCGGCAATGACGTCGCATCGGACCACAGTGGCTTCGTGCCGAGAATATGCAGGAAGACTGTCACAACCCTGGGGTTAAAGATGGTTCCTCTTGTCCCTGTTCTTCCTCCTTTTATCTACTATTTCTTCTAGTCGGAGTATTTAATATATGCAGGTATAATGGGGGAATTTGCGGGGATTATTATTGCTTCTGTTCTCGTCGTTTCAGTTGCTCTTGAAGGCTGCGACCTAAGTTGAGCAATGTGACAGATCACAATTGTAACAAACGCTGCATAAGTTGACTGCCTCAAGCCCACAATTATTTTATCAGCCCTCGTTGACACAATAAAATGATTGATTGGTCAGATGACTTGCTTGAATTGTGTTTGAAGCAATGCCGTGCTTTAGGTTGGCTTAAGTACCAATTGGTCACTGTCTTTGATCATGTCTAGTTATTGGCTTGGACGGCAAAAGACTCAGCCGACTAAGCATAAAATGACATGCTGATTGCTCTAGGCCGTTTATGTACACAAAATCATAATGTGTAGAGTCAACGAGATCTACAACGTTAATATACTGATACTGTTACGATCTTTGACAGCACTACAACCTTGAGGTGACTACTTAATTCAAACATGACGTCCAACACAGCAAAACGTAGCTTGATATATCCTGCACAGCGATATATGCCGAGGCCCGCGGTAGTTACCAACTACAACTCCTCATGTCAATAGTGTCCAGGCAATCACTTGGGCGCCAAACTTGAACAAAGAGGGGTTCCTTGGTGCGTCCGAAATCTCATACATCTACACCAAAGAAATAGCTAGGTTTTGCCTTTAACATCACTGACATAATGCGTGCGGTTCGATTCCATGGAGCGCGAGATATTCGTCTTGACGAGATCGAGGAACCTGTATGCGGGGTTGACCAGGTCAAGGTGAGACAAAACGCTGGACTTCCACCCGAGAGTTCTGCCTGGGTAGAAAGCCCCATCAAACGCTAATTGCTCTATCCTTTCAAAGATTCGGCCAGCCTTTGTAGGAATATGTGGGAGTGGTAGGTGGCTCTCGATCTAGGTGAAAAGAACAAGCCGTCGCCATTCTGACGATGTAGATCTCCACGAGTACCTGTCCGGGCCTTGCGCCGTACCAGTCACTCCACACCCACTGACTGGTGAAAAACTCCCGACTACTTTAGGCCATGAGCTCAGTGGAACTATCGAGGAGGTTGGAAGCATGGTATCCGGGTTCAAAGTTGGCGACAGGGTTACTGTCATGCCGAATCTCTACGATGGAACTTGTGTAAGATGTCAATCTGGAAAACTTCACCAGTGCGAGAAGCTAGGCTTTATTGGCTTCAGTGGTAAGCGTGCATCGGTGCTTATGAGGCCGCCGAGTACGAGCTGATCGAGATCTCTCTTCAGGCAGTGCTGGTGGCCTATCCGACCATTTAGTCGTGAGGAAAGAGCACGTTGTCCTGTTGCCTGACTCCATTCCACTCGAAATCGGTGGTTAGTTATGCTTGAGTGACACACGCTCTTTTCAGGATCTTATGGAGTAACTAATAGATCGCAATCTAGCCTTGGTGGAGCCTCTCGCAGTTGCGTGGCACGCAATCAGCCAAAGTCCTATCCAGAAAATGGATCAAGGGAAGTTGATAGCACTGGTAGTTGGGGTGGGTCCCATCGGCCTTGCGATCGTGCAGGGTTTGAAAGCCCAAGGAGTGGAGACTATAGTTGCAGCGGACGTATCCTCAAAGCGCAGAGAATCTGCAGCGTACTTTGGTGCTACTCTGGTGCTGGATCCGATTCAAGCAGACCTTGTTTCACACGTTCGTGGACTTACAATTGACGGCGGTGCTTCTATCGCCTTTGAATGCAGTGGAGTACAGGCCGGGTTTGATTCAGCTGTCGCAGCTACGCGGTCCGGCGGAACAACGGTCATTGTGTCTCAATGGATGCAAAGAGCAAGCTTTGACATATTCGATGTAATGCTACACGAGAAACACCTTGTCGGGGCTGTCGTATACGAAAGGAAAGATTTTGAAGCTGTCATCAAAGCAATTGACTCGGGTATGTCCGACACACTCGGCCCACATTGCCTTTGGCAGAGGCATGATCTCAACGTGGATTTGGAATGTTCGGCTAACGTCCTCACTCATGTTTCAAGGGAAAATCCAACCGGGCTCAATGGTGACCAGCAAGATCAGAATGGACCAAGTGGCGGAAAAGGGATTCAAAGCTCTCATTGAGGAGAGAGACCTGCATGTCAAGATTTTGGTGGAAGTAGGAGACATCCCACCGTCTGATGTATGATACCGACATGTGGAATGGAACTCATCTCTCACTTGCGGAGGGGGTATTGAGCCTGTATTCCAAGCTTGCCTGCCTATATGATTTGCATGGAGATCTCTTGGTCAGATGAATGTCAGAGGCTTTGTGTGAATCATGTTGATTGCAAGATAGCGACCTATAGGGTTGTCCAAGATACCATGCACATCTACTACGGTTAACCATATTTTTATTTCTGGTCAACGATTTCGTGACACTTAGTCAAACACAAACTTTTGAGACTATGAGAATTTATCAACATCACAATTTCGATAGCCAAGTATTGAGTCAAACATCAGCCGTTCTCTGATAAGAAAGGAAACCAAAAGGGCGATAGAGGTGGGGGAATAGAGAAGCCACTAGGATACTTCAAACTTAGGCAGTCCGTCAATGAGCGCTGTCACAGCTTTCCGATCCACAGAGCAGAGCGCATTCAGTTGGGCTTGCACCCAGTTCTCTGCTTTGATCTTCATCAGCTCCCAAACATCCCTTGATTTGGACTCTCTCATCTCCAGGAACAGGCACACAATGGAAGTGGCAAGTATGTTCCACCAATCTTGAAGCCCAGTCACTGGGTCCGTCTCAGCGGCCTTTGAGGTCTCGTGTTGATCTTTGACATTAGCGCGGAAGATGGTCGGATTCAAGCCCATGGTCTGGAAAAGCACGTCACTCATTTCCCAGTAGCCTGTAAAGGACTGCAGGCTGATGAGTTTGTTCAATGGTGGCATGTTTGACGCGATGTCTGCTTCATTGCCATAGTGGGTGTCTTCCTCGTCATCTTCTTCGCCATTGGAAAAGACTGGGGGAGCTGGAGGTGACCAACTGGGGCTCGCAGGGGAGTAACCCGGACTAGTGGGGGCAAACTGCGGGCTCTGAGGGTAATGCAGGCTGTGTGGGCCAGACTGGCTCGTGGGGTCATATGGCGACGGACCGGTAGGAGAGAAACTTGGACTTGTAGGGGTGTGATGTGGACTCGCAGGAGAGAAACCCGGGCTTGTTGGGGCATATTGCGGGCTTTTAGGCGAATAGCTCTCGAACAGGCTATAACCAATGTCTTCATGTGGCGGAGAGTCTGGTATATCACACGGTGAGGTGGTCATTGCTAGCCTTTTTGCGCTGAACTTGGCTGATCTCTTGGCCTTTTTTCTTTTCATCTGCACAGGCATCTGGTCATCGATAATCAGCATTCTGCGGTCAACTTGAACGGTTTCAAATTTCCAAATATCAGCATATTTGCATACCGGAGAATCTTCTGAGTAATGGTCGGCCTCAACCGGGGGTTCGTCATCCACTGCGACGAATGAACAGTGTTTTCCTGCGACCTGGAACCTCAGACCAAGTCGCTCGCATTCTCTCTGGTTTAGCTCGGCAACACGGCTCTCCCATTTACTTGTGATCAACTTGCCTTGGATATCCCTTGCTGAATTAATCCAGCCTTGGGACTCTTCGAGCTCAGTAACAACCTTCTTGGCCGCAAGCTGATGGATCGTCTGTCCTTTACCGACATCTTGAACAGGAATTTCCAGCTCAAGTGGACCGTGCTTGCTGTCTGCACGGAGTGTAATTGTCTCTGGAAATTCTGCGGACGCATGCGAGAGAAGAAGGTATATGTTAGAGCGAATGAATGGGAAGAGAGCCGGAAGATTTGCGGGGGCTTGAAGAATACTCGGTACGGTCAGTGCAGGAAGTGCTTCACGCAAGTCTCCGGGTGTTGGTTCAGTTTCACTGTCTTGGCTAATGAGAGACATTGGCTTCTGTGTTTCCGCAGGCTTCTGATGGTTGCTCGGCATTTCAATGTGCACGAAGTCTTCCTCAAGCTCAGGAATTTTCACATCCAGCCTGGTGTCATGTAGCCGTGGCATCATGGCGCCCTTGAGCATTCGAACAACTGTCTTGTTCAAATCCTCATTGTTGAGAACTGCTTGGGAGAATCCCTTACCTGCCCTGGAAACACCATTGACGAGGGCATGGGATGCATCGTTTCCGATACCAAGGGTGAAGAATCGTGTGGAATCATTCTGGTTCGCCTTTTTGACAAACTCAAAGATTGCATATTGATTCCAAGCCCCACCGTCCGTAAGGAGCAACACTTCAAGAGTCTTGTCTTGGTAGCGGTTCCCGACGGCTGCCTCGAGGCCCACCAGAATCTCGGTTCCTCCCATATCGGCTTTTACGCGTTTCGTGTATTGAAGAGCCTGTGTCAGGCTTTCCGGGGTGCTCATTTTGCTTCGCGGCCACAAGCTTTGGTGAGAACAGCCAAATGATACTATGTTGAAAGGAACACCCAATGGAAGGGATTTGAGGAACAGTTCGAGCGCCGATCGCAGGGTTGGGATTTTGTCTTCCATGCTTCCACTGCGATCAATGACAAACACGATCTCAGAGGATTCCAAGGGGAGATTAAATTTTGGTACCAAAGAGACCATTAAAGCCTTTTGATCTGGAAGATCGGGATGTGTTTCTAGGAGCGCGAAGGGGAGGTCTTGTTTATCTGCGTTGACAGTGATGACGAAGTCCTCTGCAATGACTGCATTTTGATGGAGTTTGATCGAGGCAAGATGAGATTCGAATGCTGAATGTGGCATATCCGATACTCGTCCTAAGTCCACCTGAATTGGGTGGCTTGGGGACCGTACGCTGCGAATATTCGAGCCCTTCTCCATCACAAAATCTATCTTGATCGCTGTCTTTGTCAGGGCCCCTGGGGGCGGATCTGAGTTAGCATTTCTAGTTCCGTAGCGATGTCCAATGGTAGAAGGAATCGTGTATCGAATCCCATCAGTTTGCGCGTCCTGGGTCAACTCTGCGATCAGCGTGATCTCAATAACAACAGTTCCCGCTGCGGGGATATTCCCTATACGGGTGCTAAACACATCGGCAGCATCAACCGAGCGATTGAGAATAGCGGCAGAGATGCCCTTGGACTTGGCCTCCTCGTAAACCTCGGTCGCTTTCGCTTTGGGCTCGACTCTTCCCTTGATTACAGTATCGGCAATGCGACAAGTGAAGCCGACGACACTGGAGCTTTCATACAGCGGGAAAGAATAGAAGACTTCGGAAACAGCCTCTGTGGACGAAGGGTTCACGAACGTCTGAGTCACGATGGTCCGCGAGTTGGTCGCGAGAATAGTCGCGTGCGCGTCCAGTTCGACCTGAGGTAAATACTCTGGTGCAGACCCATCATTTGCGGCCAAGTGGTAAAAACACCCGTGTGGCATATTGGCAAATAGTTGTAGGAGGGAGAGCCATCATGCAGCCAGCAACAATACTTATAGGGAGGAGGCTGTAAAGGTGACTCAAACGCGCTAGGGAATTCGATGCGGGGCCAGTACACGCTAGGCACGCTGTGATACGAGGCTCAAATGATAGGCTGACTCATTAGGTGGGTTGGGCGTAAGCGATCCAAGTGAAGTTTGAGAAGTTGGCGTGAAGAAAAAAAGTAGAGGTTACGCTTAATCGAGGATAACTGCACTCCAAACAGCGGAGGTCCACGGGTGTAGTAAATCGGTGATGAACACAAGCCTGGGGGTGTGGCCGCAGAAACTTCGGCAAGTTCGGAGAAAGTAAACAAACATACAATTCAACTATAGGAAAGACTTTAGAAATGCGAGAAAAAGAGGTGAGAATTGGAAGCTACCTTAAAGATTTGTCTAGTTCTTATTATGTACGATTGTTATATGCACCCTGCCTGTTATTCTGAATTATACAGCACAGCCTTTCTATTCCCCAAACACCTCAAGTGCCAAGGTTTTGAGCCTCGCACATCTTTGGGTAGAGTCTGCCGTTTCTGAGTAACTCCTCATGCGTTCCAGACTCGACGATCTTGCCACCATCAAACACGCAGATCAGATCCGCGTGTCGGATAGTGGATAGACGATGAGCGACTGCAACCGTGATGCGATCACCCTGCGCAGCGGCCTCATTGAGCGCATCTTGTACAATTCTTTCTGACTGCGTGTCCAATGCGCTGGTGGCCTCATCCAGGAGCAGCAGTTTGGGATTTCGGAGAAGCGCTCGTGAAATTGCAAGACGCTGCCGCTGCCCTCCCGAGAGTTGCGTGCCGTTAGTTCCACACGTAGTCTCGAGGCCATCTGGCAATGACGAAATGAAGTCCCAAGCGTTAGCGGCCCGACAAGCAGCCTCGATTTCGTCCTCAGAAGCCATGACTTTGTAATCCGTCGGCGCTCCGAGCGACACATTTTCGCGGATAGTTGCAGGGTACAAAGTAGGCTCCTGTTGTACAAGTGCAACCTGATTGCGATATAGCCACGGATTCAAAGTCTCTAGGTTCTGAGAGTCAACCTTGATGTGGCCAGAGATTGGGTCGTAAAAACGCTCAAGCATGCTAATCATGGTACTCTTTCCGCAGCCAGATGCACCGACGAAAGCGACGAATTGCCCTTCTTTGATCTGCATAGAAGATTAGAACTGGTCGGAGGTTGGGAATCGGGATGTAAGGGGGTTGACAAACATGGAGGTCGATTCCCCGAAGAACCCGGGCATTGGGTCTCATTGGATAGGAGAATTGCAGGTTTTCCAACTCAAGAGACTTGAAGTTCTTCGGCCCACATTCTCGGTTCTCATCGGTTTCTCGGATGCTGGGTTGAAGCTGTTCCAACCAGAATATGTAGTTCGCCGCGTTTGTTGCTTTTGACATACCTTATCGATCATCAGCTATAGTTCTTTGCTAAAAACATGGAATCAAAACTCACTGCTTGAGAAACCAAACAGGATAGAAGCCTGCTGACCAGCGAAGAAGACACTGAGGAAGGCGATGAAGAAATTGACCATGGTCAGTTCTCCAAAAGAAACAAGCCGACAACCGTACCTGGATATTTCGAACGAGTTAGATCAAAGGTTCTCTTCGAGCGCCTCCAAAAATTGAGGTGACATACCAGAATCCGAGCGCCATAAATGAGTATTCAACAGTCTGTGTGAATGCAAATGGGAGCATTATCATAAGCAAGGGCTTCGTGGATGCAGCGATAGCATGGTCAATCTCTCGAGTGTATCTCTCGAGGACAGACGTCTCAATCGCCAAGGATGATACCGTTCGAATCGCATTCATGGCCTCCGAAGCAATTGAAGCACTTTTTGAGAACCGCTTCGAGATCTTGTTATCCATTGAAGCTTCCAATTGAAGGCGGATATAACCAGAGATCAGCATCGGGGGAAGTCCTGCTAAGACAATCACGAGCCCGAGTTTCCATGCATAGGCCAATGCCAGGATCGAGCACGATAGCACACCAATTCCGGCGATGGTAATTAGTGCAACATTGAAGCCCATAAGCTCAAGCACAGCCTGTGGGTACGAGTCCGCCCGGCTGGTAAGGGCACCGGTGGTGTTTTCGGCGCGGTCGAAGAATCGCAGATCCTGCCTCAGCATGTCATCCACAACTTGCCTCCGGTATTTGTGGTTGAGTGACTTGGATGATGAACGGTCAGCAGCATTCGCAGGTTCAGGTTTTCGAATTCAACTTACGTGTGCCACAATGCTTGCCATCCACCCAACAATAAAATATATGACAAAACATCCAAGGCCTAGCACAAAGAACATGAGAGCAAAGAAGTTTCCTCTCTTCTCCATCGCTGAGCCAGTGAGCTCAAATACTTCGATGAACTTGGACATAAGTATAGACTGTCCAGGGAATGAGGCAGCTTTATCTTGGGTTAGTTGAATCTCGAGTAAAGAGGATGATTCTTACCTCCGCCTAAGCATGCCAGAAGCAAGATTGCAAATGCCCATTTGATTTCCGGGTTACATTTCACCAGTCGCCAAACGACATGGAACAAACCTATCCTCTTCCACTGGTCATAATCATACACATCCGACTGTTTCTCCGGGCCTGATGTTGCAAAGGTCGATGTTCGAGTTAACTTGCCAGTCAGCTCGGTCTTGCCCGCTTCATCTGCCTCTTCGCTCTCGGAGGAGTCATCGGGCTGGTTCTCAGCCACGGACAGGTCTTGGGCTCGCACGAGACGAGAATATGCGCCGTTGGCTGCCAAAAGGGAGTCATGGGTACCTTGTTCGAGAATGCGACCAGTCTCCATGACCACGATGTTATCAGCATCTCGAATAGTTGCAAGCTTGTGAGCGATAGTGATGGTTGTACGCCCCTGAGACACGTTGTTGAGCGCTTTTTGAACAACTTCCTCGGAATGTGGGTCTAGCGCACTAGTTGCTTCGTCGAGTAGGAGAATCCGCGGCTGAGAGACAATGCTTCGGGCGATTGCGACTCGTTGTTTCTGACCACCAGAGAGAAGACCTCCTCGCTCACCGATTATAGTGTCATATCCGTTGGGAAGCAGGGTGATAAAGTCATGAGCAAAGGCTACTTTCGCGGCTTCTTGTATCCGGGCCATTTTTTTGGGCTGGGTCTCATTTTCCCAAGGTGTGTCCACAAGACCGTTTGCAATGTTTTCGGCGATTGTTCCATTGAATAAAACGGGCTCTTGTTGCACAAGTCTTACTTGTTGTCGTAGCCACTTTAAATTCAGCGTGTCGATGGGATGGTCATCAAGCTTCACGGAACCCATGCCTGGATTATACCACCTTTCGAGCAGGCCGACGACTGTGCTCTTTCCAGAACCGCTTGCTCCAACAAGCGCAGTAGTCTTACCAGCTGGGATCTTTAGGGAAAATTCTGACAGCACTTTGATGCTTGGGCGGGTTGGGTAAGCAAAAGAAACATTGTTGAACTCAACGACGCCCTCAATCGGTTCTAGCTTGTGCCCCGACTCGTCAAAAGGATCGATAGCTGAAGTTCGATCCATAAGGCGGAAGAGCTCTGCTGCTGCAGAAGCTGCACGGGTGAATTCGATCATGTGGGGAGCTATCGAGGTCAAACTGGTAGCTGCCACGATCACCGACATGATTACACTGTCTTCTGGTCAGTATACAGAATGAGCTGAACACACGGTCTCAACTCACACAAAGATATCCCCCGCATCCGGCACTTCTCCCCTAGCTAACATCTTAATACCCTGCCAGAAAGACAGCCCAAATCCAGCATAGATGATAGTGTACTCCGAGGCAAACAAAGTGCCCCAGAGAGGGGCTTTCTTGTCTCCCAGTTTCTTTCCCGTTTGCAAGAACTTGTCCAAATCGCCTATCAGTCGTGACCGAATCCCAAAGGCATGGACAGTTCGTGAGCTCGATAAGATACTCTCCACAAAAGAGCCTGTCTGAGCTTGAACATTGAGGATGCTCTGCTCAACCTTCGCCTCAATGGTGGAGACAATACCGATGACCACAAGCATAGCTGGGGCAATGCAGCATGTGATCAGGGTCAGCTTCCATTGGGTCACAAAAGCTAGCACAAAGGCAGATATAAAAGCCGAAAGTCCCTGGATGACCAGTCCCAGCTTCTCTGAAACACCTGATTGTATGAGCTTGCCGTTGGAAGTGGCCTGCATAGCGATGGAGCCACTGGTCCCGCTGTCGAAAAAGGCAATTTCTTGACCGAGGGCGGCTTTGAGGTATAGGCGACGAATGTTCCGCGTCATTCGATAGGCCGCAAGCGTAAAGGAAGTACTGTAGCCATAAGTGAGGAAGAATCGTCCCAGGCCGATGATGAAGAAATAAAGACTTCATGAATTAGCTACTGGCATTGATGACCCTGTGGATAGGATCACTCACCTGAGTCTACCGGCACCATTTCGAAACTCAGCCGGATTGGAGTGGCCCGTGATATAATCCACAATCAATGTGATGAACTTTCCAAACACCAGATTGACTAGAGCCATGCCCACTCCCGAGGCGAGTGCGCAGGCAACGGCAACGGCATGCATGGTGTATTCCTTGGATGTGCCATAGTGAAATATTCTCTGTTTGGCATCAACCCATCAGCATTGTGGCCCCTGATAGAGATGGAAGTCTCAAACTTTCTTACCATGTAACTATTGAGTGCCCCGGCTTCTTTCTCCGTGGATGCGACCGATTCGGTCTTTTCAGGGTCACCCATCGCGAAGAGTTGCGAAAAAGGAAAAAGAAGAGTGCGGGCTGTTTGTGCAAATAGTGTAAACTGTCATTTTCGAATTGTTGAGTCTGGGACGATCGAATTAAATACAATTCAACATTTGATCTAGACAAGGTGCGAGATGCTTGGCACGCGTCGCGGAGTTCCGCCACGCGGGTCATTCGCAGTCCCTTCGGGGCCCGCGGGCTCCGTTGTCTCTCATTTATCCCGTCCAACAATACGCAGCACACTGCAGCCTATACTTTTTCAATATTTTTGTCTATTCTGGTTGATTCCATACTCATTACGGAGTACGGAGTACTTCTCGATATGACCGAACGTTTCGGGAATGATGTGTCCGTGGGCCAAGCGGTATGCCTAACTTGCCAAACCCGTCAACTGATAGCTGACAATTCCCAGTGCGATCGCTGTCGCAAGCGAAAGGTAAATTTGATCTGCAAAGTGTGATTCTCATATAGCTCATTATTTCAGATCCGCTGCGATAGGACATCTCCATGTTCAAACTGTCGATCCGCCGCATCCGAATGTAAAGCGTCCACTCGTCCTAGGGAGAAGCGAGCGCGCGTGCTGCTGTCCTCGCAATTGTAGGCCTCCATCGTTGACTCATAGTCCAGAATAAATCTCTAGCTACCCTGTACTTACACATCTTTTCAGCGAAGAGAAGATCGATCACATTGACAAGCGTCTTGTTCGACTAAACCGCCTTGTCGAGTCACTACTCGCAGACAAACTGACAGCATCGAAAGATACATCGTCTCATCACACACCATGCACTATTGCTCAGCCCAAACCATCCCCTAGCACATCTTTGGGACACTCCAATGTAGATGGCCTCAACCATAAGTCGCCTTCGAGCAACAATACCATGGGCCAGTCCTCCTTCACGGCACATTCGGCTTTTGCTATTGATCTCGCGCAGACAGTAGTGGGCTCCACTCAATTGACTGGGGGCAATCGGGAAGTTGAGACTCTTCTGGGTATGCTGAACCATATTCGAACCGCATTCACCGAGACCCACGATCCCACAAGTCATTTGTTTCCTCTAATCCAAGGCCCAATTTCTTCCGCAGAATGTCAGATGCCACCACTGAGCACCGTTGTTCAGCTACTGCAAAAGTCGCAAGGCAAGTATTCTTCGGGAGCTGTATTTGAAAGAATTGCTGATAATTTTCCCTTACAGATGAAAGATGCTTCATGTTTCTTGGCTTATCATTCTTGCTCAAGGCACGAAGTTTGTCGGATTTATGCTTGAAGGTTTACTTTACCTCAGACTACTCAGATGCAGAGTTCATCATTGTCAATGCCGCTCTTCATTGTGAGTAACCACGCCCCCTACTCCCCGCCACCTCTCATATACTCACATTGATCTGAATCTCAGTTATGGCCTCTGAGACCGACATCCGGAGAACTAGCTACCAAGAGAGCACTGAGCCGGATAGTTTGAGCTCGATGTGTCAAAGAAATCTTGAAATTGCTCTCTCTAAGCTGACACTCTACGTTCAGCCTAGCTACGACATGACTTTGGCCCTCACACTTGGTGTACGTTGAAATTGTGACTGGCAAATTTGTGCTGACTTTAAAGCCTCAGGTAAGTTACGCGGTACATGTCTCCAATGCATCCTTGGCAGGAGTACTGGCAAACTCAGCGTACCAATCCTCATACTCTCTTGGGCTGCATAAACAGCCCCCGGATGGACCAAAGCAAGAGCAGTGCCTCTTTTGGATGATATATTTTTTGGAGAAAACTTTATCGGTTCGACTTGGTCGCTCCTCTATCATCCTGGAACATGATATTGAGACTCCCTCCGCGAAACATTTCCGGACGGAGAACCCTCATTTCTCTGCCTATGCGTATCATACAGTGCAGGTGGCCGGGCTAGCCGGTCGAATACATGAGCAACTATACTCGCCAAAGGCACTCAGCGCTTCAGACGAGACGCGGACCCATCGAGCACTGGAGCTGTCGCAAGAGCTACACGGGTATCATGCACAGGCACGCAACGCAAATGTATGCACGACATCTTTTCCAATCTACATTGACGCAGAATACCCACTAACCATTGCTTTCTGGATCATGTAGCAATTTTGGGCTGAATCAACCAGCAATATTCACGAGAAAGATCAAATTGAATTTACTACTGCCTCTGACGAGGTCATGCGTCTCTCGATGCTCACGCTGATCTATCGAGCCATGCCACAGGGGCCGGGCTCTAGAACCACATTTGGCCCGGAGTGTATCACATCTGCGAGATGTGCTCTTGAGTCTCACCAGGCAGTCGTGCGAGCCTTCGGGATGCAAGACTCGCCTTTGTTGTTGTCGTCATATGTCAATTGGTATGTCAATATGCTTTTGATGGACTTGACCTTTTCTCGTTGCCACTGGGATCCGTGTGATCAAAACTTACTTCCTTTGGATAGGACAATCCTTTTTACACCCTTCACCCCATTTACCATTCTTTTCTGCCATTGCATTGAGACAAGAGACAAAGAAGACCTCACCCAAATGCACAGCTTCCTCAAATCGATTGAATCTGCCTGTCCACATTCAAGCACAATTACCAAGCACCATCACCTGTTCTCGGTATTCTACAATGTCGCCCAGCGCTACTACGAGCTGGGGTCCCCCTCGCCTACAATGGAGGAAGAGCAGATGCAGCTCAGGAGTGATGTGGATGCACAGCTGGCTGCCCTTGGGCTGCAGACACACATGATGGCGGGTTCAGACCAAGATCCTCAGCAGGGGATAGTCGGACAGGATGCTTCCGGCACGGCTATGGATCACCTTCGAGATGAGGGTGACTGGGAGCAGGACCCATGGCTGGCGAGGTGGTTCTCATTTAATCAACAGATGATGGGATTGGTAGATGGCAAAGATCTGCCGTTTTAGAGGCTAGAATAATTTATTGTTAGAACTTGAATATTTTCCTGGTCTCAATCAAACGTTCAGGAGCAAACGGGGTTTTGGGGCGGTGAACGGCGTGCAGTAAACATTTCTCGGCGATGATCTCAAACTTCCCCAGAGATGGACAATGCCGGAACTGGCGCGGTCAATTCCGCGTTCCTGGACCTCGACCTTAAAACTTCCTAAATCAACATTCCCTCCACGCGTCTCACCCGTCGACCGGACGAAGTATCTGAAACGATGCACCGATGACCTCTACGCCTGGCAGCAGCGCGAGCGGCCTGCCGACCAACCATTTGTCCTGCACGACGGCCCACCTTACGCGAACGGAGAACTACACATCGGACATGCCCTGAACAAAATTTTGAAGGACATTATATGTCGTGTACAAGTGGGCAGGGGCAAGAGAGTACGATACGTGCCTGGGTGGGACTGTCATGGACTGCCCATTGAGCTCAAGGCACTGCAAAACCTGCGGGATGCAGACATCGAGAATGGGTCGGTCAGCGCGGCGGTGATTCGTAAAGCGGCGCGACAGTTGGCGCGACAGACCGTCAAGGAGCAGATGAAAGGATTCCGCGGCTTTGCGGTCATGGCTGATTGGGACAACCACTGGAAGACAATGGACAAGCAGTTTGAGATGCGACAGTTGAGCGTCTTCCGAAAAATGGTCGATCGCGGTCTGATCTACCGAAAGTTCAAACCTGTGTACTGGTCGCCATCAACGGGCACGGCTCTGGCGGAGGCGGAATTGGAATACAAGGACGATCACATCTCGACTGCCGCATTGATCGCCTTCCCTCTTGTCGATATCCCAAAACACCTCTCCGAAAATCCTCTTCTTCGCGGAAAGAAATTGAATGCTGTGATTTGGACTACAACACCTTGGACATTACCTGCCAACGCTGCCATTGCGGTTCATGAAGCTCTGGAATATGCTGTGGTGCATTCGGAAAAGCACGGTCACTTGATCATCGCTCAATCCCGATTTGAGTACCTCCAGAACATGCTGAAAGAAGAACTGTCTATCATTGTTCCCTCCATCTTGGGCTCTGAGCTCGCTGAGAAAACTACCTATCGGCCTCTGTTCAAGGGTCCCAACGGTGAGCCCCAGCCCATTATCGCGGCTCATTTTGTCACCGCGGACTCTGGTTCTGGCATGGTTCACTGCGCGCCCGGTCACGGAATGGACGACTACGAGGCATGTCTCTCGCGCGGCATTCCCGTATTTGCCCCGGTCAATGACAAGGGTGAATTCACGGAGAAGGCCATGCCCCTAGACCCCACAAGACTCACCGGAAAGTCTGTCTTGGGAGAAGGTAACACCGCAGTCTTGCAATGGGCTGAGTCGTGTGATCAACTGCTTGCCCAGCACAAATATGAGCACAAGTACCCCTACGACTGGCGGTCAAAGCTTCCAATCATTGTTCGGGCAACTGAGCAGTGGTTCGCCGACGTGGCTGATATTCGTGGTCCCGCCCTTCGAGCACTGGAAGATGTGCGATTCGTCCCCGAGGCCGGAAAGCAGCGACTGGAAAACTTTGTCAAGAACCGCAGTGAATGGTGTATCTCACGACAGCGTGCGTGGGGTGTCCCGATTCCTGCGATCTATCACCGGACTACAGGGGAAGCCGTTCTCACCAAGGACAGTGTCTCACACATCATGGCCACTATTGAAGAGCGGGGAATCGATGCCTGGTGGACCGACAGCGCGGACGATTCCGCGTGGATTCTTCCATCCTTGCGCGAAGAGTCCGGGGCCGGGTATCGACGTGGAACGGATACGATGGATGTTTGGTTTGACAGTGGTACAAGTTGGGCCGAGATTGATGTCCCCATCGAAGGACGCAGTCACCCAGCCGATGTGTATCTTGAGGGTACCGATCAGCACCGTGGCTGGTTCCAATCTGGACTTCTCACGTATATCTCCCATCAGCTCACTTCGGGCCAATCCTCCACACCTCATGCCCCATTCAAGAATTTGATTACCCACGGGTTCACATTGGACGAACATGGCCGGAAGATGAGCAAGTCCATTGGCAACACCATTCAACCGCAGGCTATCATGGACGGAATTTTACTGCCTCCTCTCAAGCCACGCAAGGTCAAGGGCAAGAAGGCACCTGAGAACCCGGAGCCTGTGTACGATGCGCTTGGTCCCGATGCGCTCCGCATGTGGGCGGCGAGCAGTGATTACACGCGCGACGTGGTGATCGGTAAACAGGTACTGCAGACTGTCAACACTAGTCTTCATAAGTTCCGTGTCACCTTCAAGTTGCTGCTGGGCGCCCTCGCCGATTTCCACCCCGATCATATCGTCCCGTATGGGCAGCTGCAGCTGGTAGATCGAATTGCGTTGAAGCATCTCTCCGACATGGTCCTAGCCTCGCAAAAGGCAGGTGACAACTTCGAGTTCTACAAGGCCGTCAACACGATGAACCGGTGGGCCAACCTTGAGTTCTCCGCTTTCTACATGGAAGCCATCAAGGACCGCCTGTACACATTAGGTGAAAACAGCACTAGCCGCCGGGCCGCGCAGACTACCTTGTTCTACATTTTCGGACACCTCCAAGAGGTCCTGGGTCCCATCACCCCGGTACTTGTAGAGGAGACTTGGGAACATACCCCAGAAACCATCCGCTCTCTGACCGAGCACCCCTTGCAGCGCCTCGTCTCCGCCCCCGCGCCGGAATGGCAGGACGCTTCTCTCGACAGCAATTACCAGGAATTGACCATTGTTCACTCCGCTATCAAAAACCTGCAGGAGCAAGCGCGCAGCAAGAAACAACTCGGCTCATCTCTGCAATCGTTTGTTCACCTGGTTCTCCCCACGGATAACTTCCAACAGTATCTGTCGGAACTCCCTGACCTTTTTGTTGTCTCCTCCATCACTCTCGCCTCCCCGAATGACCCTCTTCCTGCAGCTATTGCTGAAGCTGAGTGGCAATACTCGGAGACCTTCGAGCTCGGTGGCCAGGCCCAGGTGCACGTGTATGCACCCCAGGCTTCCAAGTGCCCCCGATGCTGGCGGTACGCTCTCCCGGTGGCGACGGAGGAGGCTATCTGCGAGCGCTGTGATACAGTGGTGCATGAACATGAACATGAACATGCACTACAGTAAATCCGATCTCTCCACTATATGTACAATATGACCTTCTCGATGTGTATTAGATACTTCGATACTTGATGTAACACATAATGTCAGTGTAACTCTTAGCCAAAAAGCAAAAGGCAAAAAGCAAGAATTAAATTCCAGAAACCAAAAGACCAATAAGAATCAAATTGAAGAAAAGTAGTGGCAATGGCAGTGAAAGTGATGCCTCAGTAGGTAAAACAGGTATCGGCTATGACGACAATCAATGACGCCCCTCATATAACACCCAGCTTCTCCCTCTCAACCCTTTCTACCTCTTACTCTACCTACTATCCTCCATTATCTCGCAAAATAAGTCTTCATAATGATTGATCCTGAGTTTTTCCCTTCACTGACAGCTCCTGCGACAACCTCCTCGGTGGCACCTATCCCCACGGTGCTGCCGGGCTCCGAGGTCTTCCAGGAGCTCCATGACGTCGGCAAACGGACCCTGTGGTATGTGGCTATAGCTGTTTGAGAGCTCGGAGGTGTGTAAGATTCTAATAAATTTATAGGGTTGTCGTTGTTCTTATGGGCATCTCCTCTCTTGTGTTCTATTCTTTAGCTGCTCGAGCTCCACTGGTACATACCCCGGATTTCCCCCAAATGATCGACGGATCGCCACTGACAGCTTCCAGCCCAAGCGCATCTTCCACGTCCTCACTTCCCTTATCACAACTATTTCTTTCATTACATACCTGGCTCTTGCGACCGGTCAAGGAATTACCACCAAGCACGTTCGCATCTATGAACACCACAAGCATGTCCCCAACACCCACACAGACTTCACCCGCCAAGTGCTGTGGCTGCGATACCTCAACTGGGCATTGGCAACCCCCTTGTTGTTCATTAATTTGGCCCTGATCTCCGGTCTTCCCGGTGCGAACCTGCTCATTGCCATCGTTGCCAACTTCATCATGCTGGCTGCTGGCTTACTCGGCTCTTTCGCCGGTCATGGCCGCGAGCGCTGGGTCTGGCTGACCATCTCTTGTATTTCCTACCTGGTCATCGTTCACCATGCCGGATTCCATGCCCACCGGGCCGCGAACAATAAGGATGCACAGACCCGGAAGTTCTTCGGTGCCGTTGCAAGCTCCGCTATTATTGCATTGGCACTTTTCCCCATGTAAGTCTTCACAACTCCGATGGATGATCGAGGCTAATTTGTGTAGTTCCGTCGCCGCCGGTGCCCTTGCTCTCAAGCTGAGTGTTGATACCGAGACCGTCATCTTTGCTGTTCAGGATATCTTCACGCAGGGTATCCTTGGCTACTTCCTTCTCCTGGCTCATGATAGCTCGGCTGGAATGTAAGTACAAACAGACACCATACTGAGGCAACACTCTAACCTCATTAGTTCTCTCTACCTCGATGGATTCTGGTCGCATGGAGTCGGCAATGAAGGAACCATTCGTATTGCTGACGAAGAGGGTGCCTAAATTGAGTAAACGTTTGTGGGTTTGTACCTTGACGGCGTACACCTTCGCTCCTAAATTGGGCTCTCACTTTCTTCTGGCCTACGGGTCTTCTTGGTTTGTTCTTCCTCATGATTGATCCTTGGAATATTTTTTTGAATACGCACTGGCGTATCTCATCTTTTCTTCCTTACTTCATTACATATCTTGTGATGCAGGGTGTAGCTTATGGGATTTTCTCTTTTCTTTTTTCTCGCTTTCGGTATGTGTTGGTTTTATTTAGTATTTATGAAACTAATTCACCACTTCTGCAATGACATCTTAATTGATTTCTTGTCATTTGTAGTTTACTAACCCATCGTTCGTCTCTTTCACATGTTTAACCTCATGGTGCCTGGGTATACCTGGAGCATTAAGTGAGCAAGTGAGCCACCTGGGCATCGTTTCAAGTTGACTTTACCAAGCTGAGCCATGGTCTTCTCTACGCTCATTTCCTACGATATACGGGGGAAAAGATTTCAATCTCAGATCACTTCCTACATAACTCTTACATGAGAAGTTCCTCACTTTTCAGCGGTGGCCTAGGCCCCGGCCCCGCATCGCCTCCCGTGTTTCCAGACTCGACGCAGAATGTGATATCATAATAGGAACGCGCGGACGAGTACGAGGGCAAGTAATAGAAGGTCCGGCAGTGTCAATGGGGGATCCATCTGGAGACCCCGAGGGAGAGGCCCGGGCTGTCCGAGATGAATCTCCCAAAGCAACACCGGTACGAGTGCGAGGGCCAGCAGGATAAGAACGCGCGGCGGGCGTGGGGGATCCATCTGCTGCTGTAGCTTCGGGTGTCTTTGGGGTCGACGTAAGAGATGGGGTGTTGGCGGCAGAGTTAATACGGACACCAGACGCGTTGCGAGTGAAGGGACTCTTTAAGGCCGATGGAGACCTGACGCCGGAGGCTTTGGTTGGCTTGCGAGTAACTGGGGTTGTAAGGACAGGGGAAGATCCACTCTCTGGGATGGTTTGGCTGCCGGAGCCTTCAAACGTCTTCTTGGTCCGTGAAGATGCAGATGATCTGACGGACTTGGGAGCGAACGGGCTTCCAAGGACAGAAGTTCTACTCACAAAGACTGGTGAGGCGTGATAATCTTCGGGCGTCTTGGGGGCGGGTGAGGAACTCGATGCTTTTTCGAGATCGCGGACACGATCGCGGACACGACCACCAATGTTGCGATCTTTAGGAGAAGAAATTGGTGGAGTCGACTGAGCTATTGCATCCGTGGGAGTCTTGGGTTTGGCAGGAGATGAGACTGGTGTGGTTATGATCACCTGTCGAGCGGGGCCAGGAAGGGGAGAATAAGCAATGGAAGTGGCTAAGCCGATAAATGCCTCCTCTTCATCCTCTAGCAGGGACTCTTCATTCTCTAATGGGGGTAAAACGGCATCCAAGACCAAGCCCGGTTCCCGGTGCAGCTGCGCAAAAGCAAGACGGGGAGCACCAGGGGGTCCGGGTAGGGAAAGGGTGACTGATCACCGAATAAATCAGGGGTGGGAGAAGAACAATTGGAAGAGATGGACAAAGGAGAAGAAGGGTGGGGGTAGTTACCACCAGACGCAAGAGTAAGTTCGGGACGATAAGGCTGTGGTCTGAGGGGGGACCTGGGAGGAATTGGGTACTCAATGTCTATCGCAAACCTGACTCGCTTAGTCGGGGTGACTGGCACAGTACGTGCGGCTTGCTCTGCAGCTCGCTCCGCGGCTTGAGCTTGCTGTGCGGCGTTCTCTTGTTCGGCTTGCGCTGGTGCCTCCCTGGCCTTCCAAGCAGCTCGGGTGATGGATGGGAAGTCAGGTGGTCCGTAAAGTAAGTCCAGGGCCAGGGTGAGGGGCCCCCGATGAGCGACGACACGCATTATACTCCATCCAATCGACGGCTCGAGGGTTGGTGGCTCGAGGGTCAGGGCCTCGTGGTTAACGGGGTTAGCAGCCCTCGCTTGGTCTAATGTTGTCAGTTCAAAGCCAGAACGTATTATGAATCATGATATCTAGATAGATATCTTGCTTCAACCAATTGATCAACATACCATTCAAGATCAACTGAGCCTCTCTGGCTCGCATTTCGCGTATCTCCTCGTAGGGACGCATACGTAGGCAAGACTCGAACTCTTCGGTCCGCCAATCAGGGTCCTCTTGAACGTCTTCCATCTTGATGTTTGATTTGAAAAATGAGTAGGATTAGGGCAATTCGGGGCTCAGAGTAAAGTTTCTCCGATGCGAATTAGGGGTACGGAGAGGAGAGGAGAGGAAGAGGAAAAGAAAACGAGGGAAGGTACTTTGCCTTGCGGAGCCCAGGCGGGCGAGTCACACGTTAACGTACGCATGGGGAGGTACCATTTCTACTTTTTGGTATCCGGGGCTGTTTTTACTGTTCTACTGCACATAGATTAATCCCGACATTAATTCTCCGTTCTTTCTCGGGTTAATATAGTATATTTAGATGGGAAGTATAAATTCTAAGGATTTCTCTGTATACTTTGATGTTTATACTTCCGCTTCGGGCAAAGTTCCAGAATCCATCTAGGGACCCACATTTGTGAGAGAATCCAACCTTGTACAGAGTAAGGTGATTGAACGTAAGGCAAAAACACCTGTGCGCATCTAGAACTGCCCAGCATATTGTATTCCCTAAATCTTACGGTCCTTTGATCTTAGACCAGCTGCCATCCTCTCTCAAAATCCCCATATGGGTTTCCCAAAAGCGCAAACTTCCATGGTTTGATCTGAACTGTACATAGGCACCACCTACGGAGATGATTGTTACAATGTCCACATGTGGGTCATTCAGATGGATTGGCTTTCATATTTGCCTTTCCAAGGTTCTAGACAACTGCTCTAGCTTTCCCCCGCTATCTCAAATTTCGACAGGACCCCGTGGTGACTATCCCTGGATGTTATATTGCAAGAAAATCGACAGATGGATCTGTTGATCATTTCTGATAGAATCACAAACTTGGAGCAGGAGAGTCCCGGAGATGTAATTCCAGCGCTGGAGGCCCGAGGGAATACTTGGCTTACTATTCCCATACATAAATCGACACAGTTACTGTCTACGGAATGGAAACCGATGTGGCTGGTAAATGGCCCGTGGACTTCGCTATTTTGTGTCCCCTCCCGTAAATACAGAATGGCATGGAGATTCCTCACACGCACGAACCACCTCTACTTGCCAGGCACAGAGGGATAAGATTTTTTTTAAAAGAAACCCATTGGAATTGTCGAAAAGATATCATGCATCATCCATAACCTAGTACTTCTTGCCCTGGCGGAGGACATCACCGAACTCCTCGAGGGGAGAGCGGATGAGCTTGTTCTCGGCCCACAGGTTGGGGGTGAGGAAACCGTAGGTGTTGACAACGGCAACGAAGGTGGCCTTGAGGGTGTTCTCAAGGGTCTTGGTGGAACCGGAAGAGGAGGTGTAGGCGTCCTGGACACCGGCGAGCTGAAGCAGACGCTTGACGGCGGGGGAGGCAACAAGGCCGGTACCGCGGGGGGCGGGAATGAGCTAGAAAAATCGAACCGTTAGAACCCCGCCATTTTCGATCAAAAGACTCTCCAATCTGGTTGTTTCGGGATACTTACACGGACGGAGACGGAACCACACTTTCCACTCTGCTTGACGGGCAGAGAGTGGGGCTCACCAAGGTTGGTACCCCAGTAACCACGACGGACGGGGAGGACAGCGAGCTTGGCGATGGTGATGGCGGCACGGATAGCAGTGGCGACTTCCTTGGAGGTCTTGATACCGAGACCGATGTGACCCTCGGAGTCACCGATGAGGACGATGGCCTTGAAACGGGTACGCTGACCGGCACGGGTCTGCTTCTGGACGGGCTTGATCTGTAGGTTGCGAGCGAGGTTAGTGGCTGTCGTATTGATAATGGTTCAATGCACTGTTTCGCTGGAGCTTTCAAGTATGAACTGCGCAATGGCAAATCGGTGCACATGTCGCATTCAAGTCGTATCCCGCTCAATCCTCCGCCGCGAACCGGTGTAATCCAAAGTCGATCCGTACCTTCATAACCTCATCCTTGAGCTTGGGGAGGAAGAAGTCCACAATCTGGTACTCCTTGATGGGGAGAGAGTGGAGGTAGATCTGCTCCATGGAGGTGATCTTGCCGGCCTTGACGAGACGACCGAGCTTGGTCACGGGCTGCCATTCCTTCTCTTCGGTCTTGGGGCCACGACGGCCACGACGGGCACCACGGCCACGACCGCCACGGTCACCACCACGGTCGCCGCGCGATCCGAAACCACCACGTCCACGGGGAGCAGCGTCAGCCATTTTGATGTTGTATTGACGGGGGGGAGGTTGTCGAATTGAGGTTGGTCGTCGAGGATCACGGCGTACTGCACTGTTGGCCCGAAATTTGCGCCGGTGGGTTTAGCGAGCTAGGGCAAGTTGGAGTAACCCTACCGTGGGCGGTCAGCGCCGCGGGAAAGTGGCACGTGCACTTAAGGTTTAGTCACCTGACAGGGTGCCGCCGGATCGTCGGGTCTTTTTGATACTGTCGAACTTCGATTGAAGATCCAAGTGATCTTATCCTAAAGACTGAACGCAGGAGCAATTACATACAGAGTAGAATCAATGATCATCTTTTCTTCCTCATTGACTCTCAAGTCCTGCCATGTGTGAAAATGCCCAAATCGGTGATTCATACGTCACTCCGAAATCTTGTTCGGCGGATGCACTTCCTATTTTGGTAATGCAACAGGGCAATCTCTCTCCAGGCAGTTTGACTCCGCAATTTAAAGACCCATCTGCCTTCTGCAAGCGCCTCATTTTGCGATTGTTTGATTGACGTATTTGCATTCATCCTGTATAATATTTGTACTTTCTTCCTATCTACCTTATCACGATCATGTTGCGCTGGTAAGAACCCCTTGCTACGAATTTCGAATCGAGGCTCAAAAGATGATTCAGGTACCAGTCCAAGTTGGCCAAGAGGCCTATTCTTACAGCAAGCATCACCAGTGCAGTATGCCTCCGTTGGCCCCTCTTCTCTGGAATCATCGATCGCTCATCATCTGTCCCAGGTTCTTTTCGGTAGCGGTGATGCCCTAGCACAACAAGCTGTTGACCGCCGAGGTCTCGCAAAGCACGACTTTGCCCGTACCGGTCGCATGGCCTTGTACGGTGGAGGTATGTTCTGCCAATTCCCAGCACTGAGGCTCATCCATTGCTAACATGTATATCCGTTCCAGCTGTCTTCGGTCCTGTTGCGACCAAGTGGTTTGGAATCCTCCAGCGTCATGTCGTCCTCGGAAGTGTCGCAACCACCACCGCCGCCCGAGTCGCCGCCGATCAAATTGTGTTCGCTCCGATCCAGCTCACATGCTTCCTGTCCTCCATGGCCATCATGGAAGGCGTTGATCCCGTGGAGAAGTGGAAGCACGCATTTGGCCCTGCGTACAAGGCCAACTTGGCCGTCTGGCCATTCGTGCAGGGTATCAACTTTGCATTCGTTCCTCTGGAGCTGCGTGTTCTTGTCGTCAACGTGATTAGTTTGGGTAGGTTTTCCTGTCGGCGTGTGATTGTCAGTGTTACTAACCAACTCACAGGCTGGAACTGCTTCTTGAGCATGATGAACAGCAGCGAGGAATGAAAAAAATATAAATGGGAAGTAAAATTGAAGGCTTGGATTTGCGATACCCTTCTTGTTTGATCGAGCATCTGCTTTTGCTTTTCACATTGGCGTGTCATAGAGGATTCCTGGTGATTTTCGGGTTTGGTCATTAGGCATCATAAGATTTTTCGATTTTTCTTTTCGTTAGCGCTTGTCACCGTAGGAATTGATTGATACCAAGTGAAAATAACAGATTGAATCTACAATCAATTTCACATGAAAAGCAATTAAAAACAAGATCGGACAGTAGAGGTAAGTAAAAGCGCAAGTAGAAGTAGAAGTGAAGTCGGAGATAGCCTTGACGGAAGAACCCAAACAGGCAAGGCAGTTTTTTGTGGCTCGAACTTCAAAACTTCCACGCTTTACCATCCTCACCTCCACTGTCACTTCACACTGCCTGGAGCAGAATATAGCTGCAGACTTGATCTCTGGGCTTTTGGTCGCTCTTTCCTTTGTGTGAATTTCCGCTTTTCCTGAAAACCCAAACCCCTCCGTCTTCCGAATCCTCCCCTCCACACCAACTTTCACTATGGCTGCTGTCGCAGAGAATGGTGCCCCGGCCGTGGCCGATGAGAACGCTCCCTCCACCGATATCAAGTCTGGTGATGCTGTCACCGTCTTCCACAACCCCGAGGAATTCAACGTGAAGCACCCTCTCATGCACGAGTGGACCCTCTGGTTCACCAAGCCTCCCAGCGGCAAGGTATGCGCCATCAACTGCATCTAGAGGGGTCGGATCGCTGACTCAACTACAGGGCGACAACTGGAATGACTTGCTCAAGGAAGTCGTCACTTTCAGCTCCGTCGAGGAATTCTGGGGAATCTACGTACGTCACGTCCGAAGTGGGCTGTGGAACTTATCGCTGACAGCAATCGCTTACAGAACAACATCACACCTACCTCCGAACTCGGACTCAAGGCCGATTACCACCTCTTCAAGAAGGGCGTACGGCCCGAGTGGGAGGACCCTCAGAACAAGCACGGTGGCAAGTGGTCATACCAATTCAAGGACAAGCGCTCCGTCCCCATCGATGAACTGTGGCTCCACGCGCAACTGGCCGCAATTGGTGAGACTCTTGAAGGCGACGCCGACAACGAAGTCATGGGAGTGGTTGTGAACGTGCGCAAGGGCTTCTACCGAGTTGGTCTGTGGACACGCACCGTGGGCAAGAGCATTCAAGGCGACAAGACCACCCGCACACCCGCACAGGGCAAGGAGATCCTCGAGGCGATCGGACAGCGATTCAAGGATGTTCTGCGTTTGAACTTGGCCGACGTGGTGGAATTCTCCGGCCACACCGACAGCGCACACAGCGGCAGCACCCGTGCCAAGGCCAAGTACACCGTTTGAGAGGTGAACATGGGTGACTTGCAGATCGAAAACGACAAAAACACGGGATGCAGATTACACGATTATGGACCGAAACGAATCGAGGGGGAGTGGGCTCGACTCGAGCTGCGGTGGAAACGGGGTGGATCACATACACTGTGCCTCTTTGATGCCCCCATCCGCATAGTTCTGCAGGGACGACCCGATTGCCTGCGACTTGTATCTTACTCTAAACACATTTTAGCTTATGCCGTGGAGTTCAAGGTCCTACACCGGGCTATATCATGGTATCTTCCCTTACTTTATTTTATTTTTATTCCAATATGAGAGAGAGAGAGAGAGCTATCTAGCCGTGGGTAGTTACCTGGCATCCCACTATCTAAAGATGTCACAATGCAGAGCATGCCGACAGTTGTAAGTCAGCATACAGTCCTACTCACTGTTTTGCTACTCCGGATTTCTTTTGGAACTACCTCTGTTTGTTATGGGGGGTGTACACAGGTCTACCCTTCCCAGTTCCTGCCTTCCATGGTACTTTCTTGGTTCCCTGTCGCTTTATTCTTCGTTCTACGCCAGAAGGCTTCTAACGCTGCTTCAAGGCAGTTCGTCTTGTTCTCAGTTTTCACTTTCCCTTGGTCTGTCATCATTTGCCATAGGTGAAATGGAGATCATCTCTGGCTTTTTCTGTCTTCGAGCGGGGGTGGGCTCGATGGAGGCTCTGAATATTCTGTCGGTGATGCTGGAAGCCACGGGATTCTGGAAGAAGCCTCATGTCCGACAAATTGGCGACTGCTAGAAGTCCTGTGGGCTTCGTCTTCAGGCGATGCCTTGTTTATACCGGCAAGCTGATTGTGTACAGGTCCCAATCCCCGATGGCGCTGTTGTCTCTGCTATCGCATACCACCTTTCCAATCTAACATTCTACGTCGGAGATGCTAATTTGCGAGCCACCAACAACCCCGTCAGTCCAACATTGTATCTCATTCGTGAACGTGGCTTCTCTTCATTGCTTTATCTTTGACCAGACATGCTGAAGACTAAGCCGTTGGGATCTTCGCTATCTCAAGGCCGAGGAAAGCGACAGGTCGCACCGTGACTTTATCAGTACAGTCTGCCAGAGCACGTCTGATGAAACTGTGGAAATATTTTGGGACCAAGATGTGTGGAATTAATTAGATAAGGCGGTTGCTCACGTCTAGTTCGGCTCACGCTATGGAGGTTCTTTGAGTCGGTTCGACTCCGTCTCGAACCCTACGAGAGCCACAGTTTCTTGAAGAGGTTCATGGTTCAAGTCTGTTGTCCTCGGTTCTTCTCTACCAGTTGTCTTGCTAGACTTGGGTATGAAGCTTATACATATCTGGGAGTAGTCCAAGATCCAAGTATGAGGATCACTCTGCACTTCCCAGTTTAGCTGGGACTGAATATTTTCAACCTAAGCAGCCTCTTCGCAATAACTGTTGGATCTCATGTTGAGGAGGGGCTATAAGCAAAAGCAATCTTGGGAACTCCAGAAATATCCTTACGGTATTGTGTTCAAGGCGATCCAGGCAGTTCGAGGTGGAGAGAGATATCGCGAAGGGGGCGCTGCAAGAGATAGGAAGACCCCTCGGAACTTGATATGTGGTCATTCGAGACCTATGATTGCACACTCCCAGAAAAAGGTATCAGAAGATGCTATGATAAGGAGCCGGGATCATATTTACTGTTCTGCAACGTTCTTTTCGCCTGTCACTCACAAACGGAGTGTCCTCGTCACAGTAAGAGAAGTGACAAAGTCGCTAGCTTTCTTGTGATTTTCCAACAGCTCCGTCGAGAATTCTTATTCAACGATATAATACAAATCTTCAATGTTGATCCAGAAGGCTTTAGCACCTTAAAGAAAGAAACCCAGTCATCATACTCGTACCCACGATAGAGATCTGTGGTTCCGGATCAATAAGCAGTCAGTAAAGCCCTCGGAGGAGAGGAGAATAGAAGCCTCCAAGGATAATACTCGCAAAAGTAACCTTCCCATCCTGGGTATATCAAGCAATATTTGAACTTCTCAAGCAGGCTTGAAGAGGTTGGGTGACCGTGGAGTCCACCTCCCAACGGGTACTTGTCAGTTCCTTGGTACTCGAAAAGAGAAGAATTTTCATGCTTTTCATGCTTTTCACACTTTTTCAATGGCTTGTTTTCTTGGAGGTGTGCGCTCGTCAGGAATACCTCTTCCATAATGATATTCCGGCCTCCCTGCTCCGGAAAGTGTTGGAATAAGTCAGACCATGCAATAATGGATCTCGCATGAATCGCACTTCAAGTAATGTCAAGTTTTGTAACCAGTCATCCTTAGTCAGTATGGCCGAGTGGTTTAAGGTAAGATTCACCCCTCATCGCTTCATAGCAATTCCATCCTAACAATCTCATAGGCGCTAGACTTGAATGAATTCTCTGAAATTCGAGTTATCTAGTTCATTCGTGATCCTAGGTTCGAACCCTAGTGCTGACGTTTCTTTTTTTTTGTTTTTTTGTTTTTTTGTTTCTCGGTAGGTTCCGGCAGATAACATTCATTGAGAAAACTAACAATGGTGAACGGCAAGACGGTCTGCATTGTGGTGCCTAGGTATAGAGCTTAAGAGGTAAAGAACCTTTGAGAGAAACACCCGTGGAGTCGCTCTTCATTGGAGCTGCGTACTCAGGATACGGCGCGCCGAGCCCACAGATCGACAGAGTCCCATTTGGGGTCCCGTACTATCTCGATCAAACTGGGAACATCCGACGAACGTTTCGTGGCTTAGTCGAGCCTGAGCAAGCGTTGTTTCGGTGACGATCGGGCTGGGCTCGTAAAACAGCGCCGGGGTAGACCGTAGGAATGTCTACAGATAGGACCATAGGTAGCTTCCAATGTTGGAGATGTAAACTTGGCGGTCAATATGGAGACACTTCTTTCCAGTGAGAGCACCTGGAACTCGTTCCAGTGTTGATTTGATCGCCTCATGTGCAGACTCCATCTTCGCAGGGAGTCGTTCGTTGTGTCTAGGTACCCTCTTCATGCGCCAAAGAGTGTGCCGGGTCAACTTGACCGTATTAGGTAGGTATTTCTCGGGATTAGGTACCAAACGGTCTTGCGTTAGGTAGGTATATTTATTTGACAGTCTCTGTCTTTGATCTTTAAAATGACTATCCCAAGACCGACTTTGTTCACCACATCTATTCGATATATATCGGGCGCGTGAACCTTGATTGGGGAAACACAATATTCGAAACCTCCGAGCAACGTCCACGGGTGGAGTTGGAACACGAATTCCGCTATCTATGGACATAGAACCCGTGAGAAATTCGATAAAGGCAGCCTCAACGTGTAAATATCCCGAAGGTGCTTGATGTTTGCTCGTTTGCGACACATCTCCAAGGTCACTCCGCATTATCCGATTAGCGGCCTCCACTCAACTTCTCCCCGGGCCATCCTCAAAGTTCTTGGGGACCCCACACCACCACAGATCTCTGAGCATTCTCCTTGAATTGTAAAAATCGAGAATGGCGATGGGATACATGCACCTTGGACTGGTGAATGGCCAGAATCGCCTGATGTGAACAACCTCAGAGACACGCCGAATCTCATCCCTCATTTTCAAGGTTGTAATGGCTGACCGCCCGAAAAGAGCCAGGGCAGCCGCCTGCGTCAATTGCCGGTAAGCCAGGTGCTTCCAGATATTCTGGCCCGTAGAATGCTAATAAGGCTAGCAAGGGTCCGCAAAAGACGATGTGTCCCAGCAGAGGAAGGGCGTGGCTGCAGATTGTGCAAGTCACTTTCAACCCAATGTCCCAATGAGCCCATTGAAGTTGCTGGATCGTCCAACAGTCCGCCGAAAACCGACTTTCAAACAAACAGGGAAATATACCACGACTTGATCCCCTTGTATTTTCGTTACATTCACAACGTTGCCCACACCATGATCCACGAGGCAAGCTTCAGGCATCGCCTTCAGATTGGTAGGGCATCCATGCTGCAGGTCCATGCGATGTGTGCTCTTGCCGCCAGATTTTCCGATAGTTATCATCTCCAGAAATTTGCCCGTGGACAGCGGGGGAGGTTCTACATCTCCGAAGCCGAGCACCTCGCCCAGCAATCTCTTATCGCTCCAAGCCTGGAATCAGTCCAAGGCCTGATCTTAATTGGCTACTTCTATGGAGGGGAGGGCGACACGAAAGCAAAGCACATCTATAGCGGACTTGCCCGATTACACGCAGAAGCGTTATCCTTTCCGGATATCCCCAAAGATGCCAGTCCCATGCGACAAGAGGAGTACCGTCGAACATGGCTGTCTGTCTTTATAGCCAGCCATTGGACTACAACTGATATGTCCATTGAACCCGTGTCATTCACACATACTCCCGACGTCGTTCTACCGGAGGTAGATGATGTAACTTTTCACTGCCTCAACGCGGAGAATATACAAGAAAATACCTCACCACCATGCAATATGTGGGCTCACATGGCAAAGACACTTGATATATTCAACAAGACCAGTGTCTTGCTCCGGCGGTTGAGCCAATGTCTGATCGACTTCAGCGATTACTGCTTACAGGCGTCCAAGCTGCAGGCTTCCCTCGATCAATGGGAGCAGGACCTACCACCGGGTCTTGCTTACAACGAAGAAAACATCAAGTCCCTAGTGAAACAAGGACTAGGTCGAACATTCCTCGCGATGCACATTGGACCACATCATTTCCGTCAAATGCTATTTTTTCCTTTCCTCGACGACCGCGAGAATGACGGCACTCCCCAACTAGCACGAAGAACCGCCCAGTGCAAAGAAAGTGCTAACAGAGTGTCCGATATCATCAAAGACAGCACACACATCGAAGGATGTGACTTGAATTACTTCATCTACGGGCATATTGCCGTGATAAGCTCATGTGTTCACCTCCATGCTCTACTCTTCAGCGGTGATTATGATGAACTTTATATGGCGCGGAAACGATTGGTCTCGAATTTTGAATACTTGATGGACATCAAGTCTTATTGGCCCGTAGTTGAATATTCAGTAAGTCTGAGATCTATATAGAGCGGTTGTAAAGCCACTGACTACAGACAGGTTTCACGACTTCGAAATTTCCAAAAGTCTTGCCAAGATTCCATGGCGGAGTCTTTCGTGTTGGACAACTGGATGGTGCGATTCTTGACGGAGCATTCCTCCAATCTCTCTGAGCGCCAGATGCCCAAGTTGCAGCTATCTGGAAGTTCAAAGATTGGTCTCACTGAGTTATCCGGACCCGAAGCAAGTGATACTCAGACAGGCACTGGAATTCATGGCCTGTCAGATCTGCTGCAGGATCAGCAAGTGACCAGCACAGCTCTGGTGAACCATGCTATTGACTGGCTGCTTGAATAATGCATGGCCCGAACAGGATTATGGTTCTTTGTGTATCATAATGAACGTGTTACCGACGCTTAATCCTGTCTATGCAGATGTTTCTCGAAGAAGCTTCTGTAGTATGCTGTACCTGAGGCTGCCAAGCTTCCACAAGAAGCCAATGAGCGGTGGGCTTTTTTTCGAACAGCTAAGCAGGATGTTTTCTCCGACAAATCGCCGGTCACCGGGAGTCAGCTTTCCCACACCTCGAAATCGTTCTATGATTTGTTTTGAAGTTTCGGTCGAACTGCCTAATGTGGAGAGTGAGTCACGATCGTAGCTTGAACGGCGACTCCATTAAGAGAGCTCAACACATTGAAGACACTCGATAGAACTCCATCATGCCTAATGCTGTGTCCATACCAAGCAATATACGAAGATCCACCTCCCATCCCTGAGTGGCTGTTGATGTCGCAATATCAGAGCTCACCTCTCCATTATCTCGGATAGCGGCCGCTGCCTTGCGATGTCGGAACGGTCATACTCTCATGTTGGGTTGAACACGCCGGAATAAAGTAGAGTAGCCTTACTCAGTATGGATTTCACCATAACTCGCCCAATGACAGCAGATTGTCCTCGGGAAAAGAATATCAAGAGTTGTAGACAGTGTTGAGACCTACTGTATGAGTCCAATAAGACCAATAGGAGCCTGTCTGATGTGGATTGTAGACACTTAATCACGATCGTAAGCAGTTATGGATCTGATAAATCCTATCCGCGACACTCCGTCATGGGGCTCGACGCGTGTTCCAATATTTTAGAATCCCTATAAGAAAACTTAAGCGATTCCCAGCACACGCGAGGAGTATCAGTTATCTCTTGGACTTAGCTTGGCAGCCAACTGCCCAGGGCTTGGGAGCTTGCGCCATAAGGGGCACCGATTGGGGCCAAGACGGATACCAAGATGATTGCTGACGATAAGCAGTTCCTGTTGGTGGACCTGGAGGTTGACTATACCTATCCAGTGAGCGAAATCGGAGCTCCAAGGGCGTGGTGACTCTTGGAGTTTCTTGGAGGTCTTTCTTGGTGGTTACTTATGCGCGGTGTCTCCCCGTGATCTTCACTTCCTTTTCCCCTCCACTTCTTTCGTTCACTACACATAATGTTGTTGTTATTTTTTTATAATAACCATTGAAGATGGTACATCTGATGATTCAACCTCTGACCACGAAGTTACTGACTACTGACCATGACCAACACTAACACCTTATCGGCTTGGCAAGACACAGATCCACTCCATCGTCTGCCCTCCAAGTGCACGGAAACACTGTTACGAGAGATTAATTACCCCGGAAAGGATGGAACCTGAACCGAGGCATGCCCAGATATGCTGGAATCACCAATTCATCCGAACGAAGGACATTGGCTGGCTATTGCCGGCTTGTTACAACAGTCCCCCGCATCGCAAAACCCAGAGACTCCGGGGTAACAGCAGCTCGAAGCGTGAGACAAGTCCGAAACTCAAATCGCAAACAAGACCTTGAAGGAGTCCAAGTGCATGCACTTTTTGGAACACAAAGGGCAATCAGCGCGGGGAAGAGCCCCAACGTTACATGCGGACATGCGGACATGCGGACCCATTATTGAGATGGTCCGGGGTCAATCATATCAAGATACACACATTAACAATCAGTTTACTCATCTGACAGTGTTCTAACAGTGTCCAAATCCCCGAAAACGGTGGTGTCCCGTGTGGTGCGTGGCCCGGAATGCTATCCCGTCAATTTTGCCGAAGGCGTCGCGGTTCGATTTTTTTCCCCCTCGCACCCCATCACGAATTTCGGCCAAATCCTCACATCCCGAACATCTCCCGATCCTTGTCAAGCGTGGGATATGGCGCGGAGTATAGGAAGGACTCCGGTGGATATGGAGACAAAACATTGAAAAAAAAAAAAAAAAAAGAATCCGACAGGCATTGTTTCGCCACGAGGGCAAATGCGCGAGGGACTGCCGGAAACATACGACTCGAATGGGAAATTTTCAAGCTCACCGGCAATCTCCGACTCGCCTTGCAGATATGATTCGTTGGTGATAACAGTGGAGTGTCGGACTGGCCCTTCCAGAATCCCCAGATGCCAAACCCGACAGCGTTAGGGCCATGGGTCTCGCCACGCTGATTGATCAATAACCCTGCGATTGTCCACTCCGGGCGTGCTTCGGCCCTATTGCTTGTCACTTCTTGACTTCGTTCGCTTCCGTCTGTGCCGTTCTGGGGTTACATCCGTGGGTCAGGACCTCCCTGCAGCCATTCGCCGTTGGTCGATAACCGCTGCCGATCGCATCCACGGTAGAGCTGCGAACAATGGCCAATTTGGACCTTCTGATATCGCATTAGTGCAAGAAGCCGGTGATTAGCTCGGTTTTTTTTTACGGCTTTTTATTATTTCGATTCGCTTTTTGGTTCATGCGCCGATAAGACGGTTGTGATACTCCACTGTGTCCTCGGATGTTGGGTAATAAAAATTGCATATATAGTACAAGCTCACTTTCGCTGTTTTTCTGATTCTTTTTCTGTCTACTCCTCTGATCGATTTCCCACGGCCCTCTCGTAGAGAAGGCTCATCTTGGTCTAGTATCAGCCATGTCGACCACACGTGAGATTGAGCCCACCCAAGGGACTCAGTAGGTCTTCCCTGCTTCGAAGCGTTTTTTTCGAGCTACGCTAACCGCGATCGTTCAGACCTCCAGTCTATAATGAGCCCGAACATGTGACCCAGCAGGTCGTGCTGAACGAGAAGACCAGCATGGATGCCGATTTCGACAAGGAGAACACCGTCACTCCCGATGGCGGAGAACCCACACTCTCAGAGAAGTCTGGTCTTCGTCACGTTGCCGAGAACCTGCCCATCTCCGCCTGGTTGGTGGCTATAGTCGAGCTCTGCGAGCGTTTCACATACTATGGAATGTCTGGTCTGTTCCAGAACTACGTCCAGCGCCCTCTGGACGGTAGTCAAGGACGTGGTGCGCTGGGTATGGACCACCAGGGAGCTACTGGTCTCACAACCTTCTTCCAGTTCTGGTGTTACGTTACCCCCATCATTGGTGCTGTTGTTGCCGATCAATACCTCGGCAAGTATAAGACTATTGTGCTGTTCTGTATTGTCTACATGGTCGGTCTGCTCATCCTGGTGTGCACTTCCATTCCCACTGCCCTGGAACATGGCTCGGGTCTGGGAGGTTTCATTGTTGCGATCTTGATCATTGGTCTGGGTACCGGTGGTATCAAGAGTAACGTGGCTCCCTTGATTGCGGACCAGTATAAGCGAAAGAAGATGGCCATCAAGACCATCAAGACCGGCGAGCGGGTCGTCATCGATCCCGCCCTGACCATCCAGCGTATTTACATGATCTTCTACGGATGTATCAACGTTGGTTCGCTGTCTCTGCTCGCTACTCCCTACATGGAGAAGTACATTGGCTTCTGGTCAGCCTATCTTCTCTGCCTCTGCATGTTCATGGTCGGCACCCTGGTGGTGATTCTCGGCCGCAAGTTCTACGTCGTCCGCCCTCCCCAGGGATCCATTATCACCGACGCCTTCCGTGCGTTGTTCATCATGATTAAGAACCGTGACATGGACGCCCCCAAGCCCTCGTGGCAGACCGAGCGCCACGGCTCCACTGCCGTTACCTGGGATGACCACTTCATCGACGAATTGAAGCGCGCCCTCGTCGCTTGCCGCGTCTTCGCCTTCTACCCCATCTACTGGGTCGTCTACGGCCAGTTCTCCAGCAACTTCGTCACCCAGGCCGGTCAGATGGAAGCCCACGGCATCCCCAACGATCTGATGCAGAACTTCGACCCCATCTCCATCATTGTCTTCATTCCCCTCCTCGAAACCTGCGTGTACCCCATCATGCGCCGTCTCAAGATTCCCTTCCGCCCCATCACCCGTATCGCTCTCGGCTTCGTCGTCGCCTCTCTGGCCATGATGTACGCCGCGATCGTGCAGCACCTGATTTACTCCGCTGGACCTTGCTACGGCCAGCCCCTCTGTGATGCCTCCAAGATTGACGGCACCGCCTACGGCAACAAGGTTCACATCGCCATTCAGACCCCGGCCTACGTCTTCATCGGTGTTTCCGAGATTTTCGCCTCCGTCTCCGGTCTCGAATACGCCTACACCAAGGCCCCACCCAGCATGAAGTCCTTCGTGCAGTCCATGTACCTCCTCACCAACGCATTCGGTTCCGCCATCGCCGAGGCCCTCACCCCAGCTGCCTTCGACCCCGCCATCATGTGGATGTTCGTCGGTCTTGCCTGCGCTTCCTTCATCTGCGGTATCATCTTCTACGCCATCTTCTACCACTTGAACGCCCAGGAAGATGACATGAACGCGCTTGATGCGGATGATGACATGCCTGAGGCGCCGATTGCCGAGGAGCGTCGTGCTTCCCAGGCCCATTAATTATAATATTGCGTTTGCTTTCCAAGGTTCGCCTTGCTGGTATACGATATCACGATACCATCTATAAATTCATATAAGAATAAAATTATTAACTTAACTCTATACTCTTACATTTTCGACCATCTCGAGTAGCCAAAAGATTGAAACTCAGCCTTAACAATGCAAATTTAAAGGTTGTTTCCAAGGTTCTCGTGCGATGGCGAACTTGACCAGCCTCGAGGATGGCCGGATGAATGGCCGGCCATAAACCGTTGACGCTCGGGGCCACTTGGGCAGTTGATCTGTCTCATCTCCCGCATATGTACAACATGTCCATGTAAGACAAGAAAAAGTGGACGCCTGGGATGCGGCTCAGATTTGGCAATATTCAGAGATGCTGATTGGCCATGTATGGGGCTGCCTGGACAGGGAAATGCTGTGGACTATTGTCAATGTCAATGCCTGTGAACTGGGAGACCGTTAATTCGTTAGTTCGACATCTGTAACCGCGCAGATGCTGGGCGTGGTGGGTTGGTACTGGGTACTTCCCCCACAGTGTGTGCCCATACTATCATGCAGGTACCCAGTACATAGGAAATATCTGCCGATCTCGACCAGCTGTCATAAATAGCAACGTCAGCCACACAGGGTCGACTCCACTGCAAGGAGGCTATGCGACACGCAGGAACGCAAAGAATCTGATTCAAAATAGGGGTCTTGACTCAATTTTAGAAGTGTTCTTGAATTTTGTTTTCTTTTTTAACCTACAGACTACCGAATATACTAGGGAAGTCGATTAATGCTTAATTCCCCTAATCCGTCCTCTTTAATTTTTTCCTGGACCATCTCCTGAGACACCGCCAGCGCTTCTGCCACCTCCACTTCTCCCGTCTCACCCTTCCTTCATCCCCTCTCCAAAGTAACATCATTTGAGACTCTCTACCTAATACCATCATCATGAGTGTGAGTCATTGACTGCGATCACCTGCGATCAACCATTGGAAGATTTGGCTTTCTGACCCGACTTTCCCTAGTACCAGAGCTTGGGGGATAACAACCAAGGCGGCTACGGCCAGTACAACCCATACGGAAGCCAGCAGCAGAGCAATTCGTATGCCAACCAGCAGCAAAGCTACGGCTACGGTGGTGGCTACGGAGGTGATGCGGAGCAGGGAAACGGCGGCTATGGTATGTTGTGATACATCGATCCCCTCTACTTCCTGCGCTAACGGCCCGCCAGAGATGGGCAACATCAACCAGGGTTCTTCCGGAGGCCCCACCGCGATCCTGAACAAGTGCAAGGAGATCAATGAAGGTATTACCGAGTTGACCCGCAAGCGTGAGGGCCAGTTGGTCTCTGCCCAGAAGGCCCTTTTGGACTCAAGCACCGGAAAGGAGGACCAGTCTTCGCGTCAGACCCTCGACTACATCGAAGATGAGATCAACACTGCCCTGCGCTACCTGCGCGATCAGTTCAAGCGCGTCAAGGAAACCCCGGGATCCGGTGACTCGCGCGTTCAGGGTCAGGTCGAGAACGTCAGCCGCAACCTCCGCCGTGAGATCGAGTCGTACCAGCGCACACAGAGCGACTTCCAAAAGCGCCTCGAGGAGCAAGTGCGCCGCCGTTACGAGATCGCCAACCCCGAGGCTACCCCCGAGGAATTGGAGCAGGGCGTGCAGAACGTGCTGATGGGCCAAGAGCAGAGCTTCGTGGTACGTATCGCGCTCGTCGGGCCCGTGAAGCCAGTCAGCTAACTCAGGAATCAGGTCCCCGGTACCCGCTCTCGCCAGGCCAACGATGCCCGCCAGGCAACCCTCCAGCGTTCCGCCGCCATTCGCAAGATCGAGCAAGATCTGATTGAGCTGAGCCACCTGTACAACGAGGTCGCCGAGCTGGTGCAACAGCAGGAGCCCGCGGTTCAGCAAATCAACCAGGGAGCCGAAGAGACACACCGCAACGTCGAGCAGGCCAACACCAAATTGGACAGCGCCATTCAGAGCGCAAAGAACGCCCGACGCTGGAAGTGGTACGCGCTTATCATCGTTAGTAAGTTATTCGTCTATATTGTCTACATCGTCGCAGAATTACCCGCTAACCCCACCCAGTCATTATCATCGCCATTGTCGTCGGTGTGGCCGTCGGTGTCACCGAAGCCAACAAGGCCGCGAACAAGAACTGATCAAACTTTGTACGACCCCCGGCGGGGCATTCACGCATCATCCCCTTTGTTGTTCCTTCATTTCTCTCTTGTCACCCCTCGTTGTTATACCACCCTTTCGCATTTCTTTCTCTCTTGTGTAAAAGCAATGACTTTTCAATCGTCTTTTCTTTGTGTCTCTGCTTCCCAGCTGTGCGCGTTGTACAGCTCCGCGCAACGCCCTTGATGATTGTGGCCGGGGTCGTCGCGCATGGATGTATATACTAGATTGTTGCTTTCTGTTGGCCCCGTTTGGCGCTAGAATCTATGTAATACCGTCTAATAATCGATTCCTTGCGTCATTCAACTCACCATCGAAAAACATAGTAGTGGGTAAATGCATTATTCCAGTTGTACGGGGTATTCGACTCAATAGTCATGCAAAAATCAATCCTTCAAAATAGCTGTTCATGCCTTCTGTTTCCTCTCCTTCTCGCGCTGTTCCTCGGCCGGGGTCTGCGTCTTCAGCTGTAGTGCATGGAGTCCTCCTTCCCGAGCCATCTCTTCCTTGAACAAAGCGTAAACCATCCGGTGTCTCGCGGGCTGCATCTTGGACTCGAAGGCATCGGAAACAATTGTCACACTGAAACAAGTGGTTAGAACCCCACATGACCATAGCGTATTGAATGCAGGTAAGATAGAACGGACTGGAAATGTGTTTCCTTTGATGTAGAACCCTCCATGGCAGCATGATGAGCATGAAGGCGGGAGTCATTGCGAATAACGAGCGACGAGGGCGTGAATGTGTGAGCGATCTAGTCAAGCCTATCATTAGCAACCCAATCATCATGCCAGCGAAAATGGACGCACCTTGTCGCGCATCGCATCCTCCAGCGGCGTCATTGAAGACATCCTAGCAGAAACAGAGAACAGACGACGGGAAACCAGACCCGGGAGGACACGAGGAATCATTTGCGAAGAAGATGAGGAGCGATGAGTAGGAGGGAGAAAGTCCGAGGGTGGCCGGATGTTTTTTTGGGGTTTCCGCGGAACTTCTCATGACATCAATTTGACCGCCGTTCGCCGCTCGCCTCCGCATAAAACAGTGCCTCTCCTCGTGCGATGGTCTAGCGACCGAAATGTCTCTACTGTCGATCCTGTCGCGCTCGCGAGCGCGCATTTTTACAGTCCCGCGAACGCCGCTTAGACGCCTGTCCACGCTACCGAACACGCATATCTTCCGCGCTCTGCAGAACCATGACCCGGACAGCTTGGCTGTGGTTCATAGTGCCTCTGAGCGCTCTTTCACATATGGAAGTCTGATTGGCGACGTTGTCCGAGCGAAGGATGACCTCGAGCGCAAGGCCGCCAAAGGACAGGGCACGCTGGTCGGCGAGCGGGTTGCGTTCCTTGCGGAGAACAGCTATGACTACGTAGGTACTGTGATCCATTTCTAAAGGCGGCAAAAAGGAGATATTAATAGCGAATAGTCACAATGCTTGCCATCTTCGCCAGCGATGCCATTGCGCTACCGCTATCCCCGGCTTTCCCAACGGGAGAGCTGAAGTATATCTTGGATAATTCGCAGGCAAAGATGCTACTCGTGACCGAGAAGTACTCTGACAAGGCTATGGAGGTTCTGCGAGAGGGTCTGGAACATGATCCTATCTTCAATGTCCGCACTAAACTCCAGGGTACGAGCGGCGAGCCCGTCACCCTGAAAGACCTCGAGCAGCCTTCAGCCGGTGGAATGATGTTATATACCTCGGGCACGACAAATCGACCGGTAAGATCGCCCACGGCAGAGAAGAAGGTAGACTAACTAGCCACAGAAAGGAGTTCTCATCCCTCAGTCTGCACTAGCAGCACAGGCATCTTCGCTGTTAGAAGCATGGAAGTACAGTCCATCAGACCGACTTCTCCATCTCCTGCCTCTGCACCACATTCATGGCGTTGTGAACGCCATTGTGGCACCTATCGTGGCTGGATCATCTATCGAGTTCATGTACCCCTTCAACCCGGAACAAGTATGGAAGCGACTTGCGGCGCCATTCCAGTCAAGCTCCAAATCACCCATCACATTCTTAACCGCCGTCCCAACAGTATACAATAGACTGATGACGACGTTCAACAATCTACCCCCAGATCTCCAAAAAGCCAGCAAAGAAGGAATATCTCCTCAGAACCTTCGCCTAAACATTTCCGGCTCCGCTGCACTGCCCACACCGACCAAAACCAAATGGACCGAGCTCAGCAACGGCAATGTTCTCCTCGAACGCTTTGGCATGACCGAGGTCGGAATGGCAATTAGTTGCGGTCTCGACAACGCGGACCGTGTCGACGGTAGTGTTGGATGGCCTTTGCCAGGCGTTGAAGCACGACTTACCGATCTCGAGAGTGGAGAAGTGATTCCAGAGTCTGAATTAAACCGAGAAGGTGAGATCCAGCTGCGCGGCGAGACAATCTTTGCGAAGTACTGGGGGAATGAGAAAGCGACCAAAGAGGGATTTGTAGATGGATGGTTCTGTACTGGTGATGTTGCGGCGAGAAAGGTTGTCGAAGGAGCCGGCAGCGGGAAAAGTGGACAGTGGGCCAAGGGGCCCATGTATTTCATACAAGGACGCAAGAGCGTCGATATCATCAAGGCGGGCGCTGAGAAGATTAGTGCATTGGAGGTTGAGAGAGAGTTGCTTTCTCTGTGAGTTTCATTATTCTTCCATCGCCTGCACTGGTCCCTGTGCTAACTACGCAGACCCCAAATCATCGAAGCGGCTGTCGTTGGCCTTCCCTCCGAGCAGTGGGGACAGAAAGTTGCCGCAGTGGTTGTTCTCAGTGGCGATGCTGCTGCGTCGGGAAAGAGTGGACGATCATGGGGGCCGATGGACATGAGACGTGCGTTGAAAGACCGTCTTGCCTCGTACAAAATCCCACAGGAGATGAAGGTCTTGGATGCCATCCCGCGGAATGCGATGGGCAAGGGTAAGTTCTGAAACTTTTGTACTGCTGCTGGGAGATCTGACACTGACTTAATTGCAGTCAACAAGAAGGCGCTCATCAAGGAGGTCTTTGACATTTAATAAAGCTGTTCTGCAGCGTGTACAACAGGGCGTATATCTAAGATGAGGGGCATTTCTCTACTCAAAAGACCACTACAATCTCAAAATTCCATTGTATTGTTACGCTAATCTGCTTCCTTCCAATTGCTTCACATCTCAAATTCGTATCATCGTAGAGCCATAGCAAATTTCGTCAAAAACCGTCAGATACCTAGATCTTCCGCTGAGTGCCATCGGCCTGAACGTGCGAATCAACAGTGGGATCGAGCTTGTTCGCAATACTCGAGTCGTGGGGACCAGCCGTGGCAGTGGTACCAGAAGTGCCAGTAGCAGTTCCAGTAGGGGTGTTGTAACTGCTACCAGCAAGACCCTGGCTAGGGGCAAGACCAGAGGCCGTGTCACGGGTGTGAGAGCCATGGGTGACAGTGCCAGCACCGATACCAGAGAGAGACTGGTGAGTAGCGCGGGCGTCAAGGTCCGAGTCGACACGGGGGTCGAGCTTATTGGCGATTTCGGTGTCATGGGGGCCAACTGTGGTGCTGTGGGCGGCAGTGGTTCCGGTGCCAGAGCCTAGGGTCGAGCTGGGGCCGTGGGTGCCATGGGTGGAGCCAAGGGCAGGGGCAGTACCGGCTCCGGAGAGGAGAGCACGGTTGTCACGGTCCGAGTCGACGCGAGGATCAGCTTTGTTAGCGACGTTGGAAGCGTGAGGACCAGCGTTGGTGCTGCCGATATTCTCGTGGCGAGCACGGTTATCACGATCAGAGTCGACACGAGGGTCAACCTTGTTGGCGATGTTGGAGTCGTGGGGACCGGCATTGGTGCTGCCGTGGGTTACTCCAGTAGTAGCACCGACGTTAGTGGCTTCATGACGGGCACGGTGGTCGCGATCAGAATCAACACGAGGGTCGGCCTTGTTGGCAATGTTGGAGCTGTGGGGTCCCGCGTTACTGCTGCTGCTACCGTAGGTGGTAGCTCCAGTGTCAGTCACAGGCTTGGTACCATGAGTGGTCGAGCCCAGGGTCGAGCCATGGCTGGTTGTGTCTCCAACATGGGTGCCATGGGTAGTGCCGGCACCAACAACCCCAGATTCCACTCCGTGTGTGCCGGTGGGCACAGTGCGTGTGGAGTCGACGGTAGGATCCAACTTGTTGACTGCGCTCGACTTGTGGGGTCCGGCAGTGGTAGTGGTTCCGGTAGAGCCACTTCCATAGTCCTTAGAGGTGCTGAGATGCTTGTCGTCGACATCAGTGTGAGCAGCACGGTTGTCTGGGGATAGTTAGTATTCAAGCCTGTCGAAGAGCAAGGGAGGTATCATGTAGTACATACCACGGTCACTGTCAACACGAGGGTCAAGCTTGTTGGCCAGGTTGGAGGAGTGAGGTCCATGGTTAGAGGACTGAGTCGACTCACGCGACTCATCCTTCTTGCCTGTCAGGGCTTCTTCGGCTTTGCGTACAAATTGCATGATAAAAAAAATGATGATCAAGTTATGCTAGAGATGCTAGAGTGTGGATGTGTGGATGTGTTGAAGGAGCGAAAGGGAAAAGGAGATCCACCTAGGTCTTTTATATCAACGAAGCAAACATACTTGAGATGACGTTTCTCGCAAACCCCTTTGAGCAACGTGCTACAAAGAAGTATTTGTCGCATGCTCCTATTTGCTATTGTGAATCCGGCTTTGGCAATTGTGAAGTAGACGGAAACTGGCCTCTATCCTGGAAATCAATGTCAACAACACGTCATTCCCCAGGTATACTTTCTACCCTGTACAGACATCCTTGTCAATCCATACCGTCTGTGTAGAGGCTGATGGAGTTGACGTTAGCCATGACATCAGTGTGGCTAAGTTTAGTGTCACCAATAAGTGAAGATCTTATACTCTGAGACTTGGCGGTAGGTACTCACCAATACCCGAAGACTCTCTGGGTAAACCGGTAACAGCAGAACCTTGAACCCTTGAAAATTGAAATATTCAGGCGCATAATGTACATTCCACTTCAGACCTCCTTTGCTTGGCATTTTGCTTTCATGAATTAGCCCCGCCTGGGCAAGGTATCAAGTGGGATTGCTCACCACAACACATAAGTGCGCACTGGGCTTTAGATATTTGAATAGCCAGTACAGTAGGCTTTATGAAAGCCTGAAGATAACAATAAAGCGGACAAGTGAAACATGCTTGAATCATGGACTCAAATATGATTGATCTTATTTGACGTTATTACACCCTGAGCCTTGGCCTACGCAAGGCCGGCCGTTAAAGAGATGTTTCAAATTCTGTAAACCAGATGGATGTGATATTATCAAAATGTAAACACATGGCTGGGCTTTCTCTTCCAAATTTCCATGTACAAGCGAAAAGAAGGCCATATCTCGGGAGTGAGAAAGGTAGAGAGGGAACAAAAAAACAAAAACAAAAAACATACGAGGTAGTGATGAGATAGATGGACATGATGGACGCAAGATGGAATATAGCCACCTTGATAAATATCAGAAAGATGCATCATTATCTCCTGTGTTGCTCCGCTGGTGATAGTATTTGTATTGCGAACCATGGGCGTTAAATTGAGCGCCAGAGTCAGAATTGATAAAGGTCATGACTCCACGCTCTGTTGCATTTTGGTTGTTTGGCCTCAATGGGTGGGTGCCTTGGTCGATTCCAGGAATGTGCTTCTGGGGATATGAAGGAGCTGTGAGCCCATGGACCGACATGTTAGCCCACTGGTTCTTTCTTCAGATAACCATACATCCTCGTAGCTCTTAGATGGAGAACGGGCAGTCCCGGACATCGTTTCTCAAAAGTCTTTCCTGCTCGTAAAGTAAAATTTACTTACCAAAGGTGGAGCTTTGTTGATGCGATAGCTCAGACCGTGCCTTCGAAATAGTCCGTGGGTCCTGCTTTGGAATGATCTCTCGAGGCAGAGCTCTTTGCTGAGAGATCGATTCATCGGTACTGTAATGCCCAGATTCATGGTAACCAGATACCGAGGGTTCGAGCTTCTGTCCTGCCTGAAATCTCGGTTGAGATATCTTCTCACTAGACGCGAACTCTGGAGGCTCAGGTCTATTGTGATAGTATTGGGCCGAGTCTCTCTGTGCTGGACGTTGCCCATATGCTTGCCGTCGATTATAGTAGTACTGTGTTGAGTCACTGCATTTAATTTGCTGTCTTCGTGCCTGCAACGGAAAATGCTCAGGTCTGTTGCGATAGTATTGTGCCGAGTCTCTCTGTGCTGGACGTTGCTCATATGCTTGCCGTCGATTATGGTAGTACTGCGTTGAGTCACTGCATTCAATTTGCTGTGACGGACTGCCTTGTGCCTGCAATGGAAAATACGTATCAAATGAATTCAGTTGACCCTGTTCAGATGCATTGGCAGGCAGAGCAGGATCCATGACAAATTGGAAGTCAGCTGCATATTGAGAGTATTCATGGCCCGAGTGACCCGACATGCTAGAATCAGAGAAATAGGTTGGCGAGAACTCAGAGAGAAATTTGAGATTCTTGAGAGCATCGTTGGGTATTTATTAGCCCTTGGGCCTCGACACGGGTGAGGTGCACACAGCGCTATGATCCCTGCATCTTCAGCACAGCCCGCTCTTTTACGATCGACACAGCCCCGCCCTACATGTTTGACAACCACAGTCATTCTTCGTTCTCTATCCTTCCTCTTCTTGATGGACCCATTGTCTGCCGTTGCGAATATTGCGGCCCTGATCGGCCTGCTAGAATTATCATGTCGGGTAGGGAAGAAAACGTACGAGCTAATATCTGCAATCAAGCATGCGTCCGAAGAAGTTGCGAAACTCAAGATTGAGCTGGAGGAAATTGAGTTTCTCATGGTTAATCTGACACGATATTGCCGCAAGTATCAATATCAGCACCCATTGACCGTCCCGGAGTCGCATTCTGCTTTGGAGCGGATATGCGACACCCTTCGAGGGCTGAGGGTCGAATACGGCTCAATCGAAGAGATGATCAAGAAGAACACTTTAACCCGCGCTGGAGCTAGGGACAAATTAAGAGGAATCAAAGAAAAGATGCGGTTTGCTATTGGGGGGGAAGTTGGCCGCCTCACAAAATATTCTGGAGAGGTACAAGCTACAGCTAAGCAGTAGCCTCCAAATCCTTGCTGGGTAAGTCTAGCTCCTAATCCCTAGGAACCTCACACTAAGTCATATAAACTCACAGCTTCAACGACCTTGCAATGTATGAACGGATCGGAAAACTGGCCCACACATTCTCTGGCTTGGGCCACGCCACTCAACCTACTGCAGACAACGCACCTCTCATGAAGAATAGATCTTCGGCAAAAACAAAGAAACCGACAAATCACGAAAAAGGCTCGATACGAGCTCCGAATGACCGAAATGACAGTTGCTGGATGGGAAATGAAGAAATGCGATCGGCGGTTTTACCGTTAATGCTCCTCAAGCCGAATATCGAAGAGGCACTGCATCTGTTTTTATCTCAACGATCAGGCCAGACATCACTCTCATCTCAAGATGCTGCGTGGATTGGAGACGAGCTGAAAAATCTACTTGCAAAATGCCACGAATCCGCCGCAACGAACTTGAGGAAACAAGAGACCGACGATATGAAACCGCATGTCCAATCCCACGGCTTGCACAAAACAGCAATAAATGTGACTGGCCTGGATCTTCAGAACCAAACCGTATCCGTTCAAAATAAAGACATTACGTCGGCTTCATGTCTACTGCAGGAGTCTCCTACAGGCAAGACTTCAGTCCGCCTGAAGTTCATTCGAAATGTTCAGTCAGGAGATACGACCATCTCAGATGTTCTATTTCTACTTGCTCCAAAACCATCAATAAGCAGAGATGGGGTCATTGTCTCATTGTCTCGACTTCATCATGCTTTAGTTCAGCCCAAGATCCAACGATGGATGTCAACATACCAAGTGGTCGAACAAAATTCTCCGGGGTTTGCTTGTGTGAAATCGAATGACATTGAGAAACTACGAACCCTGATCAAAACTAGACAGGTGAGCCCATCTATGCGGAGTACTGAAAATGAGAGTCTTCTATCGGTGAGTCTTTCGGATCCGCACAATTTCGTTCTAGTCCTCACATCCTCTAGCTTGCGGCTCGACTCCTGCGCTTCGAAATGTGTGAGTTACTCCTCAACGAAGGCGCAGACCCCAATAATTGTCGCAGGTATGCCGAGTGAATCTCAATCCCAACTGAGTATGTGAATCTCACGACTTACAATACCAGCGATGGAGCCAGTGCAATATATGACGTTCGCAATGCCTTTTGGTATCGGCAAGAAAATCATCAAGTTCCCAAAGCCCTTTTGAGCCAAATCCTCCGACTTTTGATTCGCTCAGGCTGCGATATGAACTCTGTCGCTCTAGCTGGTAGTCCCCTTCATTTTACTATCAGCCCGTCGATGTATGGCGATGAGGATATCCAAGAGGCCGAAATCGCAACACTGGTGAACCTGATCATTTGCCTTGGGGGTGAAATCGAGCATAGAAATACCGATGGGCTCACACCACTACTTCATAATGCCTGCAACCCTGGAGTCCATGGAAATACTGTCCTCAGGGAACTATTGCAGTGGGGCGCCGATCCACATGCCCAGACTCTACTAGGAGAAGGAGCTTTGCATCTGGCCATAGCTTATTCTGTCCCAGTTTCCGGTCACGATATCCCCGGACTCAGGTCATTGCAGGGTCGTCTCGATCTGCTACTTCAAGCTGGCTGTGATCCAGGCCTGAAAGAAGGCAAGGGACATACTCCGTCAGATTTTGCCCTGAGTAGCCCTAGGATCTGGTTTCAATGGTGTTTTGCCATAATCAAGATCGAGAATCTGTCGATCGCTCATATCCTTGGCCATGAGTCTCCGTTGAGTGATAAAAATGGGCCAACAAATGCAGAAAAGATGCCAGACTCCGGTCAAGGAGAACGTGTAGGTCAGAATCCATCCTCTGACTGGGAATTCTGCAGTGATTCAGAGGGTGAGTTATGTGATTTGAAAGACATCAGTTCGGCAAAAGCCTGTTCTGATTTGAAGCATATCTTTATATCTTGGGATGGGAAATTTCCTTGGAGTGTTGATCCGTCTTGTGCAGACTGTGGGCAGTTGTGTCGTGTCGGAGACATCCAGCGAAGGAAATGGGCTGCGTGGAGAATTTTCCAGGGATTGTTGCGATCTACACCAACACCTAGGTAGTTTAAGCGTGAGATGTTGTAAAAAAGAGCTGAAATAATTAAAAAAGAGACATCCAAGATCCACACCTCTGGGTGAGAGATCGGGAGATTTTCCAAGATTGGGTTTTCTGAGCTCAGATCATTGAAGTACCCACTGCCAATCAACTGCAGCCGGAAATACTTTCCCGTCTCTTACTTCGCGATCTATATCAGAACATACATGCCACAAAGAAGACTGGAAAAGGACTGGAATTCGCATTCTCCTCCTGTCTCATCATTTGCCTCCAAGGCTCGCGTTCGCCACTGCACGTGATGTGATCTCGCCAGGCTTGGCGCGCTCAATGCTAGTCCAGTCTCTCACCAAATCCCGACAACCGAAAAAAAGGAAGAAAAAAACAGGAGAAATGCAGAATAAATTTATTTCTTCTTAAAATTGTGCCAAACCCCAGAATTCGTCGGCTAAACTAACCTCTTGATTTGGACAGATGGAGAGCTCCTCCTCCTCCTCTGATAGCCAGTTGAGCCTCACACTTCAGAGAAACGAGGGAAATATTGACATTCCTCGCACTCCTAATGAGCCCAATGAAGCCAATCGCCCGAGAACTGTACAGGCATGTGGGGCATGTCGAGAAAGAAAGGCAAAATGTGATGGCAACCGTCCCAAATGTGCCACTTGCAAACGTTTGAATCGGGTTTGCGCCTACACCGGCTCCAAACTAGACAAGCAGCGACTCCAGCTCCAGAGTCTGCAGCGAAAAGCTCATATATACGAGAAATTGCTGGGAGAAATCATCCCTCAAGTTGCTGTGCATGAGAATATATCCATCGAAAATGTTTTCAAGGTTTGCCACCGAATCCAGCTTCTTTGAGTGCCCCAACTAACGCTGGGATAGAAACACTTCCAGCAATCTCCGGAAATCTTCAGTGATCTTCTCACCTCAGAACATCTAAGCAAGCTCCACATCCCAACGCCAAATTCAAGGATCTCATTGGGTCACATTTTCTTTGAATCTACATCCGAAGGTGCCAAGTCACTGAGACCGATTCTCAAGGAGCCACCAATCCAAGTCAACTCGATTGAATACTGGACAAAGCTTGTGCCCAACGATACCGCAAGTCATTTGCTGTCTTTCTATTTCACCTGGGAGAACCCAACGTGGAATTTGATAGACCAGAGCACGTTTCTTCGGGACCTAGAGAGCCATGGCGGAGAATCCTGCTCTCATCTGTTGGTCCATGTCCTGCTATTCTTCGGAATTGTATGAACCTGATACTATCCCTCGACCGAGACTTCATACTGACTATATCCGCAGAGCTTTTCATATAGACTAAACCAAATCGCAGATCGGAGAGAGGAAAAGGTACTGGGGCAAAAACTGTATGACGAAATTCAACCGCTCTGGGAAAATTACAAGGGGAGACGGGATCTACCGACCATTCAATCTGGTATCCTGCTGGGACTTCTTTCTTGCACCTTTGGACTTGATCGACTGGGTACCCAGTTCATCATGAACGGGGCAAAATCCTATTCCCAGCAGGGCCTACACATACCCCAGGACGGTGGAAGTGACGATCAAAGGGGTTTTTCCTCATCAGAGTTATCCCGGGAAATGGTCTCATGGGCCATCTTCGATGTTCAGGCGTAAGTTCCTTACTCCCTTATCGATTCCTTTCTGACCGCAAGATAGACTGGCATCGCAAGTCTACCGGAAGGTATCCCCGTGGCCAAACCCTCCTCCCCTCAACTGCTCGCCTGAGCAGGCGGAACAACTTGACAAGAATGATGAATGGAGTCCATATCCCTTTGAGGGACCTACCTCTCGACCGAACTATTATACTACTCTCCAGTATCGGAGTGCACTGGCAGCCATCGTGAACGAAATTGCTTCTTTTTCTCTGAATCTCGGAGAAAGGTCTATGACCCCTCACGATTTGGACTACTGCCGTCAGATACACCAGAGGCTTATTCACTGGAAAGCTAACCTGCCACAATCTGTCATGCCCGAGTCCAACACCACCCCTCACATTTTATGTCTACAGTAAGTGTTTCATTTCAATGCTTACCAAAACATCGGAAATGAATATTAACCAGATTAGTTTCTACTACCAAGCTACCTTGATCTCTCTAGCTACTCTGATATCAACAAAGTCAGACCCAACACTTGATTCAGAAGAATTGGTAGTTGGGCAGCCCGACTTCGAAGAAGTCAAAGACCAGGCGATGGAGACTATTGGCTCTTTGATTCTCCTGTTCAAACACCGCCACGGTTGGAAGTCGATACCGATCGTTATGCTCCACTACTTCTGTCTCGGGGGTGTGCACGCTACCTCGCGACTCGACGCCAATGACCTGAAATGGACCCTTGTACTCGAGAGCTGTGTCGTGGGACTCTGGCATATGAGTCTTGGCTGGGGCAGATTATGCAAAGCGTTCCTGCGGACGATCGAGCTCGTCCTGAAGTCGAATGACCTCGACCCGAATCTCATTCCAACCAAGGTGGCTGCTATCTTCAAGCATCTGAACTCGGACTTATGGTCCGAGACTGACATCACTTCACTTTCGGCGGATTACGTGGTGCAGCGGGTTACTAGGAAAGTTGACGCTTCTGCTGTCAGTGCGCAGACCCTGGAAGCTCTGATTCGAGCCATGGAGAATTTGTGAGGGCCCGGTGTTTGTGTATAGATTCATGGCTGTCCCACTTCTCCGAGCTTGTCCCAAGCTCCACCGGACCCTGCAGATCGAAGCCCAATTCATACAGAGGGCTGCATTTGGCTAGCCACCAATGTAGTACCGCTAATTAGCTACACTTGTAGAGTTGATTTCAATTAGCTTCATCAAGTATAAGATCGACAGGTCCACTGTGCTGATGTCATCAACCCGACGCATCCGAGCCGCTCAGAAGCCTCCTTTTCAGTCCGAAAGCCACCAGTTCCTCCAAGTGCCACAAAAGTTAGTACAACCCGATCGCTGTTGTGAATGCCCTCTGATCGTGCATTTTAGGGTTTGGCGTGATATCCTTGCTTGCGACCCCTGGCTCAACAGCTGAAGATCCTCTCTTTGCAATCTCAGCATCCCTTGCGGCCAATAAAACCAGGGCGCCCACCCCATTTTCGAGAATTTTAGATCTCAAGATTTTTCCGGGGGTCGCATAGCATGTGGATAATCTCCTTCTGGGTGTTTCCCATCGTCGCAGGATGCGTGTGGATAGGTAAGTTCCAAGTTTTTGTGTGTCGCGTGATCAGCGCAATCAACGCGATCCGCATGGTGTAGCTAACCCTCTTTCAGCGACGCTGGTCGCCATGCTTGGGGCATGGGCGGCGGATGGGAAACCGCATTACACTACTATGAGCCATGGACAGACCATTCCGTGAGTTTTATTCAGACCAAGCGCATAGGATGGCGACTTATTCAGAACAGGTACATTTCGCATATTGGCGCCGAGGGAATTAAGCCGCTGTTCATCGCCGGTAGTGCAGTAACAGTCGTTTTTATGGACTTATCTCTTCTTGCAGAGCGCTGGCTCCGACACGCCGGCCAATTGGCCAAGAATAGAGGACGATTCGACAAGGCCTGCGCTATTGGATCTATCGCGTTCTCGGTTACTGGAGCTCTGGGGTTGATCTTGCTGTCCATCTTCGACGCAAAACGCCACCATAACCAACACTACGGCTTCTTGATTATGTTTATGTACGATTGACCCTTGGACTCCCCTCGATCAACACCATACTGACTGACCTCCCAGCGCGAGCTACGTGATTTCCGCCGTCCTCATATGTCTGGAATACATTTACATCGGTCTTTACTACCGCCCTCAAGCTCGAATCTTGCTCGTCAGTTTCGGCATCAAGGCGCTCTTTGTGATTGGCGAACTTGGCGTTGCTATTGGATTTGGTGTGTGCATGGGAGCCAAAACCAAAAACCGCAAAAATGTCGCCGCTGTTTTGGAATGGGGTACGTTTCCAATTTTTCCTATTCAAAGCGATGTATACTAACTGAAGCAGTCGCTGCTCTCATTTTCGCATTCTTTGTCTTTTCATTTGTCATTGACTTGTTGCCCTCTGTGCGGACGAAGAAACGTGTTCCCCAGGGCGAGAAGTACCTTCGACCCACACCCGATGGCCCTGTGGACTTCTGAAATCTATATTCTATATGTCATTATATTATACATAATACTTAATTATACTCGATTCTTGGAACAAATCAAGGCCCAGAGAGCCTGGACTTTGGTACGATCCCATGTGGTGACCTCATACATTTTCATTACATCCACTCCCGTGAATATCCCTTAAGAACCCCCATTTCAGCAAAAAAAGGCACAGAATTATTTTCAAACATTAACTATTCACAATGACAACCTTCTACGAACACCCTTACGGTACAGTCTCGACTCTCGCACATGTAATACAATGTGTCAGCTCATTCGTTGTCCTCGGCATAACGGCTTGGGCAGTCACTGAGACGAAGACTCTCACTGTGATATTTTCATTGGTCATAGTATGTTTCTTTTGTTCCAGTTTCGTACCTTGGACCTGCATGAATAGTTGTTTCTAACTCAAATCCAGGCTGTCCTCACCCCGGTCGTCTACGGCATAACGTTGACTACAAGCTGCCTCACCAAACGCCGTAGATGGCACGTTCTCCCTCTGCTATTTATGGATGTAGTGATTTCTTATCTGTGAGCATGATTCGTTCTCTCCTATATCATCGTAAAGGTGTGATTAAACTAACCATTATAAGCTGGCTCACTTCCTTCATTTTCCTGGCTGAGAACTTCAACCGAGTCAGCTGCAGTGTCCATCTTTGGAACAGACAAACGGTTTGTAGCCGGAAATACGCGGCGGAAGCATTCAGCTTCATTGCATTGTAAGTCGAGCTTGAAGCCATATTTTACTATGATCGCCTGCTAACGACAAAGCTTCACCTCCTTTGGTGCCATGATATTCGAGCTCTTGTACATTTACCGCCACAATGACGATCTCCCGATGCAGGAAAGGAAGAATGGTCATGCGAACTTGGAGCATAATCTTCAATCCGCCGGTGTGATGGACTCGAGGTAGATTGGATGCACTTTTCTATTTTTCTATTGGACACCCGGGGCCGCAGTGCACCTTTTCTCTTGAATGAGGGGGAATAATCTGGGGATTCTTTAGTTCCAAGGTTGATCTTTAATGATACAGATTGGACGCCTTCTGAGGACGCATATAATACAGTAATGTACAAGTCGGCCTTAAGCCCACTCGCCCGTTCTCTCGAATGGCTTTACAAATCGAGTAGCCTCGAGTGTGACCTCAAAAGTAGCCATATCGACTGCGGTAATACGGGCATCAACAAGACAGAAAGTGTCCAGTTTGTCTTTATCGGCAAAGTCCTCTGGAATCGTCACCGCGCAATTCAGTCCCATGTTGGCAATCACCGCAGAATATTCCGTGTCGAACTGTTTGGGCCTTTGACGAGGCGTACGGAGTACACAGGGGAATGTATCGGGAAGAGCACATTCGTCGAAATAGAATGCGCGGAAGAGAAGCATGCACGCCCAATGTTGGGAGGAGAAGGTATCGAGCCAGCGGAGATGTGTGCGGAGAGGTTGTGTGTTGGAAATGTAGGCGTCCAGTGTGGACTTGGAGAAGGGGAGGAGGGAGGTTGGAGTGGAAGAAGAATCGTTCGGAGAGACCCCATCAACGTCGGCCAGGTCGGCAGCGGGATCAGGGCTGTCTGTCAGGGCGTTGAATTGACGGCCATGCTCATGCTCAAAGCGCAAAGCTGCCTCAATCTGATAGTGTGCAACTATGTCTGTATACCGACGTAGTGGACTCGTACTTTTGACGTATGCCGGAAGACCCAGGAAGTGGTGATGAATTGGGCTGGTCGATGATCGAGCCAGAGGGGCAACCATTTGGAAAAAGCCTTCGCCACCAAACTGATTGAGGTTCTTGTTGGTGAGGCGCCCGTATTCTGGATCATACCAGGTTCCATCGAAGATGGCCGGGATGTTACGGGCAGCACAGAATTGGCCAGAGACGTGTCCAGCTAAGTTCATCACAAGCGAGATCAAGTTGTCTTTGGATTGGTCACGAACCTCGTACGGGTCGAATTTTTCGTTGAGGGAGAGGCGGATAACTGGGTCTCCAAGATAGTACCGTCCTTGTGAAGCTTGCATCTCATAGGGTTTCATTCCCTCGCTGCCTGCCTGGACTGAGATGGCAAGGTTTGGACGAAGAGGCGTGGAGTCCATGGCACCATTCCCCTTTCGGATTTCGCGGAAAGCCAACATCAGTTGTCGCATGGTGTGGAAATTCTCCAGTTCCTCGGGGCGAAGGGACTCTTGAATGATTTTGCCTTCAGGTTGCTGTGGGCTGGTGTACTCACCACCCACAATCAGAGGCTTGGAGGTTGCATCGGACTCGGAATTGAAGACGCCACGCAGTGTTTTATGCGTCATGTTGATGACGTTGTGAATCGTGCCGTTTTGAATTTTACTATCCAGGAGTTCGCCTTGCAAGTTCATCTTGGCACTGAACGTGAGCACAGGCCGGCCAGCAGCCAAGCTGAAGTTAGGCTCAGTGAGGGTATTGGGAAGCATAGGATAGGTGCGTTCTGGAAGGTAGGATGTGGACAGGCGTGTCGACGCATATTCAATGATAGGGTCGTCATGTTGAAGGAATGCCGTTGGATTGGCCACATGGACGTGCACCCAGAACTCGTTGCTTGAACCTGGAATCTTCTCCAATGAGATACCATCATCGATCTCCTGTGCTGTCACATCATCCACACAATACACAGGCATATCTCCCCAGTCCTTCCTCAAGTCTTGCATGGAATCTTGCAACCGCTCAGTTGCGATATTCTGGCATGACTGCACAACTTCTTCGGCCTCCAAATCCTTTGCAAGTGACACCCCGTGACCAGGAAGCATCAGATATTGGTCAAGTGGGAACAGGTTTTCCCATGGCGCGATCACACCAAGCTCTTGCAGCAGAAGCCGCGTTGAAGCCTCGCTCAGACCAATGGCGTTGTACATGCCCGTCGCTCTCATGATGTGTGTTGCGGTCGATCTCAAAGTGCCAGAGGGCATGATGATAGTAGGGACAGCATAGAGCTGCAGATATTCAATGATCATCTGATCGTTCGCGTTGAACTGCTCAGTGGGCATCTCTCGGTAAACCATCGGATTTCCGTCCTTGTTCGCCGGGAATCTCTGGGACGATGGACCGACGCTGGACATTACAGTGGGAGAGCGAACCTTTCGGCTCAAACGAATCAACCGCTGTGCCTTAGACAGGAATTGCTGCATGGGATGGCCGCTCATTTGCTTTTGGGTGCTCTTCGCCAATACACTCTGAACGCAATGATCTTGGTGTTCGTGAGTCCAATCGACAACTTGCTTGACAATATTGGCAATTCTTTTCGGTTGCACAATGTACATCCGACTGAACACAGAGCTCGACTCTTTTTCAACGAGGAAAGGAAAGCGACGGACAGCCTGATGAACAGCAAAGATATTGACGCTGGTGAGCTCGTCCTCTTCGATACCAAGAACATTCATTGTCAATTGTTCGAGTGTGAGATGAAGAATTTCTGTCTCATCTGCCACCTGGCTGTGCAGATCATCCAGAACCTGGGAATTTTCTCTGTAAAACGCCAAGGTGTGGGTTTTGAAGTTATTCATCATCTCCAAAAGTTGACCACCCACTGACCGAGGTAAACCACCCTCTGGCGCTAGTTGAAGATCTTCGTTCGCAATAGCTTCTGTGTCTGGGAACCAAGGCTTCAGAGGCTCAATCAGTTCAACCGGAGCAAAGTCTTTGATCACATAATCAAGTTCCATGTTAGAGCAAATGCGCCAATTCCCGTTGGAGCTATAAAACTGCTTTTGCTTATGGACAGACCGGACATAGATCGCATAATTGAAGATTCCATCGGCGTTTAACCGGGCAACAAGATCGCCTGGCTCAAGAAATTCGCCTTCATATTCCTCTGTATGTAGGCTCTCCTGCTGCGGTCGGTTTGGATCGCCCCAGAGTTCTCTAGCTTCTCGGCCGTTTGGCATGTTGCCCACGATCTGGCCGGAGTCTTGAACTGACTGATCACCGGTTGCTCTCATGAGGGGATCCAATACAGGAGGATTGGTCTCCTGCCATCTTCGCAAATATTCTCTGATATCCCCGTGAATTTCGAATTGGGATTTGAGGAGCAAATTGTTGTCGGAAGGAGAAAGCTGAGGTATTTGGTTGTCGGTCGATTGATTCTAGTACCGAGATCGCAGAGGTTAGCTTGCCGTTTTTTTCTTCACTCCTGTAATGTTTCAATATCCCACACACCTTGCTTTCATCGCCAGGGGCCTTATTACCATTCACTGTTGTCGATCTGAAGGAGCGTCGCCCCCAGGGCAACGTGGATGTGGCGGGCGTGCGGACAACCCATGATGCGGGTGTCTGTTTGGACTTGTAGCTGAGATGAGAGCCATCAAGAGCTCCTAGCTTCTGCAAAGCCCTTATTCTCGTAATTGACATGGCCAGCCGTAAGACGTTGGTCAAGGTCACTTTCGCATCTCTCTTGAAAACTGGATCATTCTGCCTGTCATTGCGATACCGCCCAGGGCGGTATGTAGTGGGTCTCGTGACCACAGCCAGTGCTTTAGCCAATCAAATCACGGGAAGGAAGTATACCAGCCAGTTTCAAAGTTGTTTCTTGAATAATTACTCCGTACCAAACCTCCAGTCAACTCGGAGACCGTGTACGGAGTACTCCGTAGTATGGTATGTCATGAAGAGCTAGTTGGTTCGTCATATGTCGCTTTGTGCTCCCTCAACTATTTCTGTGTTCACTACTCCGTATTGCGCGGAGGGAACTCCAACCAGTGACATTTGAGTCTACCCATTTAACGTGTCTAGCCTCGAGATGTGGTAGCTCACTTTCAAGGCGTTGGTTCAAAATACTCCGTACCGTTGCATACATTTGACTGAGGACTTCTCTTGTTTCTCACCAATCGTATTTGTACCCCACCTCGGGATCCGATAACCTATCTCGTCTCAATTCGATCCATGGATGCGTCTCTGCTTTGCCCATTAGGAGGCTTGCGGTTTTCTAAAGCCCAACCACGAACCGCTTGCTAGACTCATAAGAGGTACCTGTCTTGAGCCGAGAGTCTTGATCTATTCGCAAAGACGGTTTCTATCTCCGGCAATGTCCAAGAAAGGTTCCATCGGCTGGCTAGTAAAATGACCTGGGGCACCATGGTGCCCCAGCCGTTATGTGTGAATTGACTCATCAGACTGTGCCCTATATAATTTTTTTTCAAATGTGCCTTTGCTTTGCAACAATTGGAGAAAGTGTGACCGGGAGCATTAGAAACGGAGTCAACGCGCCTAATCGGTTTCGACGCAATTCAGGGGCTGGTTGCACGGGTTCTGATCGATTGCTCGCGTGGTGGACTTGTACTAATATTTGTTGCTCTAAGCGAAGCGTTTTCCATGATGATCATCGCAGTCTTTTTTTAAAACAGCAGCTAACGACTCCAGCGTGCTCGCAATCGTTTACTGGTACCCACCTCGGTCAGTGTTCGGAGCGAACCAAATTCATGTGATGGTAAGCCCAACTCCTAGCAATAATGGCACAAGGGGCCGAACATGTGGATCGACACACATCAAACTTGACAGGTCGTGAGCATCCCTTCCTCACTTGTCTAAGCGAGCTGGCCTTCAGGAACAGGAACCTTTTCAAGGACAATCCCCCGCGAGATCCACTTTGGCTACTGCGTTCCCGGTAGGCTCACTTGTCGATCGTTCCACCCGTTTCACATCATCGCGCCCCACTGGGCTTTTCGGTGTCGTGTGTGATGAGAATGATTCGTGCAAAAGATGGGAGGTTCTTGATTCATTTGCGCTGTGGCTGCGCTATTCAGTGTACGGCAGCAAAATCCAAGCTAGCTTTGGGCTCGGCTCTTTGTCCGACAATACCGCAGAACTAACTCAGCTAAACTTCAACATGCCAATGCCCCGAACTAAAGTCAAAAGCCTTGGGGAACCTGACGATCTCTGGGTCACTCTGCTTGTGCTAGTACAAGTCGAGTCTCAAGCATTGCCAGAAACAGTCAAAATGATCGCCGAGACGTCGATTGAGCGTTGGCATCTCGGTTTGACATTCGAGAGCGACTTGTCTGATTGGGCTTACTGCTGCGTACACTCCAACCCTCGCCCATAGCTAGTATTACTTGTACACCAAGTTCACGCGGATCGGGGCAAGATGGGCATTCGGCTAGAAGGCAGAGTTTGACCCGAGCGCAAACTTCAGACTCTCCCTTATTTCAAAGTTATGGAATATCCGAGGGTTCATCTTTCGGACGCCATGTGCTTCCCTGATGAGAGTACAGACTCTTCAGTGCCGAGTTCCGCAAAAAGAAAGCCATAACATGAAGCTCCTTGATGTAAGATGGAGCCCACAGCTGGTGAGATCTTGCCCAAGTGAGTATCGCCTAGTGGACCCGGGCTCCCTTGGCTGAAGAATGGCTCTGCGGAAGATTCTTACCCGATCGCGGTGGAGCCCCTATTGGGTCCATCCACTATCCAAGAGGGGCTTGAAGGATAACCTCCGATCAGGAGTCTCTGGGTCATTGCTAGGTAGTGCTCAGGGTTATATACCATGGGTCCCGCATCCTGAAATTCCGAAGCTGTGTCTCTATCAAGGCTTGCACTGCCAAAATTCCGTCGCTTTTCAAGATTTCTCTTGTATATTGCATACAGTATAAAGTAACATCGCGCTAATGTTTGGAGGTAATGGATGGCGCGCTTTGGCGCTTTCCCTCGCCTTTGCGCCACAGGCACTGGCAGACATCTGCTCAACCCTGAAAGACGGTGGAATCGATATCGAATACCCTCTCACGTTGGACTATTCCAACGACCTCACCAAATATTGGTCCGCAGCATGTGGTGACCTCAAGCCAACGTGTATCGCCGCTCCTTCTAGCGCAGCGGAGATGGCGCAAGTGATCAAAAACCTCCACGACGTGGAAACTCTTTTGTTGGTTTTGCCCCTTCCATAGCAAGGATCCGATCTAACCTCAAGCAGCGCGGTCAAGAGTGGAGGTCACATGCCCAACAATGGGTTCGCTAGTATCCAAGACGGCCTCTTGGTTTCGACAAAGAACTTGGATCAAGTTGACTATAATCCCGACGATCATACCGCCATCATCGGCCCGGGTCTGTCATGGGAAGAGGCCCAGAAGGGACTTGATGGAACTGGTCGGTGCGTTGTTGGCGGCCGTCTCGGTGGTGTCGGAATTGGCGGATATATGCTTGGAGGTATGTGGAAAGAGGCTCTGTGCGTGCAATCAAATCTAATGAGTTCCAGGTGGCATGAGCTTCTTGAGCACACAATACGGCTGGGCGGCCAACAACGTCGTTGACTACGAAGTTGTCCTTGCCAACGGCACTATCGTCCACGCAACCGAGAAAGAAAACACTGGTGAGTAGTGATTGTGGCTGCTCAAGGCAACGGCTGACACTGGATAGACCTCTTTGCAAGCTTGAAAGGTGGAGGAAACAACTTCGGTGTTGTCACTGCATACACCATGCAGACTCACCCCCAAGACCATAAGGTCTGGGGTGGTAACTTCATTTTCACATCCGACAAAACCCCCCAACTCCTGAAAGCTCTGCGTAACTTTGTCGATGAGTATCCTGATGACAAGGCCGCAATCATTTTGACCTCAGAGCACGGTCTGGTCATCGATTTCTGGATCATGTTTGTCTTCTACGATGGACCCGAGCCACCTGCGGGAGTCTTTGATGAGTTCACTGACATTGAGCACACCTCTACCGCCAAGACCTGGGATACTTACTACGACCTACTCAAGAACAATAACTTCTTCATTCTCCAGTAAGTCACTTCGGAAGTGCATAATGGGAAAATTATTGACTGGCTATTAGTGGCCAACGCTACACCATCGCCACCGAGACTACACCTCTCCCTAACAAGACGGTGGGCTCAGGAGTGCTGCAGGAATACTACGATCACTGGTTCAATGTCACCCAGTCAGTGCTGGAGGTGACCGGTGTCCTGGGCTCAATTGCTTTCCAGCCCGTCCCCAGAACTTTCTCACAGAAGGCCAAGGACCGCGGTGGAGTAAGATACAAAATTCCAAGTTGCGGATCTCATCAAACTAACTCTTTCTCAGGACCTTCTTGACGTGCCCTCGGACCAGCCCTACATCTTCATTGAACTCGATTTCTCCTATGGGCTAGCCATCGATGACGAGAAGATTGATGCAGCCAACGTCGAACTTTACCAAGGCCTGGACAACTTAGTCCAGAAAAATGTCGACAAGGGCCTATTGCCCGACGTGTACCGTCCCTTGTTCATGAATGACGCCTACTACCGTCAAGATTATTGGAGCCGTATCAGCCCGGCATCCAAGGAGCTGGCGCTCCAGACTAGGAAGCGATATGATCCCGATGGGTTCTTCCAGAAGCGGACCAGCGGTGGATGGAGACTGACCGAGTAAACGCCCCCAAGGCAAAATTTCCGGGTATACACAACTATATAATCATTTAATATTTTGTCTCATTTCAAGCTCATGAGACTAAAACAATCTCTTCTTGATATCTCGTGGAACCTATCTGTTTCTCACTTTCGCTATGAACTGACCTCGGACGATCTGAGTCACCATGGCAGGTGTAGAAACCATTAATTATCGGTAGAGGGTGGCTTCCAAGGTTTATCACGGTATAGGCTTTATTTTGCCCATCTGTCTCGCTCAAAAATTACTTCCAAGGTTTCCCTTTCAGATTTAGATAAAATAGTTCCGACCATGGAAGGTTCCAAGGTTGAAGTAGATATTAACCTTTCAACGTGGGCATCTTGACCATAAAGACGCTGCCCAGATTTTTGGCTTCATCCCTCACCCAAGAATCGTTGGTTCTGTCATATTTCTCCTCGACGAAGATCTCACTGAGAATAGAAGGAGATGCATCTCGGGCTCACCAGCGATCCGCCCAACAGTTGCCGTTGAATTTGAACATATTTCAAGAAGCGGCTCGGAAAATAGATTTTCGAGCTTATAGGCTCAGAGTAATATCATGAAACATGATCGACCATCCCCAGCTCAAAATATTTATTAAAGTAAGCGCCCGTGTCAGATTTAAACTGGATCGCAGAACGAATGGCTGAGAAGCGCCGGGAGCAAGTTAGGGTTTCTCCCAAGCGCCTATATGCGCCGGGGTGGAACCGCCGCTATTTCCAGCTCTATCAACTTTCTTAGTGAATTTCTTTAGTATCAAGGGGACATAACTCTAGATTTTACAGCTCTGCCACCTATGCCGATCGCTTTATTCGGCAGACAGCTCAAAGCGAATCTATTCGTCGGGCCATCTTCCCCAGACAATCTGTAACACACAAAGCATGGCCCACCGAATCAACTCAAGGTCTAGATTGCAGAACCCTGGCCTGATATGGTCTAGAACTGGAAGTCTGAGGTCATCTTCAAAAGGGCTGCTTTGTTCAATCGGTATAAATAGTTAGGCCGCGCCAGTCCATTCTTCAATCTGACAGCCAACTTCACTTTCTTTCAGAACACACTCCCTTTGTTCTTCAAGTCTTTTCTCTTTTGTTCAAGTACTCAAAAGCCTTTGTCTTCGACTATAACTATCGCCCGCAGCCCTCTAAAGTCCGTGTCTCGACTCATTCATACGTACACCAATTCGAACCCGTCGCCTCAATCCCTTCATTTGTATCATCCGCTATATCAACATGGGTCCTCGCTACGGTGCCCTCGGCGCAACCTTCCAGCTTGCTCGCCTTTTCCAAGCCTGCTCTCTCATTGCAGTAGTTGGAATGACAGCCAAATTCATCAGCGTGATTGTTTCCAATAATGGCACCCCGCCTAATGTCCTCATCGGCACGATCAGTGTGGTATGTCCCTTGCTTGCATTCAAATACACCATAGCCCCAAACCTTGAGTTGAGGATCTCACTAACAGTCTCAATCGTTCACAGACGTGCATTGCTGTGATATACTGCATCATCTCGACTATTCTTTACATGGATGACATCCTACCTTTCCTCATTGTGGCAGTGTTGGACTTGCTATTGCTCATCGCCCTGATTGTTGTCGCCGTTATCGTTGGAAAGCCGCTTTCCTACCTTAAGTGCTCTACATTGGCCGAGCTAGGCGATTCCGATGCTACTCTCTACGCATTTGCATCTCGAGTGTCGAGCTATATTGCCAACATCACCGGAAAGATCGATTATGTTGCATTCGTCGGGGCTTCAAAGGCGATTTGCGTCGAAATGAAGGCCGTTTGGGGATTGGCCATTGCGCTTTGGTGAGTTTGTCTGAACATCAAAATTTTGAGAGAATACTGACCTCTTTGTAGCATCTTGTTTTTCTTTTCCTCTATCTGTAGCGGTTTGCTGTGGCAACAGAAGAAGAAGGCTCTCGCAACCAAGGAGATGGAGTAGAGAGAATCTACCAAATGTCAAAACAATGAGCGCGCTTGATGGAAAGACCTCGGGAACTGCTGCCTCTGGAGTCTAGTTATTTGGCAAAAAGCCAAGTGAGCGAGTTGGTATCTTGTTGCTTGTTTTGTGATATTTACAGCGTATGCATTAATAACCTGAGTTTGACTTTAATCAATCCAATCATGTGAGCGAGATTTGAAAAAAAGAAAATAAATGTACAAAGTAGATTGATTCATGCAGTTCAAATCGCAGAACCTCCTTCAGCCGGAGCTCACAGGTGGAATGACAGCCACTTCGCCACCGGCTTGAATCACAACGTCCAAATCCTCCTCGACATCAACATATTCCCCATTCAAGCTGACACCACAGCTGGAGAGGACCTTGGCGACAATTCCGGGGTACCGCTTCTCGAGCTCGCCGAAGAGGTCGGATAGCCTCTGTGGGGCGGGTAGACTTTCGGTATGTTTTGAAGTGTATTGTGACGCTGAAGCGAAGTAGTGGATTGTGAATGTTTCTGGCATGATTGAATAGACAGCCCTGACTCGAGAATTGAGACGAAGAATGAGAGAAGGGAGTGTGAAAGGGGAAAAACAAAAGCTTCCTATCAGTTCGGAGTTGCGATAACAGCGGGGTAAGTTCGGCAGTCCCCGAAGTCAAGGGCAATGCTATAATCTATGTAATGCCAGTTTCAGTTTCATCTAGAGATCTATTTACTTGGCAAGCTCTTGAAATGCGCTCGCCAAATCACTCTTCAGGTCTTCCCAGTTCTCCAAGCCCACACTGATCCTCAGCAACCTCCGATCAACCGTACTATCCGACATGGCCCTCCACTCAATGAGCGTCTCCACACCACCCAGACTAGTAGCGTGCTGGAAGAAATGCAGCAAACTGGGCAGTTTCTTTGCGAACTGTTCTTCCTTCATATTGATTGCGAAAACAGGCCCAAACCCATTCGGCATCTGCTTCTTCAGCCATTCCCCGCCGTCCTGCAATGAGGCGTGAACCACATCCCGAAGAACCGCCTGCACCGCCGCCTCAACTGAGCCCGGGACTGGGTTGGGCGCATGTAGGGAAGCGTCCAGCCAAGATACCAGCTTAGTAGCGTTATCGCTCTGGCGCTGGACGCGCACTTCGAGGGTTCGAAGACTGCGGACACCGAGCCAGGATTCCATATTGCCCATCACGGACCCAATGAATAGACGGTCGGTCTTGAGCTGTGCGGCCCACTGCTCGTTCTTGGTTACCAGTACACCGGAGAGCAGATCGGAGTGGCCACCGAAATACTTCGTACCAGAATGCATGATGATATCGGCGCCAAAGTCGAAGGGCTCTTGGAGACCAGGTGGGGCGAAAGTAGAGTCTACGATAAGGATAGCACCGCGAGAGTGGGCCTTTGCAGCGTAGGATGCTATATCGAAGGCCGTTCCGAGGGGGTTGACGGGTGTTTCCAGGAGGATGACGTCGCCTTCCCCGAGAGACTCGGCGGGGCAATCGAGTGGAAGCTTCTTCAGGCCATTATTGCGGGTGAAGAGAGCAATGACTCCGTGACAACCGTGGTAGCCATCGCCGACGGAAATATTGCGCGGGTTGAGGAGCGTCAAAGCTCCGTGGAGGGCTGAGAGGCCCGAGGAGTAGCTTACGGCTTGACCATTGAGCAGGGAGGAGAGGATCAATTCAAAGCGGGTGGGATTGGGCGCGGACATGCGCGAGTAAACGTGAGAGGTGGGATCAGGGGCGGACTACATGGTCAGAGATGGAAGAACCGAGCAATACACATGATTCATACAGTTGCATCGGCGGCCGCGACTAGCTTGGAAGGATCATTGGAGTAACGAAATGTGGTAGAGAGATGTAGGGGAGGGGCGACATCGGTCACGATGTTCAGGGCATCATCGGCATGAAGGGAGCGCGTGGAAGCGCCGTAAGAAGACATGGTTGAAGTATGCTGTATGCTATGTTTGGATATACACGAGGTTCAAAATATAAGACTCCGACAACGGCCCGCTTCGTAGGTGCGGGGATCCCACGTAATCAACGATCACGTAACCGCCCGGCTATTATCGGCGAATGGAGCCCATTCGCGATGGCTCTCGTACTGACCCGGGAAGAGCTGCTTTGAAGGTGGCACGAGCTGCAAAGTATTAGTGATAGTCCAACGATGTTTGCGAGAGCACACATACCAGATTCAGTATCAAAGGAGATAGCAATGTCGTCGTGTTCAATAGGATACTCGGGCATGTCGAGGCACACAAAGTTTGAAGAAGGGTCTTCGTCCTTCTTTGGCAGCGCAAACTTGGCATCAACCATACGTATGCCAAATTTACCAGACCGACCGAATGATTCCATGATATCTGTGCCCTTCAGGACAAAGTTCATACAAGTACCATGTTGGAACTCCCCGAAGAAAGCGAGCAGTTGAACGACCTTTTCCTGTCGAACGATCTGAACTCGAGCTAGAGAAGCTTCCCATTTCTTATAGATGGGGACCATACTGCGTCGTCGGGAGATTGAGAAAGATGAAGCCATCCTATTCTTGTTAGTAGGGAGTCCACTAGGAGACAATATTCCACTTACCCATCATAAAGCACCTGGAAGCCGGTTACTGCTGCCTCGAATGCGTGAAGGTCTGTAGCAAGTTTAGTGATCTAGCACGCAAAGAGTAACCAATGAACATACCTTGCATAGTAGGGAAGTCTAGTCGTCGAATCATGGGCTTGGTCGTGATCTTCTCCAGGAGTCCGGTCATTTTCCCGGGCAGTTCTGGGGGGATGAGATTATCCGCAAGGGAGAGAGTCATATCATGCTGCGCAGGGCGGAAAAGACTCATGCTCGTTGGACGTTGCACGTCTAGGCCCACCTTCAATTCTCCGGGCCCTGCACACAGTTAGCATTTTTTCAAGGACAAATCCTGATATCAAAACTCACCTAAATTGATACGATCTGTGACAGAGCCCCATTCGGTTGCAACAAGGGCTCTCAGATTCTCTGAAAGAATTGTAGGTCCATAGCCATGATCAACGTAGGCATGCTCCTGATCAATGACGCATACGCTCCCCGCAGGGAAGTCCAGATGTTTGACAAGGGGCCGGCCGCTGAATGGATCCGCAGGCTGTTCGATGCTGTAGGAGGTAAGGGCAAACTCGGGCGACTTGATTTCGCCATTGCGCGGTAACATGCCAAGCAACACGGAGTGTATTTTGGAACGCTCCTCGTCCTCGTGGAAAGTCATCAACATTGACCTCGTGCGGCCATCTTCGGTCACCTTCAGCAATAGCGCAGGGGCACCGTCCTCGCCCCGTAAAAGGCCGAATACAACTGGTGACCCATTGCCCAGAGTATGGCGGATACTACTCAAGGTCTTCACCCTGGGACTAGTCAGGACAGCCAATCGGAATCCACGGTGCGCGTTGCGAGTGCCTGTTCCCTCGGTGATAGTGACAGAACGCTCAAATAAGCGCACGCGACACCTTTCCACTGGATCTGGAGGGAATGCCTTTGGTGTGCCTGGATCCATGTACTGGAAAACCTTCACGGTATTCTCGAAGACAACAGTCTCCCCTGCCTCGGGATGAAGACTGTCCTCCGACTTCTGCGTGTACTTGACGATGTTCCAGAGGGTCTTGAAATCTTCTTCTTTGAACATAACATCCAGCTCGAACCCTCTGGGGAGCTTAACTCGCATGGAGTGAGACCGGACTTGCCAGTCTACATCCTCCCACGTTGGACCTTGTTTGCGATCGGATTGGATCATGATGTTGACCAACTGACTTTGACTGGTGATGGCAGCGAAGACATACCAATCGGACCGTTCACGTACAATCGTCAGGGCACAAGGCATAGCATATTGCTGTTGCCCGTCGTCATCGCTAGAGCTGACACAAACCTGCACAAACAATGTACCGTAGCTGAAGTAGCGACTGGTGTCACCCAGTGGCATCATGTGCACTAAGCTTGGTGTTTTGCCTCCATTATCGGCTAGCATTGACCTTGTTGCGGCACCGGACAGAACTGCCGATACATCAGGGGCGTAGAAAGGGTATCGTAGCCAGATAGTCGTATCCAGTTGTGTAGGAGAGCCTTCATCTGAGACAACCAAAGCAAGAATGTTGTTGCGTTTGATGGACATAGAAAGCGAGCGTAGGTGATTGATTATGGTTTGATGCAAGCTGAGGCTATCAACCATGTTTTTGTCGCCTGTAGTGTTTGCAACGGCTATCAAGGAGTCAATGCTCATGGAACCATACCGGGAAAGTTCGGGATGGCTGGGAACGATATTTTCATTAATCCACAACGCCTTTCCGAGGTCAATGACAGCCTGTTTTGCAAAGCTGGGAGGCAATGTTGCACGCGAACGGGCATACACTTCCAGTCTGGTTTTCCCTCGCAGGAACCACCACACCGCGGCGCGAACCCATTCTCCCAGCGAGGTCTCCATCAATGGCTTGACACTCTCAGCGGCAAGCTGGATAATGCTCTCATACAGTGCATTATATTCCTTGAACTCGGCAAATGCGGTATCACCGACTTGGTTGGCGATGTTGCGGATAGAGAACTTAGGCGGTTGCGGGGCGCGGACGGGCTCTGGATTAGGCGCTTGGCCTTCGCGACTGGGTGGCGAGACAGGATTTTGATCGGGCAGATGTTGGGGCGGAGGATCGGTACGCGTGGGCGAGACCTTACCAGGGCTACCGGGGATAAGATTCGGAGGCATTCGAGGGTCAATGGGACTGAGAGTTGCCGGTGCGGGGGCACGTTGTACTGCGGGACTCGGAGGGTTCCGAATGGAGTCTACAATCGATCTCATTGAGAGCGAGACTGACGGCGCATGCGATGTGACTGACGTTGGGGCTGTTTCGTAGGCAGATTCGGGGTCATTATGGTCGTGATGGCCTTTCAAAGGCGGTTCAGGGCTTGGTGGGCTCGGGGGAGTAGGCAGGTCCTCATCATCAACACCCGGGGACGATACATCGTCATCATAACGGTGATGGAGCGCGCGACCTTCCTCTGCTTGCATCTTATCACGTATCCGCTGCGCGAATGCGCTTTCTTCGCTGTCTCCGCGGAAAGATAACCTGGAGCCGCTTTCGCTCATCGGCAAAGTGAGCAAGAAGTCCGAATCCTGCATGTTCTGCATGAGAGGCGGCTTCCAATCGTCCCGCCGAGGTGAAGAGCCAGCTCGTCGAGGTCGGGACTCGCCATCGCCCAGCGATGTGTCAAGTCGCAGGTCCGGCAAATGGGACCGAGAGGGATTTTGCGACGAAATATTGCCCAACGGGGCTCGGTTCTGCGATTTTTGACGAGCCCATGAGATCTCAATGGTAGGTTGCTCTGACTCGTCACCACCTTCACCAATCACATCCGGTGTCTGGTTGCTGAAGCCCACGCGTAGCCCTTTGCCTTTGCGACCATGGGGCTTGGCAGAGGCGGGGGCAGGGGCAGGGGCAGATTCATGCTGGCGGTCTGCGAACTCGAACGCGGAGTAATCGTCATGGGATGGCACCGGCGGCGGGACGGGAGCGGGGGCTGTGGCTGGCTTGGGCTGATAGCCTGGGTGTTCTGGAGGGGAGTAGGCATTCTGTGGAGGGATGTATCTCGGGTCGCTAAGTGGGGGTGCTGGTGCTGGTACTGGCGCTGGCGCCGGGCCCGGTGTCCTCGACGTGCTCAGGAAATCTGCGATCTCTCGGTTTGTCTGCGCAGCAGCTTTACTCTTGTCCTTGGAAAAGAGCTTCTCACGCCAATCGCGCTTCTTTGGTTTCGCTTGTGGTTGAGGCTGCTCGGGCAGAAAGGAAAACGGGTCATCAGCGGGCATGTCGAACAAGTTCGCGAGCAGACCCTGTCCACATCGCACGACTTGAGGTTAAAATGAACAATGAGCGCCAGTTTCTGGAACCCACCCCTGTGCGGTTCTGGAGGATCGACAGGGGCTTTGGCGCGTAGGAGGAGTTGGCAGCGTAGTGAGGGTGCGATTCGAGTGGTGAATCGCGCAGGGTTGGAAGGTGGAAATTGGAGACCGAGGGAGAGTTGGAGGAGTGAAGTGTGCAGAGTCCCAAAGTTAGGAAGGAGGGGTGTGTATAATGAGATAGCGCCCGTGCTCTATGAGAAAGGAAATTAGACCACACCACGAAGTATACTACTGCGCAGAGGTCGGAGAGAATAAATCGCACATCAAAACAATATCAACACTTACAAACAAGACCCAGTCCGAATTTCGGTTCTACTAGGGAAATTGACAACGAAACTGGACCAGCAGCCGATGTCGATAATATATTCAAAAGAATGTCTTCTATCAGGGGGATACTCCGCAGGTACCAGGATTGCCGCGGTGGAGCTCCCTTAGTGCAAGTTTCTGGGGAGTACTATCCTTCGAATAGAGTGCAACGTGGTACCGAGGCATATTAATAGTAAGGATGTCTTTTTTTAAGCACCAGTATACTACTTTTATATTCCCCGAATATTAATATCCATTCTCCAGCTCTATACACCTTAAAACGTCGACGCCATCAAGTTTCTCCCCCGGACCAATCAGCACAGACAACCCGCTCGTCTCAGAATTGAAACCGCACTAGTCCGGATCGGGACAGCTGACCCACCGCTGACGACTTTCTGTCGCACGCGCAACCAGCTGTCCTTTGCTGTCCTTCGTATATTACCCCGATACATTACATCGTAAGGTCGCGAGGGCTACAGAATCCAATGATAATATACATCCTGGATTTGGTATCTTATGCAGTTCTCCCAAATGACTCTCATGCACTCCCACAACCTAATCCTCTTGGCACCTGTGGTATCTTATCTAGGGCCGTTTTAGCGCCCGAAATTATATACTATTTTGACCCTAGCCTGGGAAGTAGACCCTCGTGGCTTGAGACACTGGGCTTCAACTGTGGCTCATTCTGGCATTCGATCATATGCCCTTTTTTTGCGCTCTTCTGCTCACTCCCCGGCTTCCCCTTTTGGTCATTCCGGAATTCACCGTTCGCATGCCGGATCCCTGCTTCCCCCCGAGCTTCTCATTCGCCGTGCTCTAATTTCCGCTGAAATATGTAGGGTGTCGAGTCGCTGATAACGAAATGCACGCTTCCTGCACCGGTAGATCGTTCTTGGATCGTCACCGCTACGTGTCTTACTCAGATCCACCGGGAGCACTTCAGCCCTGGAGATAGCCATTTTCTCGCCAAACCCCGCAAGCGTTTGGAAGTGTCTTGTGCAATTGCTCGTCAATTGATAGAACTGGAGCCTTGGAGTCCGGTAGTTGGGTTCACCCCGCATGGTTGCCCTATTACTAAGGCCATCATGCCCTTGTCGGTCTCGTGCCAGGGGCCGGGGTTGTGTAGATCTGTCAAGCATGAGAACTGCAAGACAAGGAAACGATCGCTGGTTTCACCTCGCTGTCACTACGTATTTGACCGAGCATACTCCGTATAAATATATAAATAACGAAGATGTCTCCACCTCCGAGGACAAGCCTTAGACCACACCTCCAGGGCTGCCCAGGTGGGCATGTTGAGTGGGCTTCGGGCTTGGGCTGACCTTGTGACAAATCTTAGCCCTACATTGGAGCACTCTTGGCTAGCCTTGGCCCGGGGAGCTCAACACTACCAAGTTATTGAAATTACCTACCACCTTTGGGCCCAATGTTCTAAAACGGAGGCATTTACAATCCTGATAGCGGCAATTCTGCTTGGAGCCAAAGACTAGCTATTCAGTACGCGACAGAAAGTGTTCAAAGCAATGCTTTCGAACCAGGTGTTAATGCAGAATACATAACAAGCCTCAGTGCCGCGCTCACGCGCGGCCAAAAGACGATGATAGTTGCTTATAAACAGATGTAGTTATGTATTAGTTTAATCTCATATTTCGATTGGCAAAGGAAGAGAGCTATCATCAACTTCGTGACCTCTTTCCAACTGTCTTTCTTAGTATCTTTCTTAGTATCTTTCTTAATGTCTTTCCAACTGTCTTTCCAACTGTCTTTTTGGCTGCCCATCCAAGTTCCAACTAATTATCAAGTCATCATGATTGGTCGAGAAATGTAAGTCTTGGCTAAGCCGTGAACAGAGAATTAGGGATTGGGGAAACAAATCTCGAAACAGCATTGTGCGATCCCCAAAGAAAAAGGAAACCACGAGACAGAGCCTTCCAAGGCTAGAGTATACTTGTGCAACAAACCCTCCTTAAGAAAAATCTTCAAGCCTACCAAGCATCACAACTGCAGTACACCCGTGGACCTGGATGACCCCGAAAAGCTCTTGCACCCACCTGGGCAGTAGGCCTATCCTAAAGGCATCACCAGATTGCAATGAAGAGGCTGTAGCTTGTGCATCGTATAGACGCTCCTCATGCTAGAGAAGTGTATGGATTCGGGGCATCCGGCTCTATCAGGGGATGCAAGGTTGGGAACGTTGGAGACTCGGGCGAAGGAAGAATTCAACAGGATGGCGAGGATTCCTAAGACTATGCCAAAACGATCCAACTTGATTAGCATATGTATATGGAGTAGATCACGCTGAGTTTTCAAAATGGGTACTTCTGTGGGAATGAACAGCCCCGTGGTACAACCAAAGTTGCTGAGATTCGAATCATCGAGCTCAGTCAACCCAGAAGCCACGCTCAGCAAGAAACGACCAGTCATTTTTTTTTCACGATTCTCCAACAAGTATCAACCAAGGGCCACCCCAAGTCCCAATTTATCTCCAACGTTATCAGCCAGGTATAGTCAGGGTTGTACCATGAATGATCACGAGCTTGTGTCCTTTGATGCTCAAGGAGACTGTTGGAGATCATGGGGTTAGGTCATGTAATACGGTGCCCTAGTAGATAGATCTCTGTTTCTCTCTCTCTCTCTCTTCTCTTTCTCATGCATCATACAATCTGTCAAAGTGCATTACTGCTCTCTCTAGATCGTATTCTCTATAGGTTATCAAGCTCGCTGCGTCTGAAGAATCACCTTCTTAAACGGGAAGTCTTCAGCCTCAAAGAATCTTAGATATCTTCTCGTCGTTTGCGTCGCGGCAACCTCTTCTCTACTGTCGTGAAGGATGTTATTTTTTGGATAAGAAGATATCGATAGTTTTAGCTAACTAGCTTGTGCTACCTCTTAGGTTTTATCTAATAACGGAAATTAGTTAAAAGATAAACGACGAGTTATTACTAATATAATGAGTGATTAGCTTTATGATACTTGTTTCGGCGAACTCCTCTTTGTCTTGCGATCTTGTTTTTTAAAGACTCCTTGTATTAAAGTTTTGTCTATTTTCGAACTGTTTATTATCTTTGAGACTAAAGATGATGATAGTGAGATTGATAACGATGAATACGAAGTTTATTATTAATAGTTTATTGAAGAAGAAGATGGAGATGATGGAGATAAAGATTATATTGATGATAATATTTAGCTAGTGGATAGCTATAAAGATCAAGATTCCGCTTTTAAGTTATCTAAGGCTACTTTAAAGCTACATATTAGATAATTAATTAAAACCCTTAATCTTGGTAAGATTAGTATTGTATTATTTGTTAATGTGTCTAAGCTTAAGGGCGATCAAAACTGGATCTAGTGGAAAAATATCTTTTTTAGTATCTTTATTTCCGGTTCTAGTATCTATATGGATATTTTTAAAAGTACTGTTTAGCCTCTTTAGAAATTGAAGCTTTGGTCTGTTATTAGGGAATTGATTATCTTAGCTATTAAAGAAGAATTTGTTAATATAGAAAGTATTAACGTTAAATAGGATTTACTAACTTTGATTATTATTAGTAAATATTATAATAAAAAGCTTGTCTAATTTTAGAATAATAATAATTGCTGTATAGATATCTTTAAGAAGAATATAGAAACCTGGAAATAGATTTAAGGTAAAGTTTAGACTTTCCTTTTAGTATTTATTAAAATATTTTCTAAAACTTTTCTTATTAATAATTAGGATCTTTATTTTTATTTTGTGATTCTTAAGAGATAATTTAGTGATATTACTTAATTAATCTTAATTACTTGTTTTCGTAAGTGGAATAAGATATGCTATAAAGATAGTAATAGTTAGATCTTTATTAAGAAATATTAGAAAGCTTTAATAGAGCTGGAAGAAGCTATTAGTAAGAAGATGGACGATATTATTGTTTAAGGTTAGTTTCTTATAGTTATTACTAATAATCTTTATTGTGCTATTTTTATTTAAAATTATTAATTCTTTACTAGCAAGTATATATATATTGAATTCAAGCTTGTTAAGAATATTTTTAAAACCTTTCTTTATATTATATTAATCTTAGCTTTTATTAATACTATTAAATCTAATGAAAAATTAGATAAGCTATATAAAAAGAATAATGATAAGAAGGATTATAAGGATAATAAGAATAAAAAGGATATTTTTGATAATAAATTAACTAGAAAAGGTAGGAAATCTAAGTGGGGATCTAGTGTTAGCTATATTAGTGATCTAATTTAGTATAAGAATTATAGTAAGCTTAGCGATTATTTCTTTGACAAATATCTTATCAAAAAGGACAAAAATACTATTGTTATAGTAATTTAATAGGTAACTGAATAGCTATAATACCAAGTATTATTAGAAATTCGTTAAATTAATAAACTTAGTATCGCTTAGCTAGTTATTAAAGAAGTATAAGAAATTAAGTTTTTTTAATAGATCGAGAATATATTTATATTAAGTCAAATTAGCCTCTTTTTAATAACTAATCAGCAAGGCTGGATACTAGATTCTAGTATTTCTTTTCATATGATGATGGATTATATCGTTTTTATCACTTTTTGTTATTGCTTTATAGAGATCTTAACTATTATAGATA